TATATATATATATATATATATATATATATATATATATATATATATATATATTGATTTCTGAAAAACAAACTGGGATGTTATGATAGTTGCAAGATGTACTCTTACATTTGTGTATAACCTATTCAAGTGCAGGCGCTATTTTTATTATAGATACGTGAAACAATGTAACTCACATCTTAAGATGTCTGTCTGGATTTTGCAATTTAACTATTTATGCAGACATACTTATTTTGTATACTACAGATTGTTTGCGAGCTGGAAATCATTACCATTCAACTTTTTACATGTCAAGGTGAATCTATGTTGTTTAATACCTAAATTTTTCCAGAGGTTGGTGATATTATAGAAAAATACAGCTTTCATATATTTTCATGCAGTCATTTTATTTCAAATTCATTACAATAAAAATATCTTATATATATATGGTTTACAAGTTCTTAAAAAAAGAATAAACCATATCACAAACTATGTTTGATACTTCCGAAATCTTAAACTAAAACTTACTTATCATGCTCATTTACAGAAATATCCATACATCTTTACAACTGAGTTACAATGCAAGTCAAAAAGTTGAAGTTTTAGTCTATTCATATAAAAAGTAATATCTTAGTTTAATTCTGCATGTAAATTTTGTACAAAAACATAAATAAGGCAAATGTTATATTAATCTTACATATTTTATAGAATTTAACTGCTAGTATAGTCTGGACAAGTCTCGTTTTTACTTCAGTGCTTCTGAGACTTTAAGGTGCTCTGCTTGTGTCCCATTTATTAAAGGTTTGCATTGATATTATCTCTACAAGATACCAACAGTAACACGAATGTTTCTGAGATTGAAAAAAAAAACTTGAGTACTGGTTCACATTCAGATCTGCAACACCATGTCACACAACCAACAAAATTCATTCCATTCAACCACTTGGTTCTTCAAAGTCAATGATAAAGTATTCTGTAACAACTGATAAAATTCCAGGGATGAGAGAGGCCATGGTATCATTCTCTGAACTGTTTAAAATATTAACCTTCTTGATCTGTACCTTGATCTCCATCTTGCTGTATTGTAAACATAGATTGTCCTTGTTGGGGCATCTGAATTTGGTACATCTGAGACTGAAACAACAACACTTGCTTATTAGTGTTTTGCATTTGAATGTCTATAACTTTTAGATGAAATGAGGAAATATTTAAGTTGAAGAAATATTTAAGTTTTACATAACTGAGCTTCAGCCCAAACTATTTGAAATGTGATGCTTGGTTCAAATTCCCACCCATTTCAATAAATTTTCTCTTGGGGTTGTTCACCCTACCTCCCAAAGACAGGAACGTGGGGGTAACCACAATCTACCGTACCTGTGGGCTTCCAAATGCCTGTTGCTGCTGTTCTGATTGCTGTGTTTGAAGGATGATTGGCTGATTAGCTTGTTTTCCCTGCAGCTGTACCTGAATAGCCTGCAGTTGCTGAGGAGTTAACTGGATCTAAGAAAACAAAAACAGGTATGGCATAATGTGATTTTTATTTTTGAGTTAACATCTAAAAAGAGCTTAAAAATACATGCCAACAATCAGATCAAAGAGTAGGAACAATTTCAAACCACCCCACAGATGTTAACTTGTAGGCGTTGTTAGCTTATGAAGTTTTTCAAAATAATTACATTTCAAGGATCAAGAAATTGGAGGTGACTTACAGGTACATGTTGTATTTCTCCATTTGGGCCAACTATTTGTTGATAAGCCTGTGTTGTCTGCAACTGCTGCTGCTGTGTTGTTTGCTGCTGCTGTTGAGGTTGCTGTTGCTGAGTCTGCTGCTGCTGCTGCTGTTGTTGTTGTTGAGTCTGAGATTGTTGCTGCTGTTGCTGTTGTGGCACTTGTATCTGTATAACTTGTGGTTGTGCATCTCCTCCAGATGGCTATGTGAAGAAATCAAAATAAAATCCAATACAAATGGAATTAAAATACATAGTATCAGCAACTGTTACCACAATTTTACAAAAAGAAATGTTTTTACGTAACCAGTAAAAGTTATATGCACACTGGGGCATCTGGTGTTTTGTTAAGAGGGTAAGGATGATGCAAGGATAAAAAATGCTGTGGATGAGGGTTACTTTATAATTTTATGTAGGGCACCTGGATAAAAGAAAACTGCTTGGCCTTTTTGCATTTATTACTTTTTTGTAGAGAGAAGGGCAGGATGAATGTACCTCAGAAGGTAATGGAAGAGCATATGAAAACTGCTCCTCCCTTAATACTACTGTACATGAATAAGACCTGCAATGTGAAAAAAATCAATGATAACTTACCACTGTTTGTATTTGGAAAGGCTGCTGTACAACTTGTCCGGCTAAAAAACAAATAAAAGTTTACAAACATATCACTTAAAAATGCATATGAAGTCTATTTTTTGCCACCATATAGCATCAAATAGTATAACTAAGAGAATTACCAAAAGACATTGTTTAATATTACCTGAAAAATGATATTTAAACAGATTTTTCTGTTAGATTTCTATGCTGTATATAAATAGGGTAGATAAATAGGACAGATAAGTAGGTTAAATTTATTACCAAAAATTTAAAGAAAGGAGCAGTTTAAAGCTCTTTTATGGTTGATGTAGTTTATCCCTTGGCATGTCGAATTTATTTGAGTCGTATAGTAAACTTGTAGAAGTGGTTTATATGTGTTACTGGGAATCCATGCTCCACTGACATATGAACCGTTAACTGGTCACCCAAAATCTGTTTATCTGAAAATATGATGTAACTGAGGCTGGCATTATTTAACTTTTTAAAAATTATTAAAGAGGAACTCTCAATTCCTAGCAATTTGCTACACAACTCACATTGTATCTGAATTTGTTGCTGTTGTTGCTGCTGCTGCTGCTGCTGTTGTTGTGCTTGTTGTGCCAATTGGAAAAAGTACTGAACTTGTTCTGGTAACATGGATGCTCTCTGTCCACCATCCTCCTGAAAGTTCATCAATCAATTTTTTAATTAAAAATAAATATACTTTGATATCTAAGAACAGACGATACATGTTTTCAACTGACATTAATAGTTCTTTGTTGAACTGATAAAATTAGCAGAGCCTGTTTCAAACTTATCTACATGCAACCATGGTCAGTAATGCCAATATACTTACCCGTTTTGTGGGTTTTAATTCGTCTCTAGGTACTATATCAATCAAAAAGTCAAACTGGTCATATTTTGTGATTGCCATTGCTATATCATTTCTCTGAAATATGAAAATATCTAAAATAAGGTAATGCAAATGAATACTACATACCCAACAGTACATTGATATTATGTATGTACAAAGAGTGAGACAAAAATTAAAAAAAAAATTAACATATTCTTAGATGGGGATGTAATATTGTCTTAATTTATCTCTAAAGAAAATGTCAGCAAACACAAATACTCTAAAAGCATGCATTCAATGAATTTGCTGCATGACATAGAAAAGCATCAATCCATTCAAAACTTGGCACAGCATATCTGACTGTGGAAAAAACTGCAGTGAACCTTTTTATTCATTCTCCAATAATACCTGTAATGTTCTTCTCTTATTATCCTCTGTATGGACCCAAGCTCTGAGTGAAAGCTCTGCTATAAACATCTCACATGCTTTGGCAAACAAGACAGGAGCTTCTGCACTGATCATCTGGAAGAAGAAATTAACTTTTTTATTAAATTAGTAAAATTGATAAATATTTTGCTTTTAATTAACATCCAATAAAGTAATCTAAGTAATATCTGAAACAATGTATTTCATAAATTATCTAGCATTTTTTTAAATATCTTTAATTCAATTTAAGCTCCCAACTTAGATCATTAATGTATCCCTAAATATTTCATAATTTCCTTATCTTCAAAAACAGTTAATTTTTGAAATGTGGTGCTATTTCATTCTTACAGCTAACCAAATCCTACCTTTACATCTTCATCTAGTTTCATAATCTTCTTTATTCTAGCCAGAGGGAGTTCCTGAACTTTAAAATCATTCTGCAAAACAATATAAAGTAGGTGTTAAATTCTAAAAAATGAAAAACATACAGTCTAGAGTTTGTAATCAATTAATTTATATCAAAATTAAAATACAAACTAAAAACCTTGCTAAATGAATGGTTTCAATGTTTTTAAGTGAAAATAATCCTGTTACACCTACTAAATTCAATTCTGAAAAATATTTTTTGTATTTATATTATGTAAAATGCAACATTAACTTACAGGCTGCAAGTTCCTGATCTCATCTGTCATTCTCTGCCAGAATGTGCTGAGAAGTTGTTGGGCCTCAGACTGTATAGCCTGTGTCTGAAATGTGGGATCTGAACCATCCATGCTTTGTAATATTTGGTACTTTAAAAGACCTGTAAAATACAATGAATATAAAGTATTGAAATTACTTGCCAACAAAATCTTTGCATACAAATCCAAATATGACTGTAACATCATGTGGACAGTCACATTGCTACAATTTTCTTTTTATCATGCAGTTTAAGGTATGTGTAAGAATAAGAATATCCCATGTTAATGTCCAGAACATTCCACATTATCCCCCCCTTTTTCATTTCTTCACACACAAAAAAGCAAAAGAATTTTTTTAAAAATCACTGTAACATTGTGTTATTGGAGGGTACAGTCTCACTTGGAGAAATATTTTTGGGAAAGAAACAGGTTATGGAATGTACTGGAAATTATTGTACAATGTAATTATATATAAAAAACACTAATCAATTAACACTTCTTTTAAGTAAGGGAAATGTGACATTCATTAATTGTTGTTTTATGTTAATGTTCAGGTTTTCACTACATATTTCTGCACAATCTTTTATATGTTTCAAAAACAGAATGTTACAAATAATGCAGGTGCCCCCATGTGCAACAGTCCAGATAATTTAAGACTAATTCTGCACAATTTTATGGCATAAAACACATCAATAATGGTAACTTCTTATTGTTTATTCTTGCAAATAAACTAAGTTTTAAGGCCTGTCAATGTGACCACTCTCAATCCTTATATTTACATATCTGCAAGTATACTGTACGTCCTTGTAAATTCAGAGGTGAGGTGTGGGTAATTGTGGGCAAGGGCTGGCCAATGTTACATTAAAATTACGACACAGATTTCAAAATATAAAAACGTGACTCAGCACAAAATAAATGTTGGTTCTGCTGTCTCAATCTTAATGTGACTCCAAAGCAGTGCATCAATGACCCCACCATTAGTAACTTTGGACCAATAACTTTGATGGAAATCTGCACCAATCATTGTTCAGATTAACAGACCAATGAGAGCACAGCCGAATCGGAGGCGTGGAAATCAAAGGTGTCCATTAGATATTAAAGGAACGAAATGAAGACATATCAATGATCATGGATCAGCATCTTCATATAATCTTACCTTAAACGGTGAATTTTCGTCAGAACAATGAGCTGCCGTTGATGAAAAATGGCGGAAATTCACAAATCAAAATTGGGTCAATGGGAGCAGATTTACGCGTGTATTTCACTCAAATTTACTAGATCAAAGCTTATATTTATGGGTAATCTTTTATCCCTTATGTATTAAACATATGAAAAGAAATAGATAATTGACCAAGTAGCACCATAAATTTTAACATTAGATCATTTAAACCTTGCAATAATTACTGACAAAGAGTGCTCCCTACTCTCGCCGTATGCGAGAATTTGAGAGATTTAGAAAGAAGGAACAGGAAAACAAACGAATGCACACGATTTCAACACGATATTGACAGTAAAATGCCTGCAGGAAAGAAGGATAGAAGTGATAGAAATGCTAAGAAGGGTAGAGGAGCAGAGTTGATGGCCCAGGTAATTTTAAAATTAGGTGTACTTGGAAATAAGACCGTCACCAAAATATTTTACCAGTCGTGCTAGCACGGTGCTACATACCCCATTAGCTGCAGTTGTTCTGCTTTCTCTTTCAGTGACATATGAATCGTGATGTTCATTTCACTTTATATCTTAGTATTTTCCCCGAAAGGGACCTAGCGTCCATATATATAGCTTATGTTGAAAAATGGTCTCACCCAGATGTGTTTGTTGCAACTAAAAATCGCATGCATCCTACACAACACTTTAGTACTACTAGGTGAATCAAAATTATCATTCCCCAGCAACTCATTAATGTAAAAGTTGCATGACTAACTGTTGTTTTGCGTTTTGTTTCTTCATTTTTCTCCACTCAAACCTTTCCTTCTACTCATCCAAACATTCTGATATTTACCTTGTCCACAGGTTAAAACGTCAGTTACATTTGTACTACAGTATGCACTCAGTTAAGTCAAATTCAGGTCATGTTCTGCAGGAAGAATGATGCATTGCAGTTGGAGTTAGACATACATCTGATACAGGTAATGTACATGTGGTATAAAATATGAGTGTTTTCCATTTCATTGCAGATGGGGATGGTAGATCCTAACCAGATGGGGGCCATGATGCTTGGGGAGGGAATGGATGATGAAGATGATGATGACGATTTAGAAGCTGAGCTTGCTGCCCTCCAAGGACATGCCCCTCCTCCAAAAAAGACAGCCCGTGCAAAGAAAGGTAGGACACAAAAATAATTTATTTGAAAGATTTGATGCCAGTTTTGTTACAGATAGTACATTAGATACTTACCTTATGTTTGCAGGTTCAGAACTTTGATTGATAGAAAAATGGAATTGTTAGTCTTTGGACATATGAAAATTATTATCAGCATATGTAGATTATAATTTTCATTACTTCTCCAGGAGTTACGCAAAAGTGAGGGTTCTAGAAGGTACCTGTGTAAGTCACACAGTTTATTTTCAAAGAGAAAAATGAAAATTATAATCTTCGTCTTTGGACTTCAGCTCCAGTAGACATGTCTATGATTGAGAAGATGGCACTGGATAGCACTAGAGACATAAAGAGTGATGAGGAGATTTCTGGAGATGAGGAAGACCTGATGGTAATGGAATGTTGATTATTTGTATTATGATAAGTATGGTAAGTAAGTGGTGTTCACCTAATGATGTTGATATTTGTTATTTTTTATTGTATAGAAAAAAAAACCTGGCGAAATTTACTGTTTAAAACAGTATCCTTGTCTGATACCAAGTATGGTTGTCTGTTGATGTTTTCATTCATAATTACATTTTTGAATTTAGGCTGAGCTGGAAGGTTTGAGTCCAGATGAAGAAGAACCAGCACCAATAATAGCTCCTACTAAAGCACCAGTCATAGCTCCCACCACAACCCCACCAGAAGCAAAAACTGCACCTCCTAAAGCGACTCCTGTTGCTAAACCTGCCGCACCACAGGGACCAGGGGGCATGGTTGGTCTCCTGATGGACAGGTTAGAGAACTACAAGCTGGCTTCCAGCAATGCTAAGCAAACAGTGAAAGCTCTAAGGCAAGAAGATACGACAGAGGAATTAAGGTTAGTGATAGTGGATTTTGGCACATATGATATTAAATTTATGCAGCTTGTTTGGATTATTATATTGTGGTGACATATGTTGAACACTTTTTCTTTTGCAAAGAGTTTAACAAATACAGCTGGGTAGAGAGTGATACAACAAATGATGTTTTACATTGTAATGCAGACATTAGCGGGACTCCTAAAACAAGCCCAGGCAGGGAAGCCCATTAATGAAGAAGATATTCCACCCCAAGTAGCAACAGGGCAAGCAGGAGGAGCTCCTCCTCAAGCACCAATTGAACACACTAGTGGGGCAACAGCAGCACCTACCATTGTAGAAAGTAGTTGCAAATTTCACTATTTCAACAAATAAATTTTACAAACATGATGTAAATGTATTAAGATTGAAAATATGTAAAAAGATACTTATTTGACTTAAAATAAGTTCAATAGTTTAAAACCATACTAGTAGCTATGTATATTTGCCAAACAGAAATGTTTTCTTTATGGGCATTTTCTGGCCACACAAGCTTCAGTTTGCATCTGAGTGAATTATGAATCTGTTGATTTTTCAGGTCCTCCAAGTCATCAGCCTGAAGCTGCTTCTCAAGGTGAACTTTTATAAATCTTAATCATTTTAGACCATAAAACAAAGGGAACAGTGCCCAATTAATTTTGTATTTAAATATTTTAATTTCTTGGTAGTTTATTTAATAAATGCTATAAATAATCTTAGTCTGTTTTATGGTGTTTGTTAATTATGCCAGTATGCAGGTCCTCAGCCAGTAGGTATCATGTGACTTTCTATTGATTTGCAGACACAGAGACACTCGCCTTATTAAACACAAGAAAAGAGGAATACAAACAGGCTGCAATTCTGGCCAAGAAATCTGGTGATGATGAAACGGCAAAAAAATATTTGAAGATAATGAAGGTAAGATTTTTTCATTGTTGCCAATTTTCATACCATTGGATAATTTGTGAAGGAATAAATACCAGAAATTCAGAATACACTCAAATGCCAAGCGCTGTTGATATTGACAGTTTTTGTAATTAAAAAAAAATTCTTTTCTCTTTTTTGACATTGCCCAGCAATTTGATGCAGTGATCCAGGCAGCTACTGCAGGCAATCCTATAGACCTGAGCCAGATGCCCCCCTCACCAGGAACAGCAACAGGTGGACTGTTTGAAATCTCTCTGACTGATCCTTTGCATACTTATAATACATTACTATTATCTAGAACAGTTTAAAGTTTTATTCAGCATCAACAATAAAAGTGCCTGGAATATTTTAAAAAATAATGGAAAGATATCTTTGAAACCTATTTCAAAAAGGGTTTGGTTTACAGTAGCTTTAAGGTGTATTAAAAGATGAATATTATGAAATGTTTATCAGAAGCATCTCTACCATGTATGCAGAAGCTGGAATCTGTTCTATTTCATGTTTGTTTTTTAGTTACAGAAAAACAAAGATGTTGGATGTCAAATAAGATACACATTCTTTATTTAAAGAAATTATTTTAGTGTATATGATTTCCCTTGTCAGTATTTAAAAATGTCTTTTTCAAAATCCTCCTGGTTTTGTTTCAGGAAAAGCTCCAAGTCCTACTCCTCACAGAGCAGAGAGGGTGTCGAACCAAGCAGCTGCAGACAAAGAACCAGAAATGGAACTTCCAGAACCAACAGAGAAAGGTAGTTTTGCTCTAAAAATCAGTTATCTGATGAATTTTTAATTTGCCAGGGAGACTTAAACATATCAATGCTTTTTCTGTTTTAAAAATGTTAAAAAGCTTAAAGTAGTGTATTGACATTTTATAATTCTTACAACCATTCAACTTTTAGAGGCCCAAGAAATATTTGGTGCTCCCCCTCCTCCTAAGACAGTTATGGAAGCTTTGGAGCAGAGGCTCCAGAAATATAAATCATCAGAAGAAAGTGCCAAAGCTGAGGGTAACAGTAGTAAAGCCAGGAGAATGGGAAGAATAGCAAAAGTATGTTAATTGCATACTGTGAGTTAAAACATGAATAGAAAACAGTGTAGTTGTTAAAACATTAGTAACATATGAATTTTCATTTATCTATCTTATTTAATTTTCATTATCTAGGTCTGCACAACATTTTGCATCAGGATGGTTAAAACCATATATGATACTACATTTTCACAGATTAACATTTGTCTGTAACAAACTTTATTTTCATTTAGCAATATCAAGATGCAATTAGAGCCCATAAGCTTGGAAAAGTTGTAGACTTTGAAGAGCTACCAACTCCTCCAGGTATGTGTTTAACAATGATCTATTTCTTATCTATTTTGATTAAAAAAATTAATAATTTTTTTTTAAATAGAATTTCCCTCTTTTCTAGTTTTATTTAACTTAAGGAAACATTACAGTAGCACTCACAAATTCAAGCCTGGAGATTGGAATTTTACAATCTTAAGCTAGTTTTGTTTGCTGTATTCTTTCAGGTTTTGCACCAATCCCCACAGGATCATCAGGTGCCCCGACAACAGCACCAACACTCCCTCCTCCCCAACCACAACTGAAGGCTGCAGCATCATCTAGTCCAGGTGGCAGCACTGCTCCACCCACCAGCAGACCTGTACCACAGAAATCTCCATCTGGCGCAAGTAAGATACTGGAGACCAGTTGTTCATGATTAGATCATTTTAATTAAACTGCACCTAAAACTAGATTGAAACTAGCTAAAAAATTTCATTAAAATTTAGTAACTAACCAAATGTCTGGAACCAGTTTGTTCCAGGCTGGGTAGTGGTATCCTATGGATAACACTGTCCACAGTATAAATTTGTTATCTTTGACCAGTTATCTCAAAGATGGCATGATTTTTACTAATAAATAGCAATATCAGAGACAAAAAGTATCCAGCATTTGGGAAATGTTACTTTACCCACAGAATAACCGCCCGTTTTGTGTTGAATAGAAGGTGGTATTAAATAAATCTAAATCATCAATACAAGGATGTATGAGATATTTTTTCTCTGTAGGTGTAAAGAAGAGGGCCTTATCCCAGAATGAACAGAATGTTTTGTTGCTTGAAACAAAGATGAATCAGTTTAAAAAAGCAGCTTTAGAGGCCAAGAACAAGGGTGAAATGGAACAAGCTAAGGCATATCTTAGATCAGCAAAGGTTAGGAAGAAATGTCCATGATCTTTTCAAATGGGGATGAAAACAGTATTGTAAAAAGTGTTTAAAAAGAAATTTATACAAAACAATCAATGATTGGTAGGCACCATTTGTATTTTTTCTTTGAATCTTTTTTACATGAAACCAAAGTATAGAGTAACTGGGGCCATGTATAGCTATGAAATTGTGTTTGTTCTCCACCAGGGGTTTGAGCCAATGATAGAGGCAGCAAAAGGTGGATTACCAGTGGATTTAAGTAAGGTAAGGATTGTGTCTTTTACGTAGTTGTGTTAAATGAACTATTGATGAAGAATAGATTATTTTGACTGTGTGTGTAAGTGATTTCAGTTTGTTTGTCATGCAAATGAGAAAAGAGATGTGGATGCCAATCGTGTTTACCATCTTCTTCCAGTGTCCCACTCCCCCTGGTCCTGAAGGCTTGGAAGGCTTTGTGATGGTGGAGAGAGAGGATACAGAGCAACCTATGGGGGATAGAGACCAAATGTATAAGAAGCTAGAAACAGATTTGATCAACCAAATTAGGGTAAGATAAATGTTAGATAATTCTTATGCATCTGTGGAGGTAATGAAATTATTGTTTTGATTTTGGTAAAAATGTAATATGGGCTACCTGACGATATAAGAATAATTTTTTCTCATTTCAGTCATGTAGCACAAATAGTGATCATTTTACTAGTCTTGGAGATGTGACAAGTGCTCAGAGGTTAGTTCATTATTTATTTATTACACCTTATTTTTATGCCATATATTTATTATGTTTCACCATACTGCTCTAAATCAGTGGGGGATGCTGGCAATATAAAGAAACATAGCACATTATTTCATATCAATCTGTCCCCATATGCATGTCCAAATTTTTTTTTTTTTTTTTTTTTGATCAGGTTATATTTTGCTAACTTTCAGGTTTGAAAAACTTGGACAAAACAGTAGAAAAGACCTTGATGCCTTGAAAAATGCATACAAACATGATGACCCAGTTCCTAGGTTCCACTATGAAATGAGAACCTTCTCTATGGTGCAGTAAGTATATGACTACAGATCAACTTGTCACCATAAAATAAGTTATTGGTAATCAATAGGATAGGAATGTGAAGTCATTGAAATGCCTTTAACTTCTTTATTTTAAGTAGTGGTGGATGTTTTATGATGGTTTGTGTATAGAATTATTGTAATGACTAAGAATTCCTTCAACAATGTTTTTCCCATTTAATGTTCAAAGAAAGGGCTTTTGAACATACCACAGTCAAATCTTCATTTCAGATGTTGTACAGAGTTGGGAGGAGATGATCTAGAACTTATTATTGTCAGAGGTCTTAATTATGGACTGCCCCCTGGTAAGTATTATTCAATTTAATGTTTTTCACATGTACACCATGATTAGGAATTCAGTTCACCTTTGCCGGGCTGTACTACTGAATGGATTATTAATAAAGGAAATCATCTGTGTTTATAGTTTCTATGAAAAGTCTTCCTTTTACAGATATTAAGGCAACAGACTTAGACACCTATGTGAAATTTGAATTTCCGTATCCTACAGTAAGTGAAGCCAATAAGTTTTTTTTTTATGTATTAGAATTATTATAAGTTAGCAAAAAGGTTCATTAGCTTGGTTGTTGGATAAATATGAAAATTCTCAGACACAAGCCTAAAATTTTCCGTACCGTTAGCTTACTGCCAACCTGGTCGAAGGCCTTCATCAGACTGACGTGAGTAGTTGTTCACACTCACTGACCGCTAGGTGGTATAGCGGCCAGGACCTTTATAGGGTCCTGGCCGCTATACCACCTAGCGGTCAGTGAGTGTGAACAACTATATCTGTAAAAGGAAGACTTTTCATAGAACAACTCACGTCAGTCTGATGAAGGCCTTCGACCAGGTTGGCCGTAAGCTAACGGTACGGAAAATTTTAGGCTTGTGTCTGAGAATTTTCATATTTATTATAAGTTAGTTTCAATCTCTTTAAAAATAAAGACCAAAACATTGTAAAATGACCCAGTTTTTCATGAGTAACAAATTAAAAATGAAGGTGAAGAAATTTATGTATGCATTTTTATTATGTGTCACTCTGTAATTGGTGTCCATATAAAGGAAACTGATTAACATTTCAGGATAAACCTCAACAAGACCACTCACATACCATAAAAAGCACAGACAATCCTGGTAAGTTGAAATGGTCAAGCCACAGTCATAACATAATGGTGCACCAAATTGTCATATAGTTTCCAAGTGCATCCTTCATTTTGATGCTGATTTTCAGTTATGTAAGTCGGACATGTGCACAGTAAGAAATTTTTTTAAACATGATGTGACAAATTGGGCACTGCAACATAACAGATATTCATTCGTATAATTGTAAGTGAAGAACTAAATCATATTAATGAAATACATTGAAATACATTGTGACCTTTCCTGATTATTATTATTATTGAAATAAATTTCATTTAAGAAAATTTAAGAAATAAGCTTATTTGTTTTTCCGCGACGCAGTCACTCCTAAGTTGGCAACTTTCCCCTTGTGACATTCCATTGTTGTTCAGTATGTAAGAGATATGATGTACAACTGTCTTAGCATCATGAATATGCACTTGATGCTCTTTTCTTTCAGAATATGACCAGACTTTTAAATTACAAATGAACAGGAAGTCTAGGGGGTTTCTTAGATTACTAAAAAGCAAATCTATCAAATTAGAAATTTATTATAAAAGGTGAGTATGTATGCACAGAACTTGGTGATTTACCCTTTCTGTATGTATGCAGAGTAGTGATGTTTTCAATGGACTGATTAATTTGAAAGTATCAACACTGAAAGTAAAGCAAAATACAAGTTTAACTGCCCCACTGTACACTTAATAAGAACACTTGTACCAACATTTGAATATTACTTGTTTGTTTCAGAGGATTTTTCAAAGGTGATAAAATGCTGGGTACCTGTAACTTAAAACTCCAACCACTGGAATCTCAATGTGTTGTCCATGAGATTTTAGATGTAAGTGTACTACTTTCTTTTTACACTTAGCACATAGCATTGAACAATATACTCTTATTTATTAACATTGATTAAAGATTTACAATTTTTCCATGAAAACAGAAATAGTTCATTCAGCACACAAAACAGAAAAGAACTAACATGCTGTGCTGTCTACTTATTTATGTAACATAATTCAATATCTTTCAAATTTCCTATGTAAGCTGATGGATGGAAGGAAGACAGTTGGTGGCAAGCTGGAGGTGAAGATGCGCATCAGGGAGCCATTTCTTTCCAAACAGGTTGAACAGGTCAAGGAGAAGTGGTTGGTCATTGATGCCTTTGAAAGGAAACTTGCACCTCCACAGCAGCCGAGGTCCAGGTCCAGGGTTTGTATTTTTTCGTTTTCGTTTATTTTGGATTAGGGGAAAAAAATTTATATATATTTTGAATCATACTAGCATTACTTTAATAATATATGTTGAATTTTTATATAGTGCAAAATTTTGATTTAAAGAGAAATTGCTGCAATATATGGAAAAGCTGAATGTAAATTGAAGTTCAAATTTAAAGGTAATTACCTTGATTGTCATTCTTACTTTATATTTCAGTCTCCAGCCAGGGAGTCAAGGTGAGTTCTCAATGAGTAATGTGACTTACTAATTTGTGTGGGTATGGATATTGGTTGTTATGACTAATACTTGAAATGAATGAAACGCCATTTAATATTTAAGAGTGATCATATTTACTGTATTGGTCTGATATCTTTTAAAATATGAGATGACTGTGCTCATTTTAAAATGACTCACATAACCAGCAGTTGATATGGGTGGAACCTTTACCCTGCCACTTTCTTATTCAGTCATACATGTTTGCTCCTGGCAGTATCAGAATCTTATTTGAGTGGTAAATTGTTCATTTAACCTCATTTTTTGCATATCTTATGTGAGCATGGTGTAAAACTAAGAAAACTCAGCATGTTTTTAGAAAACCATTTTATGTGCCGTTTATTTCAAATATAAGGCTTCATTCACATGAAAAATCTATTTTCTAAAAATCTATTTTCTATTCGTGGTATCTTGTGATCACGGTCTGTGCCCTGAATACTCCGTGGCGTAATTATTGGCAGCGCGAGCCAGTTACTTCCAAAGCTGTAATTAATTCTCGGCTGCGCTCGGAATGATCACAAGATACCGCGAATAGAAAATAGATTTTTAGAAAATAGATTTTTCATGTGAACGGAGTCTAAGACTCAAAGAAATAAGATAGGTGAAGTTGTTCAGTGCATTAAAGCAGTTTGACTGGACCATGTGTCTGCATTAAGCCTGAGCCTTGTGCTAAGTAATAGCCCATTGTATTAGGCTGCCCTTACATTTGGTTGTCGTCTTGTGTGGTCCTCAAAAACAATTCCATCATACAGGTTTAAGACTGTACCTTTGATATGTCATCTACTTGGTGTGTATCCCATGGTCTTTCTCTTGACAAATATTCTGGTTGCACTTCTCAATCCACTGTGTCATATGAAAAGCCTTTATATGATTAATTGATTTCCTTGAGTGCTATTTGTGTAAGCTTAAAAACATGGAATTAATTGAAAAACATGTCATGATAAGTAGCTTTTTTATTATTGTAAATGAGATAATTTATACAATATAACTTGTTATGTGTTATTGAGTATTTTACAAAAGTATGTTTTATCAGAATTTTTTTTTTTTTTTTTGTTAAGAAAGACCACGTGTAACTAGGTAATACTTGCTTTTCTCCCTGCAGAAAATCAAAAATGTGCCTGTTGGCATGAAACTCAAGACATTAGCAGCACAGACAACAGCATAGAGAGAGATGAGAATTCATTGCACCTAAAAAGACTCCGTCTGTCTTTAGTAGAAAAGTGATGCTATCATGTTCATATTCCCTGCCTTCAAGGAAAAAAGAGAAAGATTTTTTCATGTCAGTTTTTGTGAAAGGGCTAGGCTCCAAGATTTTACCAGTCCATCTAGTTATTTTCACCTTTTTAAAGAGAAAAAATTATCAAAAATAATAGTCATTGCATGGCTTGTGTAACTAAGAAGCTTCATGGTCACATTGTATAAAGAGACAAACATTTTGATGAGAATTAATTTAATTTATTTAATAATATACACTTAGTTCGATATTGTTATTTTTAAGATAAGTCTGTGATATTTTGTCATTTTTTAAAATTTGTTTGTTAGTTAGGTGAACCTTGGGACTTAAACTGTTCAGAACATACTACATGTCAAGCCAAATGGACAAAGTTAACTGACCTATGAATACAGTTTAAGAATAATTGTTATATGTTATATGGTTAAGCAATTTCTTAACTGAAAGACATTTCTGAAGTGCAACCAGCTAGGTTGAGAAATGGGTTGTTTAGTACCTGAACATCACTCCAGAACATTATGTATAAATCCTTTTACAAGTACCGTCCATTATAATGATAAGTGCATATAATCTCAATTTTGAAAAAGTTTTTTTTCATATTTTAATTGTGTTTATATTCAGTTCCTGAATGGTTTGTTTAATATTAGAATATTCAATGTTTATTCATTTGAATAAGAGAATAAAGGCATTTGTTTAAAATACGGTCTTGCTATTAATCTTGTTATATTGTTACAGTAGGGAAGTGGTCAGCATGGAAGTGCTGCGGTATGAGAAAGACTTGGTGGATAAACAGGTAATTGCATCATTATTACCAAAATTACTCTCACTAAGACAGTAAAAAAAGAAATTTTCTGAATAAAATGTATCCAATTTAAAGTTTAAAAACTTTTTTTCTGCAGATTTGCCTTTATATTACTTGATATAATCATTTTCAAATAATTTAAGTAAATTGTGCTATTGTTTTTTCATAAAATGCAGTCATTGGTAAAAATTGACTTTCTTGCAATTTCATATTTTCTTTTTAGATCGCCAAATACAGGGGTATCTTAAAACCTGTCCAAGAGCAGGCTTTGAGGAAGAAAAGTGAACAATACCAAAAGCAAATAGAGCAGCAGACGGCCATATTGAAGCAAGGGGGAGTGAATTCACTTAAAGGTAAAAAAAGGGTCTATGAAAACAAATTTACATCATAAAAACAATACCTAGTGAAATTAAAGCTGACCAATCACTTAGAATGCCATAGACTTTTCAGAAGAAAACCCTGACATTGGGTACTTTTATTAAAGGATTTATAATTTTTATAAAGTTTTAATTGGGAAAGAAGTTAAACAGTTTGCAATTAGGACATATAAATATGACTTTAGGACATTTATAAACACACACAGCAAGGAAGGATAGCTTTAATTCCTAGGCAAAAATGTTTGTTTGGCTTCAGTTGGCTTTAGTTGAGCCTGTTTATTTAGTTTATTTTAAATACCTATACAATGAAAAGTTGAAGCATTGGATAGTTGTGATATGCCTTGTGGTGATTTGCAGTGAAAATATTGTCTTATTGTGTGTATATGACTGCCTGTTTATATATTTTTTTTACTCTTTTTCAGCTTACATGGATGATATAGCGAGGACTGCGACAGTGTACCACCAGGAGGCAGTGAAGTTGGCAAAAGAAGGGCAAAAAGACAAGGCACAAATTGCACTGACAAAGAAGAAATGTGTGGAGAACGAGGTAAGCAATGATTTCAGTCATGGATGTCCCAGCTGGCATGTAATTTTAATTTTCTGGAAAGATGCATTTTAGTTAAATTTATGCAAATGCCTTATGAGTGCTAGTATACAGGCAGTTTTCCAGTATCTTGTTAAAAATATTTTAGCCTTTAAACAAAATAGGACCTTTTGTGGCCTCTTTTTTAAACTTTAAGTGAAGTATACTCTGTTATATTCCTTGAATTTCACACCTTTTTGATTGATACAAACTTGGACATTTGATTGACAGGTTTAGACATTCATGATTTGTGTTTGATATTAGTTTTCTTGTTATTTCCAGGTTGGATTAATTCAGCAAAAACTTTCCAAGATGTAGACTTCCACTTAGATTAAAAGTCAGTTATCAAATTAGTGCAATGCCAATTTTTACTCTGTCGGTAGGATAAACAATGTGTTGGGGAATATAAGAAAGGACATAAGATGGTCACTGTGCATGCATGTGTCACTTTGATGCCTTAATGTACAAGAACTTCTAAACAGGAAAAGTTAAGTAGACGCTTCGGTTATCACATTGAATTTTTTATTTTATACCAGGATTTTTTATTGATCAATCTGATTTGAAAGGATGATGCTTTACAAATGATTCATTTACTGTGATTAGGTCTATATATGTCATGAATGGTTATACATGTTCATCATGTGGGCTGTTGGGGTTTTTATTCTCACACATTTGAACTGCGTGATTTACAAAAAAATATGATGTCAATTTTAAATTGATTGTCTACTAATATGTAAAGCATTGTAGCAGGTTGCTTCAATTTGACTATTATTATTATTATTATTATTTTTTTTTTTTTTGTTAAGAACTTGTTTTCGTTCAGCTGAATGTCTGTTGCATATCAATTTCATGTTTTAATGAAAACAGAACACTGAGATCATAAGAGTTATGAAATACTGAGACTAATTGCAAGGCGTGTTTATTCAAGATAAGAACATTTATTTTAGGCCAGACAAGATTAATCTGACAGTCAAAACTTAGATTAAAGATATTCAATATAGTACTAGTATCTGTATTCTCTTTTCTAGGACTTCTTTACTTATTTCTGAAATTAAAGTGGTATATGTCAGCTATCATTTTCTGCATCACACACCATGATAAAGATATTAACTTAAAGTACCAACTTTGTTATTTTTGTACAAATGTAACAGTTATTCAAAATAAACACACAGCAGATTTAGATAATGAAAGATAGCATTTATACTTACGTAGGCAATGCACAGCTTTCAAATAACCTTCTACAACTTCTGCACAAAATGGGGGAAAAACCAGAAATTGTTAATCATGCTTGTATATAATCTTTAAACTAGTCTAGACAAAATGTTCAAACATGCTTGAGAAGCTATATTCACTTGTAAGCCAATAACTCATTTAAGCCATTTAAGACCTGACATGCTGGATCTAGACGCCACTGATATATACATACTGATAAGATGCCTGTACCAGTGTTCTAAGTTTCTTGGTGGATGTGTTTTTTTATGTGATTTAATCCTATTTGATGTAACAGAATAATGTGATCTGTTTAGTGGTCTGATGCGTACCTGGAGTCAGCAGAATAAAAGGTGAATGTTTCTTGTTATAATTATTATGATGTTACTTGATTTTTTAATGTGCTTGAATTATGACTTACACCATGTTCATCCAAAACTGCATATTAACATNTTTTTTAAACTTTAAGTGAAGTATACTCTGTTATATTCCTTGAATTTCACACCTTTTTGATTGATACAAACTTGGACATTTGATTGACAGGTTTAGACATTCATGATTTGTGTTTGATATTAGTTTTCTTGTTATTTCCAGGTTGGATTAATTCAGCAAAAACTTTCCAAGATGTAGACTTCCACTTAGATTAAAAGTCAGTTATCAAATTAGTGCAATGCCAATTTTTACTCTGTCGGTAGGATAAACAATGTGTTGGGGAATATAAGAAAGGACATAAGATGGTCACTGTGCATGCATGTGTCACTTTGATGCCTTAATGTACAAGAACTTCTAAACAGGAAAAGTTAAGTAGACGCTTCGGTTATCACATTGAATTTTTTATTTTATACCAGGATTTTTTATTGATCAATCTGATTTGAAAGGATGATGCTTTACAAATGATTCATTTACTGTGATTAGGTCTATATATGTCATGAATGGTTATACATGTTCATCATGTGGGCTGTTGGGGTTTTTATTCTCACACATTTGAACTGCGTGATTTACAAAAAAATATGATGTCAATTTTAAATTGATTGTCTACTAATATGTAAAGCATTGTAGCAGGTTGCTTCAATTTGACTATTATTATTATTATTATTATTTTTTTTTTTTTTGTTAAGAACTTGTTTTCGTTCAGCTGAATGTCTGTTGCATATCAATTTCATGTTTTAATGAAAACAGAACACTGAGATCATAAGAGTTATGAAATACTGAGACTAATTGCAAGGCGTGTTTATTCAAGATAAGAACATTTATTTTAGGCCAGACAAGATTAATCTGACAGTCAAAACTTAGATTAAAGATATTCAATATAGTACTAGTATCTGTATTCTCTTTTCTAGGACTTCTTTACTTATTTCTGAAATTAAAGTGGTATATGTCAGCTATCATTTTCTGCATCACACACCATGATAAAGATATTAACTTAAAGTACCAACTTTGTTATTTTTGTACAAATGTAACAGTTATTCAAAATAAACACACAGCAGATTTAGATAATGAAAGATAGCATTTATACTTACGTAGGCAATGCACAGCTTTCAAATAACCTTCTACAACTTCTGCACAAAATGGGGGAAAAACCAGAAATTGTTAATCATGCTTGTATATAATCTTTAAACTAGTCTAGACAAAATGTTCAAACATGCTTGAGAAGCTATATTCACTTGTAAGCCAATAACTCATTTAAGCCATTTAAGACCTGACATGCTGGATCTAGACGCCACTGATATATACATACTGATAAGATGCCTGTACCAGTGTTCTAAGTTTCTTGGTGGATGTGTTTTTTTATGTGATTTAATCCTATTTGATGTAACAGAATAATGTGATCTGTTTAGTGGTCTGATGCGTACCTGGAGTCAGCAGAATAAAAGGTGAATGTTTCTTGTTATAATTATTATGATGTTACTTGATTTTTTAATGTGCTTGAATTATGACTTACACCATGTTCATCCAAAACTGCATATTAACATTTTATAAGGGGATTTTTGTGTTAAAGTTTAGAAGAAGGGGCCATCTCTCTTTCCCATTTTTCATGCTACACTTTGTGATTGTAGATCTTTTCTGATAGAGAAAAAATGTTATTATTTATTAATGGATAATGAAGTTTAAGAAAGTGAACAACATGTCTCGATTAAAGAATCAGTTTTTTTTTAATTGTAGGAAATACATGTATATGAAACATTCCTGTGTATGGAAGTTGGCAAATGACTTGAATAAAATAACTTTATAAAGTTATGATTTTTTTTTAATTTCATAATTTGGACAAACAATAATAAATACTACATTTGATACTTTTGAAAAGATGATCATTTCAGTGGTCTCCTATTTCCAATAACATTGTTTCCTAGACAGGATATGGATGATATTAAACTAAAACTGTTTTGGATATGAAATACGACATACAGTACTAGTATGACCAAATTTTCAAACAGTGCAAAATCATACAGAGACTATGGGGGGTTATGGCATGAAATGGAATAAGACTTGTTCTGCTAAAGAAGATTAAAACAGTTCTAATTAAAAAATGGAGTGCAGTAATAGTCACACTAAGCACTTTCAGGGGCATCGTCATACACCTGACAATTACTGGTATGTGCACAACAAAAGATAAAGTTAATTCTGATGACAAAGAGTTACATCTACCAACAGTAGGCTGCATATGCTCATTATATCATTCTGATCATCTGTTCTCTGTTATAGCATCCTGGAGCATTTCCAGTTTCAAGGTTTCATATTATTCATTAGTATATTACTTGAAATCTTGAGAGAATCTTACAGAAAATTTTAACATTTTTTGGAAATAAAAGTTGTTTATACAGTGGGCCTGTGTGTATGCCTTCAGGCACATCTAACTTTTTTATTTGCATAGTTGTTGGAAATGGCCATTTAAAAAACCAAAAACATGAATTAAGGAGTGTTAAGATTTCCTTTACATCTCTTTTGTAAGACTTAGAGAATTGCAAATGATCAAAGACCCATTTCTTTCATCATTTCCCTTAAATGTTGGTGTTACAATAAATCAACTGTTTTTCATGGATGCATTATTTCCTGACTTGACCTCTGATATTTCAGGAATTGTTCTGATGTGCTGGCATCAGGGCTATTACTGTATGCATCCCACTCAATTGAGAACTTAGGACAACATGTATGCTTTAGTTCTCTTTTTCTCAGCTTTTCAAAGTTGATACACATATAAATACATGTGATGATTTTTTTTCTTTTGAGTAATAATAATTAAGCTTCCAGTTTCACAGCAACTGTGTTATCTTGCAAATTGGGGGCATGTTCAAGATCCTCTCCATAACAAACCTACTATGTTTCACTATAAAACAACATGTTAAATCTGTATTCCATGTAGATACCATACTTTTAAGTATTTTTGAGCACCGTTAATCATCTCTGTTGTTGTGGACTATCATAAGTATGAATATTAAAATTTTATTTTTGTGTGGATGTTTGGTGGTGAAAATGTGCTTATCATACACTTTTATTTGTATTAATAACTATTAATTTCACTTTTAAAAATAAAAATTTAGGACATAAACAGTATGTTTGTACACTTTCTAATAATGCACCCATTGAAACATATGTGGTTGTTTTAGATCTTAACCTCATCAGAGTGAAGAGGTTATAATAAACCTGTACCACAAATAGCACTGTTCATGTAGTCTTTGGAGAAATAACTTAAAGAATTAAATTTCTCAAAGCAGAACAGGATTAATTGTTTGCACAGTGCATATACACATGTACAAGAATGACAGAGGTGACATACATGTAGGTCAATCATTTGAATTAAAGTAATTTACTTATCAAGCTTAATGTTTAAAAAATCCCTGATAGTGAATAGGTATGGTGTAACAGCATTCTGAGGATAAATGTTTGAGATGTATTTTGATGATAAAATGATTTGGTGCTACAAGTAACATGAGCATTAATCTTTAAACTCAGATGTGATGCTGTAATCCAAGCTTTGCTGCCTTGATGTTGTTCTAATGTCAGTTGGGCAGACCAAATCTTTTTAAGTTGTAGGAAGGATTCCCTATAACTTACACCAGATTCCAGATGGTTGGAATATGAGAAGCAGCATGCAGTGCATTAAAAGGTGACCTGATTGTGGTGTTGTTATTAAGCCATTGCCCAGAAAGCATACTGCCAGATGCACACCCAAAGGTACTAGTGCTCCTTAGTAATTTGTTTTTCGAAAAAATCTGTGCTTCAACATTTTAGTGTTGATGCTTCATAAAAGAAATTTTAGAGAGATTCAGGAATTTCCATGCTGTCATCTGTAGTATTCTGCTAGGGATCATTTCTAAAACACAATTTAGTGTACATAAAGTAGTCTTTTGGAAGACTATTAGATATGCTTGAATAGAGTCCACTAAGTAAGAGGGGCCCAGTAAGAGCACAGGGAATATTGGATTTTTTACCACCCAGCTGCCTGCAGACCTGTGTGTTCACACTGTATGTGCAAAAGGTACTGAGGTAGGAACTTTGTCCAGATAAAATTCCCAGAGTGATGACAGATCTGGCATGTAAATGCTTGCTTAATGTGTTTGTTGAAAAATTGGCAATGAGGATGAAGAAAATGTGTTGTTTTTGACACATTTCTTTGTTTGCGTGTGTGCTTGGGGCAGGGGAAGTCTATAAAGGGAAAAGGGTGTAGATTGTTTGTGATTACATTGTGTTGACATATCCTGTGGATGGGAGTTTCCTGCATGGGATAAAGTGATGATCATGCTCAGATTTAGAGCAGCAGCAGCCCAGGCAGATGTAGAAGGTAATTAAAGTTGTTGTGTTTTCAAGTGAGCCTTTTGTTTTGTCTATGGTTGAGTGCTCCGGCAGGCCTGACTGGCATGTACAGGATGTACTGCCCTAATTTGAACTTGTAATATCAAAACATTTTCTTTCTTCTCAGCCTTGTTATTTCTTTCAGCAACCCTGGATTGGGTCTCTTCAAGTCTAAAGGCCATCCACAGGGTTCAAAATGTGCATCGGGATTCATGGATAGTCCAGGTGTAATCATAGAGTGAGCGCAGATGTATTTTGGTGCTCTGGCCGCACTTTAGCACCATGGCAACTGTTGGTTTAGTTATTTATCTCTGTGTTACTGTGGCAGCTCTTACCAATGGCAAACTTTTGCAGCAGAGGAGAGACTTGGTGGTGGATATTGGTAGACAGGTGTATCTGAAGCCAGGAGATATGGTGTTCAACATTCCCCAAGAAAAAGACATTTGCAAGGTGGAGGTGATACCAGACCCTATGACTCAGCGAGTTGGAGATATTGAGCCAAAGGTGAGTTAGAACCTTGTCCTGTAGCTTTATTANACAAAAGGTGAATGTTTCTTGTTATAATTATTATGATGTTACTTGATTTTTTAATGTGCTTGAATTATGACTTACACCATGTTCATCCAAAACTGCATATTAACATTTTATAAGGGGATTTTTGTGTTATAGTTTAGAAGAAGGGGCCATCTCTCTTTCCCATTTTTCATGCTACACTTTGTGATTGTAGATCTTTTCTGATAGAGAAAAAATGTTATTATTTATTAATGCATAATGAAGTTTAAGAAAGTGCTCTCATAGAATTGAACAACATGTCTCGATTAAAGAATCAGGTTTTTTTTTAATTGTAGGAAATACATGTATATGAAACATTCCTGTGTGTGGAAGTTGGCAAATGACTTGAATAAAATAACTTTATAAAGTTATGATTTTTTTTAAATTTCATAATTTGGACAAACAATAATAAATACTACATTTGATACTTTTGAAAAGATGATCATTTCAGTGGTCTCCTATTTCCAATAACATTGTTTCCTAGACAGGATATGGATGATATTAAACTAAAACTGTTTTGGATATGAAATACGACATACAGTATGACCAAATTTTCAAACAGTGCAAAATCATACAGAGACTATGGGGGGTTATGGCATGAAATGGAATAAGACTTGTTCTGCTAAAGAAGATTAAAACAGTTTTAATTAAAAAATAGAGTGCAGTAATAGTCACTCTTAGCACTTTCAGGGGCATCGTCATACATCTGACAATTACTGGTATGTACACAACAAAACATGAAGTTAATTCTGATGACAAAGAGCTACATCTACCTGCAGTAGGCTGCATATGCTCATTATATCATTATGATCATATTCTGTTCTCTGTTATAGAATCCTGGAGCATGTCCAGTTTCAAGGTTTCATTATTCATTAGTATATTACTTGAAATCTTGAGAGAATCTTACAGAAAATTTTAACATTTTTTGGAAATAAAAGTTGTTTATACAGTGGGCCTGTGTGTATGCCTGCAGGCACATCTAACTTTCTTATTTGCATAGTTGTAGGAAATGGTCATTTAAAAAACCAAAAACATGAATTAAGGAGTGTTAAGATTTCCTTTACATCTTTTTTGTAAGACTTAGAGAATTGCAAATGATCAAAGACCCATTTCTTTCATCATTTCCCTTAAATGTTGGTGTTACAATAAATCAACTGTTTTTTTACTGGATGCATTATTTCCTGACTTGACCTCTGATATTTCAGGAATTGTTCTGATGTGCTAGCTGGCATCAGGGCTCATACTGTATGCATCCCACTCAATTGAGAACTTAGGACAACATGTATGCCTTAGTTTTCTTTTTTCTCAGCTTTTCAAAGTTACTACACATGTAAGTACATGTGATGATTTTTTTTCTTTTGAGTAATAATAATTAAGCTTCCAGTTTCACAGCAACTGTGTTATCTTGCAAATTGGGGGCATGTTCATGATCCTCTCCATAACAAACCTACTGTGTTTCACTATAAAACAACATGTTAAATCTGTATTCCATGTAGATACCATACTTTTAAGTATTTTTGAGCACCGTTAATCATCTCTGTTGTTGTGGACTATCATAAGTATGAATATTAAAATTTTATTTTTGTGTGGATGTTTGGTGGTGAAAATGTGCTTATCATACACTTTTATTTGTATTAATAATTATTAATTTCACTTTAAAAAAAAAATTAGGACATAAACAGTATGTTTGTACACTTTCTAATAATGCACCCATTGAAACATATGTGGTTGTTTTAGATCTTAACCTCATCAGAGTTAAGAGGTTATAATAAACCTGTACCACAAATAGCACTGTTCATGTAGTCTTTGGAGAAATAACTTAAAGAATTAAATTTCTCAAAGTAGAACAGGATTAATTGTTTGCACAGTGCATATACACATGTACAAGAATGACAGAGGTGACATACATGTAGGCCAATCATTTGAATTAAAGTAATTTACTTATCAAGCTTAATGTTTAAAAAATCCCCGATTGTGAATAGGTACATGTATGGTGTAACAGCATTCTGAGGATAAATGTTTGAGATGTATTTTGATGATAAAATGATTTGGTGCTACAAGTAACATGAGCATTAATCTTTAAACTCAGATGTGATGCTGTAATCCAAGCTTTGCTGCCTTGATGTTGTTCTAATGTCAGTTGGGCAGACCAAATCTTTTTAAGTTGTGGGAAGGATTCCCTATAACTTACACCAGATTCCAGATGGTTGGAATATGAGAAGCAGCATGCAGTGCATTAAAAGGTGACCTGATTGTGGTGTTGTTATTAAGCCATTGCCCAGAAAGCAGGGCCCAGAAAGCATACTGCCAGATGCACACCCAAAGGTACTAGTGCTCCTTAGTAATTTGTTTTTCGAAAAAATCTGTGCTTCAACATTTTAGTGTTGATGCTTCATAAAAAAAAATTTAGAGAGATTCAGGAATTTCCATGCTGTCATCTGTAGTATTCTGCTAGGGATCATTTCTAAAACACAATTTAGTGTACATAAAGTAGTCTTTTGGAAGACTATTAGATATGCTTGAATAGAGTCCACTAAGTAAGAGCACAGGGAATATTGGATTTTTTACCACCCAGCTGCCTGCAGACCTGTGTGTTCACACTGTATGTGCAAAAGGAACTGAGGTAGGAACTTTGTCCAGATAAAATTCCCAGAGTGATGACAGATCTGGCATGTAAATGCTTGCTTAATGTGTTTGTTGAAAAATTGGCAATGAGGATGAAGAAAATGTGTTGTTTTTGACACATTTCTTTGTTTGCGTGTGTGCTTGGGGCAGGGGAAGTCTATAAAGGGAAAAGGGTGTAGATTGTTTGTGATTACATTGTGTTGACATATCCTGTGGATGGGAGTTTCCTGCATGGGATAAATTGATGATCATGCTCAGATTTGGAGCAGCAGCAGCCCAGGCAGATGTAGAAGGTAATTAAAGTTGTTGTGTTTTCAAGTGAGCCTTTTGTTTTGTCTATGGTTGAGTGCTCCGGCAGGCCTGACTGGCATGTACAGGATGTACTGCCCTAATTTGAACTTGTAATATCAAAACATTTTCTTTCTTCTCAGCCTTGTTATTTCTTTCAGCAACCCTGGATTGGGTCTCTTCAAGTCTAAAGGCCATCCACAGGGTTCAAAATGTGCATCGGGATTCCTGGATAGTCCAGGTGTAATCATAGAGTGAGCGCAGATGTATTTTGGTGCTCTGGCCGCACTTTAGCACCATGGCAACTGTTGGTTTAGTTATTTATCTCTGTGTTACTGTGGCAGCTCTTACCAATGGCAAACTTTTGCAGCAGAGGAGAGACTTGGTGGTGGATATTGGTAGACAGGTGTATCTGAAGCCAGGAGATATGGTGTTCAACATTCCCCAAGAAAAAGACATTTGCAAGGTGGAGGTGATACCAGACCCTATGACTCAGCGAGTTGGAGATATTGAGCCAAAGGTGAGTTAGAACCTTGTCCTGTAGCTTTATTACTTTTCTTTTCCCAGTAACAGAATCTCTCCCACCCCTTGCAAATTCTCACATAAATTCAGTCTTATGCAATAAATGAAGATTAAGATCTGTGAATGAGATTGAATTATCTTTTTCTTTAACTTAAAAATTTTAATATTTCATTTGTTGTATCATATTTTCTATTTTCTGCTATAATTTATATTTTGCCCTTCAAAGTCACATTTGCATTCAAAGTATTTAGCATGCTGAAGATCCCTGAATTATATTCTGTAATGTTAAAACTTTATTACTTGCAAAATGGCTTGAAATAACAGAAAGTGGAGCATATGAGCAATATATTTACAATGTCCACACAAAACACATTTGCTGACATCTGTTTAGAATTATAAAGATAAAAAAAACTCTTTATAACAAGGCCTAGCTACCTGCCTTGAAGCCTCCCTTAGACCCTGGAGTGCCCAAATAAAATTCTTCTTTTCATTTTAACTAATGTTACATATTTTTTAAATAGCAGTAGGTAGTTTGGTTTTATAGACTTCAAATGTTTTCTTTTTCTTTTATTGATTTTTTTTTTTTTTTTTTTTTTTTGTGAATAAAAGATCATTAAAAATGAAACTGCTTCATTAGAGAAGGTAGTGGAATGATTCTGACTACAGTAGAAACATGTCAATCACACCAAACAATATAAAACCAGCGTCCACAGATAGCACCAGCCATTCTTGACAGAAATGATTAGATGGTGATGGTGTTCTACTTGCCGACAACTTTTCCTTTCTCTATGGCAATTGCTGATTACTGTACCTAGCCTTCAGAGCCTTTGGCAAAAGTTAGGAATTTGTCTGCATGAACAGTCTGCTTCTTGTCAAGATTTGTGATAGTTGGAAGCAATAGCTAGGGTGTAGCATATATAAAAACTTTACAAAGTTTAATATAAGGGCATACTGTTCAAACACTGTGATATATAATTTGTCAAGGTTCTTTTGAAATACTTTTGATGTTGGAAAGGTTAGTTGAAAATGTTATCAGATAATTGTTTTAATTAGATTTCCCCTGATTTCAAAATTGAATTTTGCATCCTGATTCTTTGGTTTGTTTTCATTGTATTGTACCAGCAACACTAGTGCTTATAGCTGCTTTTAAACACAGCCATTAGTGTCTATAGTACTCCCTATTTCCTTCATCAACTTGTTACTACTCTGCTTGATATAAACATCCTAGAATGAATCAAGAGCTTTTAAAGATTTTTTATAAAAGATATTTTAAATTTAAACCATGGAGCATTAGCTTGGCAAGAAAGCTTTTACAAAAACAGGCAGTAAAGATCTGTTTCCAACAGAAAGGGTCCAGCCTCGCTGGAAACAGGCCTTGAGTAAAAGTTCAAGAGTGACAGGATCCACGTCTGTTGCCAGCAGGAAATGTGGGGCATCTGATTGTGCTTATCAACTCTATCTCCATGTTGGTGGTGACTCCTATCTCTGCACTTCATGACACCATAGTCATTAATGAACTAAAACTTATTGCGAAATAAAAATTAATTGATTTTTGTAATGTTGCTTAAAAGGAACAAAATATACCTTAAAACAGATCTTATGTGTCTAATTGCTCTATAGTGCTGAAGAAATTGATTCAATGCATGTTATTAGTTCAAGAAAGCTACGGAAAGAAATTATGCTAACCATGCCATTACATTTCTAACAAATAAGTTATGCATTTTGAACAGCAGTATGATTTATTGTTTTTGATGAAAGATTGGCGCGAAATTTGTTAGTGAAATATATATATAAATGCTTTGCTTTATATAATATATAATATCCTCATTTTATCCTCAGTATATAATATCCTCATTTTAGGTGTTTGACTGCCATTTTGCCCTGAATACAGTGCAGTACACACACAGTGGCAATCCTCTGCTGGACATGGACACTGTGAAATTGCGAGCTCACTACTTCACAGCCAGTGACACTTTTACTGAGACTTTCCACTTGACAATTCACATCAGAAACACCTCATACAATATCATAACTGTGAACACTCCTCTACTGCCAGTGACAGTTCTAAACTTTTATGATCTTTCCAATGCCATAGATCATACAGTAATTCGGTTCAGCTACAGCCAGGATGTCAATGTGACTTGCACAGTCAGCTTCACAAAGTATCGCAGCTCATGGCCCATGTTAGGGCAGCTTGTGATGGGGATGGAGAAAAAGCCTGTGGATGCTTTAAAACAGGACTGTTATCAGTTTATGATGGTGCAGTTGCGGTATGAGCACCTTAGTCCACCAACTCCTAATATGGACTACCTGCCACTGAAAGTAGAGTTGTATGATCCCAGTGTGAGCACTGAGCTTGTGGTGGAAAGAATATTTCTACCTGTCCATATCAAACCAGCCTTCCCTAACATGCCACCCCAGGCTGCCTTCATGAGTTCATACTTAATGGACGTGGATCAGTTTGTCTTGGCTACTCTTGAACCAGCTATGATATCTGCCAAAGATGAAGAAACGAAGGACTCTTTACTAGTGTTTAATATCAGCCAACCTCTCACTGAGGATCAGGGATACTTTGTCCACTTGAGTGACCACACACAGCCCATCAGTGCCTTCAAGCAGGGAGACCTAGAGAACTACATGATAGCCTACAGGCCGCCAGGGAAAGCAGCCTCGGAGAGGAGGTTATTTGATGTGGAGTTCACAGTGTTTGATACTTTATTTTCAGGGAGTCAGCCTTTTATGCTAACAATAGCAGTGAAACCCACACAAACCAATGCACCAAGGGTGGCTATTAACAAAGGGTTGACTGTGCTAGAGGGTCAGTCTCAGCCCATAAGGACTTCAAATTTGTACATCGTGGACAGTGACAACATAGACCAAGTTCAGTTGATCATTCGAGGAGGTTTGAGACATGGAAGGTTATTGGCCCATGGTCGTTCAATTGTGGCAATTACACAGTCTGATATTGAAGAGGGAAGAGTGTCTTATCAACATGATGATAGTGACACACTGGACGACTTTATAGAATTTAGAATCTCTGACAGAAGCAGTGTCATTTATACAAAATTCCCAATTCGTATTTTGCCCAAAGATGACAGCCCTCCTTCTCTGATCAACAACATTGAGTTGCGTCTTAGGGAAGGTGACACTGTTCCAATTACAGACAGCATTCTGAGTGCACATGATACAGATTCTAATGACAACCACATTATATATTCTCTGGTATCCAAACCTATAGCTGGAGAAATACTGAAGAAATATAGATCTACAATGTATGGGGAACCAGTTACCAAATTTACACAGCAAGAACTTGCTCAAGGTTTTATCTACTATCACCACTTTGGTGGAGAAATATTTGAAGATTTCATTGAGTTTACCTTACATGATAGCAATGATCCCCCAAATGAATCTAGTCAACAGATAATGATGATAACCATTGAACCAATCAATGATATTTCCCCAGAACCTGTAAGTGGCAAAGAACGATATTTAGAAGTGAAAGAAAGTGACTTGGTATTAATAACAAATTCTCAGCTACAGTACACAGATTCTGAATCAGAGGATGACCAACTTGTGTACTCAGTCACCAGTGGGCCTTATTTCGTAGGATCCTCATCGACTGAGGATGCAGGCAGACTGGTATCAGTAGACCAGCAGCCAATGTTGATGAAGGACCCCTCCCTCCCCACTATCACGACATTCAAGCAATATGAGGTGAACCATGCCAAAATTGCATATATGCCACCCTCTAATGATATAGGCTCTACATCAAAGCAAGTCCAGTTCTTGTTTTCTGTCTCAGACTCTGCAGGAAATGAATTGACTGGGCAGTCATTTGACATCACAGTGTTACCAGTTGATAATCAACCACCGCATCTAAAAACAGAAACTGTGAAGGCCAAAGAAGGAGGCACCTTGGCCATTACAAGTAATTATATTATGGTATTTGATCCTGATACTTCAGTAGCAGATTTGGAATTTGTGATAGAGAAGATCCCCAACCATGGAAATCTTACCAGTGATGGGAACATGTTATTCCAGGGCTCACATGTGGGCAGGCAGGACATGGCAGAGAGGAAATTCAGGTTTGTTCACTGTATCTGGCATTAATACACATATATTAAGATTTAAGACGAAAGGGTAACTAAAATTAATCATTTTCTGTGATACAAGCTTTTTGAAGAAGCATAATTTATTAATCTTCCTGAAACTGCTTTTTATTTTTGTTATTCAAGACAAAGGTGGATCCCATCTGTTATTCAAACACTTATCACTTTATTTTATGCAGTTTCGTTAACAAGTTAGCAAAAGTGTGTCCATTACATATAGTTGTGACTGAATGATCTGATTGACATTACTGATCATATTTTTCTTGATGACTATAATATACTTACAGGTATCACCATGATGGTAGTGAGACAACCTCAGATAGCTTCATCATCATGGTAACAGATGGGACACACAGGGTTACTGCCCCTGTCAATATACAGATAGACTCAGTAGATGATGAACCACCACACTTCTTAGACAATCTCAAGAATCCACTAGAAGTCCCAGAGAGTGGAGAGGGAATGATAACATTACCTTATCTGGCAGCTACAGATACAGATACAGAGGATGATTTGTTGATCTTTTCAGTCGTCAGCCCTCCATCCAAAGGTCTGCTCTTTGTGAATGGTCAGCTAGCAACTCGCTTCATCCAAAAAGATGTCCGTCTGGGTATGGTAACATATCGTCACAGAGGCTATGAAATTGGAAGTGAAGCTCAGTATGATTCCATGACATTTGTGCTGTCAGATTCTGATGTACCCACCCACCAGTCCCTGACTCTACATGACTTAAATATAACCATTGTTCCATTGGACAACCGAAGGCCCCGTATCAAGTCAGACAGACTGATTGTGGTAGGTGAGGCAGACACATTGCAGATCACAACCAAAATGTTGAATGCAGAGGACATTGACACTCCAGATGGTGAGCTTCTATTTATTATAAGAGAACAACCCAAGTTTGGTTTCTTTGAAAACATCCAACCTGATCCAGGATCTGAAAAGTTAAACAGAGGAATAAGAATCTCACAGTTCAAGTTGAGTGATGTTCAGAATGGTCTTATAAATTATGTCCAATCCAGACATGAAGGTGTTGAACCTCGTTCAGATGCAGTAAGCCTTGTTGTCAGTGATGGTAAGTTAAGATCAACAGAGACAGAGATAACTATAAGAATTATGCCACAGAATGATGAGCTACCAGAAGTGACGTTAGCTGACTTTCTTGTAGAGGAAGGTGGGGAAAAAGTCATTGACACATCCATGATAAATTTGGTGGATAAAGACACACCAAGAGAAATTCTCACTATTTCAGTCTCTAAGAAACCAAAGCATGGCCATGTTGCCATCATGGCACAGTCATACAGTCACGGAGAACTGGTAGAGCTGCCAATGCCAGAGTTTACTGTGGATGATCTCAACTCAGACTTGGTTATGATGTATAAACATGATGGAACAGAGAATTTTGCTGACGAGTTTACAGTTCAGGTTTCAGATGGCAAACATACTGTCTACAAAACAGCCTCTGTAAAGATTAAGCCCATAAATGATGAAAAACCTGTTGTTCTAAGAAATGCAGGCCTCCATCTTGAATTTGGTGAAACATCTTTGATATCTGGAGCATCCCTTATGACAGCAGATGGCGATAACCATGACAACGAGATTAACTTTATAATAGCTGAAGTTCCAAGTAGAGGATTGCTCCAACTGAAGTCAGATGAGGGCAGGTGGATAGAGATTGGTCCTGGTATGAGGTTCACCCAAGATGATGTGAACATGAACAGAGTCAGATATGTGAACACTGGAGAAATTGCCAACAATAGGACTGACAAGTTCATATTTCAACTCAGTGATGGTGTCCACTCAACGCCCATGGAGACTTTCGAAATAGAGGTGAAAAATTCCAGAAAAGACAATCTTGCACTCCTAAATCGAGGCATAAACTTAGAGGAAGGACAGCAAGTTATTATCACAACAGCTAATCTGAGTGCCAGTGATGAGAGTTTACGCCCAAATGAAATCCTTTTCACCATCACTGATCCTCCAACACAAGGTTATCTTCAACTCATCAGCCAGCCTGGACTCACTATTGATACATTTACTCAGCTAGATCTAGCCAGCCAGAAGGTTGCCTATGTTCACACCACCAAAGATGACATGACTGAAGACCTATTCAGCTTCACTGTCTCAAATGGCATTGCTATACCAAAAGTTGCTAACTTTATAATACGGATAACTCCAAGAGATAGAGAAATTCCTACTCTTAAATTGAATCAGCCTTTAATAGTTCAGGAGGGAGTGCTAGAAAATTTATCATCATCAAATCTTTTGGCCATTGACCCTGATACATCCACTCATAATATATCTTACATTCTTCTCAAGCTTCCTAGCCACGGAGAACTGTTACGTGGAAACCAACTTGTCAAGGATAAATTTACACAGTTTGAGTTGGACAGTTCACTAATATCCTACAAAAGTCAGAATGCCAAGTCTGGAATTGATCACTTCCTTTTCTACCTCACTGACAACCATCACGAGGGATTTCTCATAAATGGCACATACCATGTGAAACCAGTGGTCTTCAGCATCATTGTCAGACCTTTGGTAAAAATCCCTCCAAAACTGGTAACCATGGGTCCGCCAGGTGATCTTATATCACTGGGTAGAAAAAGGACAGGATTTAGACTCACAACTCGGAGCCTACAAGCAACAAGTCCATTAGATCTCTCAGAAGACATTCTGTTTGTGTTGACAAAGATGCCGTTGTTTGGAGAGATAGTGAAGCTGAATTCCAGACATACCATTGTAAGAAAGAGGTTCAGTCAAGCTGATCTAGATGCTGGGAATGTAGCGTATGTTTTACAAGACAAAGTGAAGGTGACCAATGACAGTTTTTCCTTTGTACTTCAGGATTCACTTGGAAATACAAGTCCTGAACACAGGTTGGTTTATCTGAACCTTACATCCATTGATTTATCAAGTTTGCAAGCACTCTTAGCATGCAATTCAAGGTCATGCCTTTGCCTTCAACTTCGTACTAGTATTTAGCATATATCCTTCACCTGCCCCATCCACACATGATACTGAGCAAGTTATACACACTCTCATTTTTTTCATTGGATCAGAACTGAATAGGTTATTGGTCTAATTATAATAAGGTGATAAAGGTATGGTGATTCCAAAGTGTATGGTCATTGATTAAAGCACATTGTTTGTTTTTCAGCTACAAACTGCGGTGGTCACTTATTCAATTCACAAGACCCGAGTATAGAGTGTGTGAAGATGTTGGGACACTTGCTCTCACTCTTTTAAGAAGCGGGTCTCTGGAGCAGTCAGCTTATGTCAGTGTGAAGGTGAGGGATATCTCTACTAGAGAGGGACTGGACTATGTTCCAAGCAGGGCAGAGCAGATACAGTTTGATCCAGGTATGCATGAGCAGTTCAATCATCTCATGATTATTTGTTGCTTCAGTATATTCTTTGACTTATTGATTCCATTAATATTTTATTTTTGAAAAATATTTTCTGATAAGCCTACAGCAAAGCCCATACAAACACAGCATTCTTTTCATGTGAATAATCATGCAAACTTGTTTTGTGTTCTTATCTTCTTTTATAAATATGCACAATGTTGGGTTAACACAGCAGGTAAAGCAGCTTTTGCTGTGGACCTGCACTTGGGACCTTAATTAATAACACATATATATATATATATATATATATATATATATATATATATATATATATATATATATATATATATATATATATGCTGTAGACTCATAGTCAGTCCAGTTCTGCAGGTTAACACTATTTATTTCTTTATGTAGGACTTGACAGTGCGTCAGGTATAACAAGTACAGTCTAGCTTCTTTTTTATATACAGGTGTCACAACAGCGATTTGGCAGGTGCAGATAAAAGATGATGGTTTGGAAGAAAGCAATGAGAAGTTCAAGGTCATACTGAAATCTCCAGTAAATACTGTCCTTGGAGAAAATGACAAAACTACTGTTCACATTGTCAATGACAAAAATGGTATGTAAAATAGCTAACTAACTTGATACTTCCAGGTATATAGCGCAGTGATACATTTTTATCAGAACTCATTCATTTTACCATCTGGTCTTCGTAATATCTTGAACTGCTGTATAATGTTATGAATGTTGTTTCTATTATTCGATGCAAAATGTAGAAAATAATTTAGTTCCACTTTAGATACTATATCCAAACTTTTGTGCTTTTGCAGGTGGTTGTCCCCTGCAGTTTGGTCTGATCAGCCGTGACCAACCCTACCAGGCCCCAGGCCAGCAGGTCCAGCCCTGGGCTAGGGTAAAGCAGGGCTCACAGACTTCCTATGTGGTGTGTAGCACAAGTTTTGATATGAGTTAAAGCAGATATGCTTTCTGCATAAAAAAGCATAAGACTTAAATTAGTAATCCGGTCATTGAATTTAGTTTTCCTGTATCTGAGTGCCTACATGTATCATCACAGAGTTGATAAACGATGTATTGTATTGTTTTCATGTTACAGTACCATGCTGTAGTGCCTGTGAACCCTCAGCCCACTTTACCAGCAGGTGTGCTCAATGAGGAACAGGTGGCACCAGTCACATATCAGAGAAGACATAAGGCTGGTGGAAGTAACAGGAGAAGAAAACACAAAAGACCAGAAAGTAACAGGAGGCAAGAGGTTGAGGTTTGTATTTAATATTAACAACAAAGAATTTACAGCACATTAACTGACAGAAATAATAAGAGAAATGAATGGAAAGTATTAGAAGTGATAGGAGGTTTAAAATAGAGTCAGTATAAAATGATGAATTTCATGTTTTGGTAACAATGACATTATTATTTAATTGGCATTCCAACTATGAATTGTACTTTGAGATGATAAGCTGAAACAAGACATTTGTATTTTACCTCTTAAGTCCACACAGGAGTGCAACCTTGTTACCAAAGGTTTGTTGCGATATGACAGTGCCTCAGACAAGCTCTTCCAGTGTAATGGCATACAGTGGATCAGATATGGCTTACGACAGCTATCCAAAGTTAGACGACACAAGGGAAAGAAAAGGGATCACATTTGCCCTAAAGGTGACTATTAGAGTTTTGCACAGAAGTCAAGCAGTTTTATGTTTTTAGAATTCATTTGGGAAAAAAGCTTGGTAAAATTGGGTAGACTGTTTATGACTAATTTGAATTTGCAGAGATTAAATTCGAATCCTGGTGTTATTTAAACAATAACTTAATATTACCTGCATTCCAACAAAAGACAAAAATTGTAAGATAATTTACATTTTTATACAGTTATTGCAGTTTAAAATGCTGTAAATGTAATGAAATCAAAACATGTGATGCAAATGAATTACAAAATATTTCCATACAAAAAAAGCACTTCCAATGACTTTTATATTTTTTAATCGATGTCTATTTACTTGCCAGGTTGGTCTAAATACAGAGGTCAGTGTTTCAAGTATTTTGAGCAAAGAGTCACATGGAGTGAAGCACAGCGGTTCTGCAGGGAAGTTCACAAGGGCAACTTGGCCAGTATTCTGAATGGAGAACAACTTTCCTGGTTGATGCTGCTAGGAAACAGACGTGCATTCTGGATAGGTAATGAATGTTTTGCTGAATTTCTTTTTCTGATGCACTTTGTTAATTTCAGCTGGGTAACAAGTGATTGAATTTTTATCACAGTTTTATATTTTCCTATTTTAATTTCTTCAAAATATTTTGTCTCACTCCCTTTTGGTCCTTACTTTACTGTGCTTATTGTATACAGTGATGGTTATAATTAAAATCATATTTGGAAAATAAGTTATCAAAACTTACTTTGACATGCTGATTTCTTTAGGCAGGCATCTTACAGATTTATAAGCTGTATGAAAAAAACTTTTGATTGCTAATTGAATTCAACCTACTGCAGGTCTGAATGACAAGAGACAGGAAGGACTGTGGGAGTATATAGGAGGGGAGCCATACACATATCGCCACTGGAAACAAGGATTCCCTGTGGATTCAAGTAAACGGGGACACTGTGCACTTGTCTCAAACAGAAGCAAGTGGATCAATATGCAATGTGAACAAGTGAGAGAACAATTCATATGTGCCAAAAACCCAACTTTGCCAGATATAGATATCTCATAAAATGAACTTTTAGGTGTGAATCCATTTACTAGAGGTACTAAACCTATTTTTGTAAAGTATGTGTGAATATGAATGACTCTGAAGTCATAACAGCATGCAACTATGATATCATTATTTGTCTTACCAAGACAGAGAAGAGGGAAATTGATTAGCATGATTAAAATGAGGCTTGAAGGTAGAAGATTCAAAGTAGTAGGTGGCTTGTACGTGGAAGATACAATGCAGTAGGTGGTTTGTAGGTGGAAGATACAATGAATCAGTACTTAAAGGAGCAATTCATGGGATTTTTTAAAAAAATTTATCTTTTTAGATAATGTGTGATCATATTTGAAAGGGATGCACCAATCTCTTTGAATAATCAAATTACTATCCCTCCTCAAAAATGACAATTTTCTGTTAAGTGAAAATGTGTTGAACACTTCTTACAGTTCACACAGCTTAAGCCATGTGGTCATAATGACACATATTTTTAGATTAATTGATCTTGTTTTCAAAGTATTAGGAACTCAGTATTGTAATTGCTAACAGATTGTCAACTATGCCAGGAAAATTCTTTCTTCTTTTTGTACTATTTTGTGCTAAAATTCTATGAGCAGCCACTCTGAAATCACAATTTAATTAAATCAAAGTTGTAAAGAACAAATTCACTCTCTTCCATTTAATGTGCCATATTTATTGGAACAAGAAAAGAACATTTTTTTTCTAAAAAAAGGTTTAGTAACCTTTTATATAAGGCATATTTATATTAAAAAATTACCACAGTAAATACATATCAACTGACAGCATTGTACACGTAGATTATTCTTATGGCAGTGAATTGGCTGACAATTAAGAGGTCTTAGTTGTTTTGATATTGTAAACTTTATAATTTAAGCATAATACACAGTCTGGACAAACAAAACTGTATGATACATACCTACTAATATCAGATTCCTATTATAACTTCTTTTAACATGATCTAAGGTTAACTTTGTTCTGGATAATAAAAGCAGATAACCATTTCTGCTGTACTGAATTTAAGAGAATGTTATCTGGTGTTCACATATTTCTCTATAACCAGGTTTCACTTTAAGACAGAAAGCTGCAGTGTAAAATACATGCAAATATTTTTTTCACAATCTCTTCTGCACACAGTCCTACTTAACCAGTATCTGTTAGATGATTTATGTTCTCTTGCTTATCAAATGATATGTCATTACATATTAAAAACATTTTATTCTAAAAAACCCTACATATCAAACCAAAGCAGTACACCCTCTTCCAAGACCTAAACTGTTAAAGGATATGCTTCAAACAAAAATATAAATACGTACAGTTGGAGTAATTTAGGGATAATGTCATGAACAAGAATTCAGCAATGGCTTGTTAATATTGGAGTTTTATGAAAAGTGTATAAAGTGAAATAAAAGCAACTGAATGTGACAAAACACAGGAGTATCACTTTCTTACTACAGTGTACATTGACAGAATATACAGTATTTCTACAAAAGACAAAAAAGTGGATTTTGTCTTTACATTTATAAGTTAAAAAATGCAACTGCTTCTCTCAATTATATTGAGAAAAATACATTGATACAAAACACACAGAATTCAATTAAACAGTATAAATGCAATCTTGGTATAAGTAACCAAATAACTGGTTCAATATAACAACTATAATTATCAAGTTAATACAATTTCACAATGATACTTGATCATCCATATGGTAATAAACAAGCAGAGTAATGCAAATGTTTTAGTAGATACTCAACACATTAAAACACTAAATTTCATGAATGGTCTCTACATCTTTATTCCAACCTAACATCACAGTTCATAATACTGCTTTAAAAACTAAATAATCATTGGTCCATTGAAGGTATAATTTTGATTTCAAACAAGTTTCTCAAAGTTAATAAGTTTCATTTATGTTTAACCTCCATTTCCAATTTGTAAAACAACCATCAGTCTGCTACCTTGCTTATGATAAGTATTTATAATAAAAACTTAATTCTTTTTCCATGGCTAACCTTAATATGTATCACTGAGGTCTTCTTCAGCCTTGGAACTAAATGCTTTGTAAGTTTGTCTGAGGTAGCACAGTTTTCGGCAGTGACTGGCTGTTTGCATTGAGTTCTGCTACTTCAAAAATCTATCCAGTTCAGATCCAGAGGTGTTTTCAAAGGGGTGCCCCCCTAAGAGGACTTTTCCTTTTGAATCTGACTTACTTATAGCCATGAAATGATTGCCTCTGCTATCTCCCACCCCCCTCTCACACTCCCTGACCCCACATTCAACACTGGTAGTGTCACACCAAAGATTTATCTAGCCGTCTTAGTGACAATTTGGTTACAATATCAGAACAAGATTTTATGACAATCCTGCATGGTTACAGTTGTGCAAAATGGTTGTTCACTGAGCTTAAATACTATCATTTTCTTATTTTGGTGATGCTCCCGATCAAATGTCATTAGCACATAATGCATTTTGAAAATGATTTGCATCAGACTGAAATAAAATTGAAGACATTTTCCATTTGTAAGAAAAGACTGAATATTAATTTTAATAGCTAAGAAGCTATTGTCCTTTCCTGGTGAATGATGCTTGTCAGCTGTTTCACTGATGCCCAAAAAAACATACCTCAGTCATTTTGAGGTTTTCTTGCAGAACAGAGAGCTGAGTTGATGTGGTTGTGTGGAGCAGCTCCTGTCCTGCAGGAAGTCAGGCTTGTCTTGGTTTTCTGGTCAAGGGTTAGAAACCAGCCTTGAAGCATGATGGTCATGTCTTGGGCTCCATGTGGGAGATACGGGTTATAAACCAGCCTGTGAACATGTCTTGCAGCACATTTGTCTGAAGTATGCCCTGTCACAGAATCTAAATTTGAGTACCAGAGGGCAGTAGGCAACCTTCTTCACATCCTTGCACTCTGTAACATAGAATGACAGATGGTGTTTTTTCATGTTAAAACAGATGGTTAAACTGGGTTTAATTGAGAGATTTATGATGAATGCAACAATCCTAGGCTTTACACAGAATGTGCTATACTAGGGGCATTCTGAGGTTTACCTCCTAATAAGATGCACAGTATAAATATGTGTATTTTCTTTTCAGACAGAAATGGATGCACTTTAAATGTCTAGAAAATATACATAAAGGGATCCAGTTATATTTACCTTCTCCTGTTGGTGGAGCCACATTACAGGGTGTTTCACATTCCTGTATATCATGTGGTTTATCTCTGAAATGGCACTTATCACTGGAACGCCCTGTATATGTCTTGCATACCACAGTGCGCCTTTGTTGTCCTTTGCCACACTCAGCAGAACACTGAAAACAGAATGTCACTTCTGGACTTACACTGATTTTGTCATCTCTTAACTGTCTCTCAGTTAGGGAAAATGTAACATTTGTATAAATTTGAAATGCTGGAAACAGTTTAATTCCTGCCCAACCAGGAGGGTAATGAATGGATGGCATGCATACAGATGTTTATTTATTCATTAATTTTTTATTTTGTGTGTGTGTTGGGGGGAGGGGGGGGGGGGAGGCAGGAGCAGAAATCAACAATTTATGAAGTTCATTCACATGTTAGGTGTAATGCCAATAATGTGGAGATAAAAATGTTTTAAATAGATTCTTTTGTTAAATTTCGGTGTATTTACAAGTTTGGCTGTCTATTTTAAAAATTAAATTAGAAATTTACATATGTATTTATAAATGAATCATAGTTTATGGAGAGGAGAACCTTAATGGTACAATCATCACTCAGTTTATGTTCTCACCTCTCCCCATTCGCCTGTTACCCAGCTTGGAGGAGGACATCTTCCCAGATTGCACCTCATCCTGAATGGTGGTCTTTGTGCCCTGTCACAACTTGTCACATTCAGCCTTGTTCTACCATCACTGCTGGTGCAATATACTTTGCGTGTTCTGATACCAGGGCCACATTTGGGAGTGCACTGTAGAAAAAGTGTAAGAAAATAATAATAATAAAATAATAATAATAGAGGAATAATGGCCACAAGTATATTTTAATGTCTTGACAAAGCATTACTAATTATATATAAAGCAATGCCTTATTATTGCAATAAGTTTCTTTCTTTTTCATTACCATTCTGATCTTATACGCACAATGTAACGGTTATTGTTAGGTTATTTAACAGTGGCTATGTGACTTATAAAATCTTTGCCATTTCTAAATATTTTATTTTCCCAATTTCCATCTTTGTTGCTGACCTCTGACCACTCATCAGCCACCCAGACAGGTGGACACTTGTCTTCATTGCAGCTCATCTGTGCAATGGGACGCCGCTTGGTGCACCAGGAATCCTCAAGATTTTTTTCTTCTATTTGATCAACCTTCTGCATACACTGGACAACCCGAGTTTTCTGACCACCACCACAAGTGCGGCTGCAGTCTGACCAGTCACCAATGACCCAGCTGAAATATTTAAATTGATGTCTTTGACATGCTGGAAGAGGTCCACTTTTGGCCAGGTAGGTGGATTTAAGACATTGGTTTTAAAGTGAAAAGTCATGAAAGAGTTTTGCAACAGCAGGACTGAATTTAGTTTTCTTTGCAAACCTTTTTTATTTTTATTTAACATGAGTAAAAAAATAATATATTATAACTATAAGCCCCATTTGTTAATATCTACAAGTAACCTGTCATTAAAATATATAGACCTACCCTGGTTTACATGGTGCTTCATTGCAATACTTTAGTTTGTCATTGGGTTTCAGATATCTTGGACAGAATCTGTTGTCAACCTTTGTCTTATCTCCTTTCCTGAGGCAAACTGCCTTAGATTTACTCACACCTACAACATATCAAAGACATGTTATTGATCATGTTTCAATGTGTTCAGTAACGAGCTATTTCAACCATATATGATAATTCAAAAAATGATTAATGTTACATGCAGCAATCACCATTTTCTCAAAGAAAACATTAAGACCCGTGAAAATCTTTATGATTAAATCTGTATTGAAAAAATCTTATTTTATCTCTCTTAATACTAGCTTTAATTAGTGGAGTGAGGAACAGCATTTACCTTTGGCACAGGACACTGAGCATTCTGACCACGGTGAGTACTCCCATACAAACTCAGCCTCTGATACATTACTTGGTTTGACTGGAACATTGTACTCATAATGGATGCCTTGATTGGATTCTTGGAGTAAGACCTAATAAAAGAAGAAATGACAGTGTGAAATAGTATTTACTACTAACACCAATACAGGGTATTCTGATTACTTATATGATTCAATATTTTAAACTAACATAATTAAGTAAACACAGAACTGGGTTGAGCTATCACTCTGCAATCCTGTACCATGATGACAAGTGGTTCCTGTATTGGTCCCAGTGCCCACAGTGTCTCTGGTGCATCAGGTGCCCTTTCATAGTGAAACACTGTGCCAGCCACCTCAAACTTCCGTGGCCAATCTATGGTCCAGGCTCCATTGATGTAATATGTGTCATTGACCTCTGATCTCAAAGCTGAAATGTAGAACAAATAGCAGATACCAGTTAGTCAAGAATTTTTTTATTCTGCAAGAAAAGTGGTATTGAAGAGAGTATAGAAGAATATTTACCTAGGTAATTTCTTGACAGGGTGTCTTCTGTTACATTAATGTGGACTGCACCTTTTGGAATTGTGACAACTTCTTGGTAACCTGTTAAAACATACAGATTTTATATTTGAAGTATACTTTCCAATAACTTGACATCAATTTCAGATATGGAAATAATTCAAGTTTAATGTTTTTCTCTGTTGGGTAAAATATATTAGTATTTTAAACAGAAACTCGTGTCTTTTTTGGACAACATTAAAATTAATGTTGATATTGGCTCTACTATTGAATAAAACCTTTAAACCAACTGTCTTTTTTAATTTAAGAGAACATCAAATACTTAGACCAAAGTACAATACTCTGCTTAGATGTCTTGTACAAATTATTAGCAATAAAATCTGTAGCATGTCAGCAGTTACATTTTTTTCAAGTATGACAAATGGTCCTGCCTCTTTAGGAAAGTTTAATTGGGTATCAAAGTTAAAAGTGTATTTAACCTGCGGAAAAAAATATAATGCCATTGCATGGGAACCACTTCTGCTGAAAAAAATACTTCTCCTATTAGTTACTTACTTCCTTTTTGTAGTGGTTTATCAAAGAGACTTGAAATGGTTTTGCATGTAGTTCCATCACCTCCACAAACTCGACATTTGTCTTCTATTGCCCCAGAGCCCAAGATGTGATCACAGCCAACATGCTGTATTAAGACAAAAAATACTTTGCAAAATCTATACAATTTTGCAAACATTTTCATTTTCAGTACTTACATTTTTTCATAGGCAAATTTAAACATCTTTATATGCCCACTTAAATTGATACAATTGGTTAGCTAGTATACTGAGGTATGTCTGTGTATCATTTAAGTTTCATCTCTTTTGTAAAGGCTTGTTTAATGAATATAAAAGTAGTTAGATTTACCCTGCACTCTCCATTGATACACATGTTGAGGGAGTCAGGGTAACATCTGGTACCATCAATAACTTTGGGTGCTCTTTCTGTATAGAAGTTATGTCCATCAGCCAGGCAATTTAAAGCACATGGGTTCACATGACCTGGAACAGATTGTTATGTGTCCTTATTTTAGGCCAGTTAAGAAACGTGTTACCCAAACTAAGTTCACTAATGAGACTGAAAAAATTGACTTATGTATCATGAATTATGTTTACTTAAAAAGGAGAAAATGTGGTGTTTTTAAAGATCATGTGCACTTAATAGTTAGTGAAAAAAGAAACAATTGATTGTTTATTATCATTACTGCAAATTCTTTAGATTTTCTTTAGAAATTCTTTAGATATCTAGATAATGCTGTACTGAGTTAACCCCTTTCAAAAATGATTAAGGCTTGTTTTTGGCACAATATCAATTCATTCTTGATGTCGGTGATATATTGAGACATGTCATTTCCATTAACTGCAAGCTTATGAAGGAGGTCAACCAACTTCATGCTGTGTCTGGTAGATGTATTAAACAATGTTCTTGTCAGTAAATTTACAGTTGATAAGTCTGTTGAGTTGCCAGTGGTTAAGTTTTGTTTTTGTTTTCAAATATAACCATCTATGGCTGTCCAAAAGTGTTGAATGGGAACTGCTAAAGTGACTTTTATGTGGTTGTGGTCTTAGGGTCTTATATATTTGTGGTTAGGGGTACCCAGAAGAAAAAAAACATAAAAAGGGCATTTCATTCTCTCTTGCTAAGTAACAATGGTACAAAGTGCACTCACACTAAACTACAAACAAAAGTTGGTTGATTTGGCACTAATGTAACATTTCAAGGGCTTCTTTATGACAAAGATTCGCTGTGACGAAGGTCCACTATGACCAACTGCAATGTCCACTATAATTAAGGTTCACTATGATAAAGGTCCACTTTGACAAAGGTTCGTTATGACAAAGGTGTGCTATGAGGAAGATACACATGCAGTCTGACAGAGGGCAAAGATAGAATGACTTAAAAAAAATAACTTTATTATATGTAATATTAAATTGATCGTGAAATTAGCAAATTACATAACACAGGGCTGAAAATTAGCATTAGCAACTGTAGGAAATGCTACTCAAATTTTTTTTAACTGGGGCTAAACGCCACCATCTTTAAATGTGGAAGCAAAACTTAACTACCTAGGAATGCACTGTAGGTGTTACCTATAATAAAACTCATTTCCTGGCACTTAGTTGCACCAATGCTCCGTGTTGCAAATTTCACCATTTTCCACAAGGCAAGTGATGAGAGACCTTGATGAAAAGGAAGCACAAATTGAAGCACTGAGCATGTGCCAAAACCAGGGACACACGAAAGTTAATATGGGACCCGAATTTTGAATTTCAACAGAGTTGTCAATCAATCCATTTTCCCCTACATGGATAAGTTCAGCCTTATTGGGCACAAGTAACATCATGTCATGGGTCAATTTTTTAATTTGGTAAATTGACCTAGTTATTAGAATGAAGGAGTGTGTCTTAATACTTTTTTGGAATACCAAATCTTCATCATATGATACCCTTCAGAAAACCCAATTTTATGCCTTCAAAATAGCAGACCTTCATCATAGTGAACCCCAGACAGATTTGAGAGGTAAAAAAACTTTGCTGATTTTAGAGCAATTTTCCACTTTTTTCAAAATGGTGGACTTTTTTCATTAAGAACCTTCGTTACACAGAGTAGACCCTTATTTAAATTGGATTTATAGCTTTTAGCTGATTTTACCTCCAGTATAAGGTTTCCATTTATATTTTTCCCCTCGAAAAGGTACATCATTAAAACTAGTACACTGAACAGCCCGGAATACAGTGGAGTTGATAGGACAATCCTGGAAAAACAAATATAATGTGCCATAAATTAAAAAAAAAATTCAATCAAAGAAATCTTCTACATACTGTTTACAATGGTCTATATACTTCCTATTCACAACTCTACACTAATAGTACAAATTTAGTTTTTGGTTGAACCACTGCACAATTACAAAATCAAACTTTGTAACATTTAACTTTAATATCTAACATCCACCATGATATATAGCTGCATTCATGTTTTCTTTTTACTTACATGAATATTGCACGATCTATACCTTGTTCTCTCCCCAATGCAGTATTTGCCACCATGAGTAGGACTGGGTCCATGAGAAAAAAGTATCAAATTGTGAAATACTTTGCAGAAAACATTACTTTACCATGTCATCATTTGATCTGTATAATCAATTTCTTTTTTCTAATGGTTCTTACATTTTATTTGAAAGAGCTGACAAGACTTAGTCTTGTAGGTTATTTGAATGATTTTTATTTGTATCATATAATAATTATAAAGTCTAAAAAAATGTGTTGTTAAAGGAAAATTGACAAAAGAACAATAAATTTAAAAAGGATTTGAAAGATAACTGAAGCAGGCCTAGATGAAGGCACAAGCCTCACCTTGGGTTATCACAGTGTCTGTTACTAGACTCTACTCCTCCTCCACATGTACGTGAACAGGACCCCCACTCTGACCAAGTCCCCCAGCCCCCAGATACAGCCTCTGGCATAGAGCCCTGAACCACACACCGCCCCTGGTAACACCACTGAGGATATAATACAAAATATTCTATTAGGACCATATTAGTATGTTTTGATGGGTTATTTTTATCCAGTATTTATTAAATTTATCAAATCATGACAGAAGCGTTTCTCATGAAGCAATCTGTGGTACTATGAACTCAAGTTGGCTCCCATATACAAAAATTGTTTTCTGTCCATTAACGTCTGTGAAAGCAAACCCTACATTCGCTACTGTAAGATATGGTAAATTATTTTAAACCAAGTTTAATAAATAATCAGTTAATGAAGAATTCTCACCCCTTTCTTTACCCGCCACGTGACACAGGCAGTACCCTCCACAGCTGGTATGCTATTCGTGACACAGCGCTCATTCTGGTTGGTGCACCATAGTTCTCTACACACTTCCTAGGGAGAAAGCAAAGGGTGCAATCATCCAATCAATGAAAAAGTCAGAAAAATTACATGGTTACATAAATATTAGGTTTGCAAATATGTTAAAAATATCAACATTTTTATTTTCCAAGGTTTTAGACCCATTGTGTATCATGTGAATGATTACCAGAAAACCCTGCAAATCCTATTGGAAAATGTGTTGAATATCCCCAAAATATATGAAGCTGGCAATCAGTATTTTGCTGTTAATCATTAAGTTGTGATGTACTACATAAGGCATTGCCTCTGATTTAAAGAATCATTACCCCGACTTTGCACTGTCTAGACTTAGGTCCATACTGTAGTTTGCACTGCTCATCTGCATCTACTTTCTGACCTGGGAGCTCTGTTGGAAACACAAAATCACGTTCCTTTGGTACATTTTCCAGGCATGCTCCTCGACCTGAACTATGTGAAAGGGGCAGTGGAGGTGAGAGAATAGGTAAAGCATTTTAATCAAGAAAAATAATCAACCAGATTTATGTATTTATTTATGTTCAATTTGATCCTAGTACATAATAAATTACAGTGTGAAATGTTCTCTATTTATGGCTCATATCCCAAATGACTGCAATTATTGCATTAGTATCATATCATTTAAATCATATTATTATCACATATAAATCATCATACCAATCAAAGAATTTTTGAACTTACTCAAGGAATCCTGTGATATATTTTCTGCTACAGCTTGACCAGGAGAAAGGGTCCACCTCTCGTGTAAGTTGTGCAGCCATAATCTTGGCTGGTTCATGCCCCTTTGTGCCACACGGGTTACCAGCACCATCATGTTGCATACCAAAACTAGAAATTTATGTTGAAATGGAATGTAACTATGGAAGAAGGAGAAGAAAGGAAAAGTAAACTATATTAAATTTAAGTCATGTTATAATATGTATTACTATTTTAGGTGGCATTTTAAGGATATACTATATAAATCTACATTTAAAGTAACCAATGGTCAATGACTGAATTACTTGTGTCCCATTTCATGGGCTATTGTAAAAGCAGATGCAAGTCCTATGTCTTCATTAATACTGCAACTTCTGTCCAGTTCACACATGCCAGCAACAGGGGCTAATCCTGCAATAAAAAGAATGATGATGAAACCTGAGTTATAAATTTCCAATTTTTGAGTCTCTTTTGTAATGTACATGGAGACTGGTGAATTTAAATGATAATAGTTTAAAAGAAATTCAGAACTTGATTTTCAGATATTTTTCTCAACAATTTAAATAGGATACACCTTGGTGATTAAGGGGTAATTGATGACACTCCCAGAATAAAAAATAATTTTTGCTATACAAGGTCATGTCTTTTATGCTAAAAATAGAAAGGGTGGTAAATAAATAAATATTTATTTATTTATTTATTTATCAATGTTGAAAGCAGATAGACAGATATATAGATGGACAGAAGGACACGACATGCAGACAGACATTATAGCTATATTTATTAGCTTTAATATTTTGCCAAGTTCTCACACCTTAAATATTATATTTAATGATACACACTAAATTTGGATTCTAACTTTTTTGGTTTGTACTTCTTCTCAGTCCCTATAAAAAAAACATTACATGCTAAAATTGCTGAGTTTTAAATTTAAAAAAGAAGGATAGTTTTTTAAAAGATCAAAAGAAATTCCTGAATTTATTTTTGAACTGTACTGTGTACAAACTCAGTGAGCTGTATGCACACACAGGAATGGATTATTGGAATGAACGAAAAATGTAACAAATGGCAAGTAAACTTCACTCAGTCTTACCAACATGTTTAACTTATCAAAATTAAAGAACCATTTAGAAATCCAAGGTATTTATTTTAGTGCCCTTTCAAATCACTACTAACACCTCTTCAAATTATTTTTGCAGCTAAATCCTCCTTTAACTAAATTGTTGGATATACGAAGAACAAAACAGCTTTAGGTTATCAGCTACATGATACTACACTTAACATGACAGTAGAGGGCTTATTTGGAATTTCTACTTCTTTCTATAGTAAGTTGCAGCAGGTGGCTTTGCCATCAAGTACTATATGCCGTCATGTTTCTTCTAATGCTTGAAAGTGGTGAATAAACAGTTCCCATAACATTTAAAAAATCAGAATATATGCAATGAAGGGAAATGCTTTTTAAATACTTGAGGGAGTTAATTGGAGTATGAAGGGAGTTAATTGAAATTTTGCTGTTAGTAATTTTGTTGTCATTGGCTATATTATTATCTTGTAAATGCAACTTTTCTTCACCTGTCCCTGTTGTAAAGTACTTATTTTTTCTCCCTAACACTATAAAACTGACAGAGAGGAACAGTTAGTATTCATATTAACACTGTCTCCCAGGGACTAACTCGCCACAGATGTAACTTTGGTGGTCCGTGTGCAATAGAATAAACAAAAAATAACCAGAGATTGGTCTGAGGTTAAGAGATGAAAAAAATTTGTATATTTATCTAAACAGCAGGCATTTGGCAATGCTTAACCTTCAATTTGCCTGTGTAACCAATTGTTTTTGATGAAGCACAGGCTACCTTTGGTCAATGGAAATCATGTAGTCATGAGTCAAAAGAGGATATCACTCACCTAATGTACCACAGGGCTGGTTTTTATATGTACAGATGTCAAATCTGTAAAAAAAGTTATATATATAAATATCTCCTACTTATCAAACATTATAGAATTTAAAATGAAATGTAAGAAGCAACAAATTAACTGACAAGTAGTATTCATTCATCTTCCCTGACTTTGTAAAGAATTTCAAAAGGGTTATTTTTCATAGGTTCAAATTTCCAGTCTGTTACGTAAAAAATATTAATATACTGGTATATGAAAATCAGCATATCTCCCAGTTTTAGTTTCCCTTCAAATCAGCAGCCTCTGAGAAAAAGAATGCAAGAAGTAATGGCTAAGCTGTCAAGAAGTGTTTAGTTTCAACCTTTCCTAACCCCTTAAACACTTCTGCCATCCACTGCACTCACTTAAACTGCAATTGCCATCATTCAACTGCTGTAATTAACATGTCAGTGTAGAAGCTGTTCAACATTATGGGGCTTGTCATCACATTTTGATATCAGAAATTAATCCCTTAGCTTATGAGATAGCACTGAGTCAACTTAGTACTGAACAATTGAATTCTCTGCCTCTTGTTGTGACTGGCCTAACAGACCATAAAGTCTGCTAGGTAATGGAGAAAATACCTATTCCCTAACTATAACAATGTAATAGTGACACAGCAAGTGGTAAGATTTATGGATTTCTTAATCTATGGCAGACAATTTAGAAACTACTACTGATTATGTTTCTTATACATATATGTATTCGATTTCTGTCAGTGGAAAATTTATAGAAAATTGTTATCAAAAAGTGTACTGTATTCAAGACATGTTTTCATTGCGTTATAAAATTGGCCCATTTTCAGGAAAGAGACACCTGATTGCAACCCCCAAGGTGTAATAAGTCTGATTTCTTTAGACATAAAATTTATACAGTGAGTGTTGGATGAAATTCCAAAGCTAAATAGATTATGAAGGTGCCCTGTGACTCAGGGTTTCCCACGGAAAACTTACTTAACAGATTCTTCTGGGGTAAACTGTATTTTTCCTTAACTAATTAATACAGCAAATGCCATGTACAGCAGGTTGTTTTTAATTTCTCAACTCTCATTTTATTTTATTGTTTTTTTAATACAGTACACATAATTATTAATTTCACAGTATGTGGGGCAGTTAGAATGGATAGACTGGATTCCATTTACCTTGTAATGAGTACAGCATTATCATGATGTGCTATCCCCTGCTCATGAGACTTTGGATTAATGGCCTTTTGCCATTTACAGAAACTGTCCAAAGATTTGTCTGCATGGTGGTTGATCTCAAGATTGGGCTGAAATTAAAGAAAATATGAGAGTGTTGTCTTCTTTGCCCTTGCACGTGTGTGTATGTGTGTGCATGAAAGNGGTGGCTGCACCCCTTATTTTGTGTATGTGGGGGTCTATACGAATGCGCTTGCTCCAGCTGGTGGTACAATATTCGGAGGCGGTATCGCCTCTCTGATCCTCTAGTTAGCTTTAATATTTTGCCAAGTTCTCACACCTTAAATATTATATTATGATACACACTAAATTTGGATTCTAACTTTTTTGGTTTGCACTTCTTCTCAGTCCCTATAAAAAAACATTACATGCTAAAATTGCTGAGTTTTAAATTTAAAAAAGAAGGATAGTTTTTTAAAAGATCAAAAGAAATTCCTGAATTTATTTTTGAACTGTACTGTGTACAAACTCAGTGAGCTGTATGCACACACAGGAATGGATTATTGGAATGAACGAAAAATGTAACAAATGGCAAGTAAACTTCACTCAGTCTTACCAACATGTTTAACTTATCAAAATTAAAGAACCATTTAGAAATCCAAGGTATTTATTTTAGTGCCCTTTCAAATCACTACTAACACCTCTTCAAAATATTTTTGCAGCTAAATCCTCCTTTAACTAAATTGTTGGATATACGAAGAACAAAACAGCTTTAGGTTATCAGCTACATGATACTACACTTAACATGACAGTAGAGGGCTTATTTGGAATTTCTACTTCTTTCTATAGTAAGTTGCAGCAGGTGGCTTTGCCATCAAGTGCTATATGCCGTCATGTTTCTTCTAATGCTTGAAAGTGGTGAATAAACAGTTCCCATAACATTTAAAAAATCAGAATATATGCAATGAAGGGAAATGCTTTTTAAATACTTGAGGGAGTTAATTGGAGTATGAAGGGAGTTAATTGAAATGTATGAGAAATTTTGCTGTTAGGAATTTTGTTGTCATTGGCTATATTATTATCTTGTAAATGCAACTTTTCTTCACCTGTCCCTGTTGTAAAGTACTTATTTTTTCTCCCTAACACTATAAAACTGACAGAGAGGAACAGTTAGTATTCATATTAACACTGTCTCCCAGGGACTAACTCGCCACAGATGTAACTTTGGTGGTCCGTGTGCAATAGAATAAACAAAAAATAACCAGAGATTGGTCTGAGGTTAAGAGATGAAAAAAAATTGTATATTTATCTAAACAGCAGGCATTTGGCAATGCTTAACCTTCAATTTGCCTGTGTAACCAATTGTTTTTGATGAAGCACAGGCTACCTTTGGTCAATGGAAATCATGTAGTCATGAGTCAAAAGAGGATATCACTCACCTAACGTACCACAGGGCTGGTTTTTATATGTACAGATGTCAAATCTGTAAAAAAAAGTTATATATATAAATATCTCCTACTTATCAAACATTACAGCATTTTAAAATGAAATGTAAGAAGCAACAAATTAACTGACAAGTAGTATTCATTTATCTTCCCTGACTTTGTCAAGAGTTTCAAAAGGGTTATTTTTCATAGGTTCAAATTTCCAGTCTGTTACGTAAAAAATATTAATATACTGGTATATGAAAATCAGCATATCTCCCAGTTTTAGTTTCCCTTCAAATCAGCAGCCTCTGAGAAAAAGAATGCAAGAAGTAATGGCTAAGCTGTCAAGAAGTGTTTAGTTTCAACCTTTCCTAACCCCTTAAACACTTCTGCCATCCACTGCACTCACTTAAACTGCAATTGCCATCATTCAACTGCTGTAATTAACATGTCAGTATAGAAGCTGTTCAACATTATGGGGCTTGTCATCACATTTTGATATCAGAAATTAATCCCTTAGCTTATGAGATAGCACTGAGTCAACTTAGTACTGAACAATTGAATTCTCTGCCTCTTGTTGTGACTGGCCTAACAGACCATAAAGTCTGCTAGGTAATGGAGAAAATACCTATTCCCTAACTATAACAATGTAATAGTGACACAGCAAGTGGTAAGATTTATGGATTTCTTAATCTATGGCAGACAATTTAGAAACTACTACTGATTATGTTTCTTATACATATATGTATTCGATTTCTGTCAGTGGAAAATTTATAGAAAATTGTTATCAAAAAGTGTACTGTATTCAAGACATGTTTTCATTGCGTTATAAAATTGGCCCATTTTCAGGAAAGAGACACCTGATTGCAACCCCCAAGGTGTAATAAGTCTGATTTCTTTAGACATAAAATTTATACAGTGAGTGTTGGATGAAATTCCAAAGCTAAATAGATTATGAAGGTGCCCTGTGACTCAGGGTTTCCCACGGAAAACTTACTTAACAGATTCTTCTGGGGTAAACTGTATTTTTCCTGAACTAATTAATACAGCAAATGCCATGTACAGCAGGTAGTTTTTAATTTTTCAACTCTCATTTTATTTTATTGTTTTTTTAATACAGTACACATAATTATTAATTTCACATTATGACTGACCTGATGGGAACTACAATATACCGGTATGTGGGGCAGTTAGAATGGATAGACTGGATTCCATTTACCTTGTAATGAGTACAGCATTATCATGATGTGCTATCCCCTGCTCATGAGACTTTGGATTAATGGCCTTTTGCCATTTACAGAAACTGTCCAAAGATTTGTCTGCATGGTGGTTGATCTCAAGATTGGGCTGAAATTAAAGAAAATATGAGAGTGTTGTCTTCTTTGCCCTTGCACGTGTGTGTATGTGTGTGCATGAAAGCTTACAAATGTTTTACATGTTCCATGCTTTTAAGCCAACATGACTTATTTTCACCTGTTACTAAGCTTAGGTATTCTGTAGGTACACAAGTAGAGCAAAGAAGTGTTGCATGAATGTGTTCTTCAGGCAAATTTCAGTCTTTGGGTATCTTTCTTTTTATTTCAAAGCAAGTAGAACTTTGTTCAGACATTCTGTAATTCCACTGATTGACAAAGACTCCAAACTGTCTATTCACTACAAATAAGGTGGTGGAAACATTCAAAATTATGACATTTCACAAATTGAATGCACTTTGAAATTTCAGGATAAGTGTTACATAATTTAAGTAGCCATTATTGATATTTAATTTTACAGACATCCAAAATACCATTCTGTCTGTCTGGGCGACTTTGTTGTAGCAACCTGAGATGCAACATTGTAAAAGTTTCAAGACTGTCAGTTGCTGAGAGCATGCAGAATGTACTGCTCAATTTCTTGCCAAAAGGGTGAGAAAAAGAAAAATTCTCTGCATTTTGATATCACATGCCTATGTTTGTGTTGTTATATGTGCAACTGGACTTTCTATGAAAATGGTGTTGGTTATAACTAGACAAGAAAGAAGCTACTTCTACGCACAATACAATATTGGTTAAAATGGTCTACAAGATGTGTAAAAATCTACTTCAATTAAGATAAAAAAATCAAAATTTATACTGTGGGGGACTGTAGCTTGCTCTATCCAGGGAATTATATCGGATAATTCCATGTACAGCATTTTTAAAGTACAAGTTTAGAATACACACTCCAGGGAATTATATCGGATAATTCCCTGCTCTATCCCAGTCTGTGTCTGTGTCTGTGTGTGTGTGTGTGTAGACTTACCTGATCTTCACTAAGCAGGACCAGTCTGGTGACAATGACATTGATTGCATTCCCTACAGAAGCATCATGGTAAAGTTTGGCAACCTGACCTCAATGAAATAAAATAACAAATCTTACTATTACCATAGATTGATCCAAGAAAAATTATGTCAATTTTATTTTTAAAAAATAACATGGGAGAAAGTAGCTGATGTTTTGTGCAGGGGGAAGCAATTAAGACCTATTTGTATGTTACTTGTAATCTATAGACAAGAACATAGATATATATTTTGCTTTTGTGTTAGAATTCATTCAAACTGTATGAAAAAGCTGCTCATATAATTCATATAAAAAAGCACAAAATGACATAAAGCAATAAATATTTCAATTGAAATTTATATCTTCCTATCTGCCTACTGTATAAAACATTTTTAAAGTACAAGTTCAAGTGGAATTTAGTCTCTTATAGTGAGCCACACAAAGAATAAAATATGCATGAATTATTTTTACAGATGGATTCCATTGCTAAAGTAAAATAACAAAGAGGCATGTAAGAAAACCAGTAAAAAGGGGTATAAGATTAGAACAAGCTTGGCTGGGAATGCATACTGAGGTAATGCCCGGTATCTTCCCGGAAGAAACCATTGACTAGCGTAAATTTAGTGTGAATACAATTTAGCTGGTAAGTCATTCATTCTGTGTCAGCTTTTTCTATTGAGTTAAGCTGTTCAGACCTGCCCAGACTGTTTATATAACATTACACTTTAAATCTAATTAAATTGACTGGATCACAGGGGTTCAAATCAGGACAGGTTGAAGATGTTTTTTTTCTCTGTTATCAAAGAGCAGTAATGACTGCAAAGTTTGGCACTTGTACTACTGCTGGCCATGTGGTAAAATGCAAAAGTTTAAGGCAAACAGGGACAAGATGCTAGCATATCAGTCAAACAGATATCAAGTTGATTATCCAATGTATACAAGCACTTCACAGAAGTGCGTAACATCCCATCTCACCTGAAGAGCAGGAAACAGCAGTCCCATTACTTTCCCCCTGTAGTACCTTACCTGAACTTTTACATATACCTCTTCCAACCCACTGTTTCACCACAGTACAGCACGTAATACACACTTTAGGGAACACATTTCTGTCAATGCTCGGGTTTCTTCGTAAACAATTTGCTAATCGTAATCTATTATGGTGCACCTTTTTGTTCTCTGTTCACATTTTTGGTATATACAATTTCATTCCTAAGGGATGCATTCAGTACAAAAGTGCTTGAAACAAAATTGTTACAAATCTAATTGATTGAATTGCAGCATTCCCCTTGCATGCACTCAAAGAGAGCATGTTGTACCAATAAAAGGTAGTTTTTCAAAATTCCTCAGAGTAATTTCCTTTGTCATCCCAACAAAAATTTCATTAGACATTATCCTCAATAATACAAACACGAACCACAGATCTTTCAGCACTACCACCCATATTAATCACATGATTCACGATTAATCAACACACCATAAAAGTATTTACCACTTCCATAGCAATTCCTAGCACTATCATTCATCTGCTTATCTACCTGTTTGGTACATTCCATATGAGCTGAAGACTGTCAAGAACGCATTGCTGCTGCATTAATACATGGTATAGATAGTAGAAAATACTAATATATTAGTTTGGTTTGTTTTGAGACTTTTTATATAGCAGTACGTTCGTTTTGGGCATTGGTATGGACATAAAAAATCCATTCTCTTACATCAATGACGAAAAAAGATGAGAAAATATAACTTTTCTGCAACTACAAATCTTCAAAAGCTCTAACATGCTGTTTCTCGCATATTCTGCCATATTGAAAATAGTCCTGGATTGATAAAAGTACCCATATGTAAACAACCAGAAATGCAACTGAAACTTGGTGTTTGGTATTGCTATGGTAGTGGTTACTTTTTCAGTGTGTTGGTTAATTCGTGGGTTGAGTGGTTAATATGGGTATTAGTGCTAAAAGATCTGCAGGTAATGTTAGTAAATGGCAAGTACGAGGCCTGAAGATGATCTCAGCTTATTGAGGAAGTCTAAGGTGTGAATTGGAATGATGTAAAAAAAAAGACAAATATCTGGTGTCACAAATAAGAATGTTGAAAGTTGAGTGTACCTCAAAAATGTTTTTTCTTTAAATATCAATTAACTGCATATTTAACAACTTTGAGTGCTTTATAAAAATTTATGGGTCAATCACTGCTCTTGCTCTACTTACAATATTCATTATGGTTAAAACATATGGCTCAATCTCTTGCTGCCCATGGAATCCAACCATCATTTTATCAACAACCACCAAAGTTTCTACATGTCGCTCTCTGCTGACAGATCGCCGCCTGCGTGATTTCCAGTTGTCTTTATTGTGGTATCCATAGTGATGAGGCTTGAGCTGCAGGCCTTGGGCCCAGAGGGGTGTGATGGCATTGTGTATGTGATTGGAATGAGATTCATGAGAATGCAGATGAGAATCCTGATGATCTGGTAAAAAAAACATGATGTCATTATTAGTATTTCAGATCAGAGTTTTTTTCTTTTTCACAATGATATAACACCTTGAAGTTTTTTTTTCCCTTCTGTATTGTGAAAATCTTTCGACATCCACTGATATGAAAAAGGATTTTAGTGAAATTATAATTAACAACCAATTTCACTTTCACATAGGTAAGTGCACTTATTTCCATTCAAGTAAATCCAATGCAAATCTGGTCTCTGAGGAAAAATATATTTTGCTAAAAGATGAACTAATAAAAATCAAGTGTGTATTGGATTTGTGGAACGACGGGCCTGATGGGTGGTTTCAAACAGAGCATGTTTTATTGATTTTCAGTGCAGATTGTGTCTGCCCTTTATACAATCCAGGTAAATGAAAACAAAACTTTTGGTACCATTTTCACATGTATCACTATGATCAAGGTATTCCATGGAGTCTGGGAAAAAGACAGCTAAACAGAGAGCTCAGTTATCAAAATAACATTCTTCGTTTATGTTGTATTTTTCTAGGTAATCATCCATCAGATTGTTTTAGTAAATGAACCATTATTCCCATGGTAATGTACACATGGCTAAAGCAAGATATTCACAACAGGTGACTGAGCCAATGATAAAGAAGTGGGAGTTCCTTTCAGTGTTTGGTATATGAGTCTACAGGTTACTGTCAAAAGAAAAACATTTTGACAGTTTTGAAATCAACTGCATCCACAGCTTTCAGTTACTACATCCAGTTGCAAGCACTACCACAGAACTCAAACTTTTTCAGGCGCCTTTTTGTACTTAATTAATTTTGGAAGTTAAGTGTGTGGTAATTTACTTATAAGAATGTTATACTAATACTTCAGTGGGCATATTATTTTAAACTATTAGAAGAATTTCATTGCCAGTTGTACAGTTTGTTAAAACAGGATTCAGGTTTCATTGATAACCTTCAAACTTATGATTCAACTGACTGAAAAAACTTCAAAGCACAACCCTTAATGAAACCGAGAATTTACCTCACAGCCCTTAATGAAACAGAGAATTTACCTCCCATTTAATACTTAACTCTTAAGTGTATTTCTTTTCCAAACAAATTCTCCTCTGAATTGTCTGTACTGTCTCTTCTAATATTTTGTCTTATTAGCCAAATACTAGCCAGAAGTCAAGACTTATTTCATTTTGCTATGTTGCAATTGTTTCCCACCCACTTAAAAGCATTTAATCCTTTTAAAAACTTCTACTGCAGGATTGAATTCAATGTTTGCTGAAAGTATCCTTATTTACCTACCTTTGACTCCACAATGACTACTTGAGGAACTATGACCAGGTTTATGTTTTAATGCTGATTGTTGATAAACAATATGAGGATGTCCCTGTGTTTCTATTGAATTAGTATGATTCCACAATGGCTCCACATAATAATGTTCATCTTGCGTAGAAAATAATCCATGCTGAAAAATAACAAACCTTTGATGTATAAGGCATAGAAGTAAATTTTTAATGCAGATTTTATTGATAGCCATTATATCATTTAAATGTGCCATATGGTTACTGCATATCACTTTAGATAAATGGAGTTATATGTCAAAATTTAGTGGGTTTGATTTTTTAAGAAATCAGATGAATGTGTTTGGTTACCATGGCAATGACAAGTCTGATGCACACGTGTCAGAAATACTCATAATATTGCCAGTAACTTTTAAAGATTTTAAATGCCTCTTTAAAACATTTAACAAAATTTTCCAAAATAATTAATTGTCTGTATGATTGTTTGTAAATGTTTTACATTTGCTTCTCTGACATTACAACCCAATCGAACAAAGTACTGAAAAAATACTAAAAAGATTCAATAACTGCCCGAAATAAAACCATGCTTTTATGCAATCACTCTTTTCTGTTCTAGAAATATAGGCTTGAATCTGTATTATTGCTGATCAAGGCATAGTTCACCCTTTACTCTGCAACTTGTTTCAAAGTCATTTGTCATAAAGTACATGAAGTTTGATACACTTCATTTCGTATCACTCACTGTTTTTATGTCTGCCCTTACTATTTGCCAAGTGAACCCCATATGGTAAAAAATGAAGTTTCAGCCAACTGGCAGAAAACAGGCTTCTGGTTTTAAGTGTTTGATTTGATATCATTACTATTACCAGATTAAGAACATTCAGCAGTTGTGCAATCAATTTTGAGTGCTAAACTGACAGATTTACTTGGCCCTTTTCCTCTTTTCTTTTCTTATTTTATTTTGTCTTTTTTTCACAATGAATTATGTTACTCCTTTATTTCTGCTTGTCTTCATGACTCTTTTTAAATTTATTCAAAGATATTTTATTTCAGGTTTTCCTGCTATTTCACCTTAGATATAGTATTTTCCTACATCTTCAATATAATAGTACAATACATAACATTTGGAGCATGAAAGTTGTAACCATGACCATAAGCATGCATGCAAAATTATATGGATATGAACTCGATGACAATGACTATGAAAAAGGGCAATTGCTGTCTAATTACATGCCTATTAGAAGATTGACTTGGCATGTCTAACTTGTGGTTCATTTTCAGAATGGATTTTTGATATAAGTCACATTCACATTTTGAGCACATTTAAGTGACTTTCACTCATTGATTCCCATGTCTCATATGTACCTAATATAACCATCTTGTGCCTGCATAAGTTGAACAACCCATCAGCAGAGAGAACACTACTTTTCAAAAACAGTTATGCCTAAATGTTATATTTAAATAATACATCTGAAAAGTACTCTCAGTTTATTCAGCCTAGTGAAACAATAATCAAAGTCACCTGACAGGCTGAAACTGAGTCTAGATCCAAAGAAAAGTACAGTAATAGCAGACACAACAGCAAACTTAGTCTGGTTGCTCTGGCATTTATATCTTTAATTGTTGGAATTTTCCTGCATCCTTCTAAAGAAAATACAAAACAAACTGCATTTCCTGCCAAGAACATGAGCAAATAGGAAACCAGCAGGGTAAATGGCCAAAGTAAGCTTGGATCAAGAGGAAAACCTTGTTACAAGGTATTACCAACAGGTATATGGGGAAATCACCAGCACCATCAAATTATGTGGTTAACACTGGGTGCTTTCTCGTAAAATCCAACATTTTTTCACTTCAAGGAAATAACCATTTTCATCGATCAATATTAATGAACATTTCAGCAGGTGTCTGTTTCCTGCATTAACTCTATTAGATAGCATCCTTTCCTAGAATAAGCCAACAGCACATTTTCCAGGCACCCGCAAGAGCCAAGAATTCCCACTGATAAGCCATGGGCAATAATATACACACGTTGGCACCAGCAAGTACAAAGATATCTCTGTCCTCAGATGGATAAGAGCTCATGTGAGAAACATTAAAAAATAATACTTTTGCAACTTGCAAAGCCCTTATCTTCAATTTGTACTAATTTTTCTTTTTTAATTCAGCATAAAAAAAGAAATAAGCTGGGTTCATGAACAAGACAAAATTAGTTGAAAAGTAACTATAATGTTGCCGTAATCATTTGACCAAGAATCATTTTTTACAGTTGCAATACATTTTCCAGGTTAGGTATATGTTCTATTCTTTGAGATGCACATCAAAAACTTTGATTGGGAAAGTCTAAATAAAAATGTGACAGACAATATTCTTTTACACATTCATGAAATTTGGAAATAAACATATTTCAAGCAAGGATCTAAGGGGAGGGGGCAAGGGAGCAGCTTCACCCCTCCCCTTTACATTTTCTTAATAATGCAGAGGAAAAACAAAAGGAAAAATGATCAATCTTCACCCTCCTCATTCTGTGCCCTTCCAACCTCTGAAGTAAATTCCTGGATTCGTCAGTGCCTTGGTTAACACAACCCTACACAATCCTAATTCAAACTGAATAGCAATATTGTAGGGAGGGGGAACTGACAAGAACCCTTAGTGTGCCTATTCTACTGCTGATGGGTAATCTTTGTCTATCACTATTGAAACTAACATTTTATTGTTTTTAATTCAAGTAAATAATTTGAAAAGTATTCCATTTAGTTATAGATAAAGTCATTTTATGACTTTTTAGCATGCAATTCTTCCTTATGAAAATGTAAGCAAAAAAATTTTTAGCAGTACTAAAGTGACCTCAAAACCCCAGTGACCACATTTGACAGAGCTTTAAAATGTGAACACCTGACAAATCCCTCAGGAAATGATTGTGATAGTTATCATTGTTATTGTATATTTCTAAAGGAAGGAATGGTGATACTACGCAGGTGATCATGGCAGTCAACAGGAAGGATCATGGTTAATAATCAAAACCATTTTATTTACTCTGATATATTTGACTGATGGTTTATCCCTAAATATCTCAAAAACAATGGCAATTGAGTTTAAGACTTACCAGGCCATTGCAGTTACTAAGCACAACTCTTGACTGTATGGAGTTCAGAACAGAGCCATGGAAGTGACAGTCTTCAGTGTGCCGGTCCCGCCTTTCCACCCCCTGTCTATTCCAATATTCCACTGTATAGTCTCCTGACACTAACTTTCTGTTCAAAGTTAAGTTGAAATGAAACTCTGATCCATATGCAGTCAATTTGTAGTAAATACATTCATCAGAGTGAGTACTGGCACTGGAGAAAGCACTTTGATTGCTGGGAATAGTGTGTAAAGCACTTCGTTTTTTCCTAGTTCTAATTCCTTTGCTTGTCACATCAAAACTGATTAAGTTTCCTTTGTGGTCCACAAGTTTTGGGATAACCATTTCGTAATGATTTAAATGACGAAATAACTGTTCTGGAAAATAAATTAATTAAATCACAAATTTGATGAAAAATATAATTTAATTTTTATAAAACCCCTAGGTCTCAATATATCCCATACCTCCAATTAAACTACTGAAACCTCTTAGTATTAATTGTCACAGTAATGTAAAGCTTAAAAGCCATAATATGTACAAAGATTTAAGTGCAACAAAACACTAACTGTTCCCCTTTTCCTGTTGGTTTTGAGTGCACATGTGAAACATTATTGGGGTTTTTACTCTGACTGTGTGTGTCGGTATAATTCAGTGGGTGGAGACACATTAAGAAATGAAATGTGCATAAAACCATTTTGGTAGAATAAAGTTACTTGGAACATATACGAGCAGACTGACCAAAACAGGCTTAACCAATAATTTCTTTTTATCTTTGAATATGGCTGACCAATACCTGAAGATAAAAAGTGGTTCTTAGCCACACCCCACTATTACAATTAGAGCAATGTATTACCTTGTACACCCGTGATGATTTTGAGAACTGTCATAAGATTAATATAATCCAGGTACAATATTTAGGTACGTTTATTATCATATCTATTGAAAACATACCTGTCTTCATAGAGATTTGAGAGTAATTGACTGGTAGTGCCAGGGCTTGGCTTATAATCCACGTCAACAGTGCGTATACGATTTCCATAGTACTTTGTCGTATCCACTGCTTGGACTTCTGCTTGCTGCAGAGAGAACCAAACCCGGTTCCTTTAAAGCAGAAACCAAGATCCGCCTTAATCACGTCATCACTGCTGATCCAAGGTAACTGTCAACTACAAAAGTTACTTATGCCATCATGATACCATAAGTAGATAGTGTTTTTAGTCATTCTGTGGGTTTCATGCCCATCCTAACGCCGCCCCTCCGCGGCTCCCGTCACAGCCGATACCATGTACCTTTGGGTACTGAAGTTTTCGGTTGCCTCGGAATGCCTTCTTTTTGCCACTAGTTGCCTTCTTCCTCTGCTACTGTGTCGGTTTTTCCACGTTGCCAGAATCACACACTGATCGCAGTTCAACCTCTGCGACCCGTCAGTCTCACCTCACAGCAAGCTTTTGTCTACGGCAATGAGAAAACAATATTAGATGTAAGACGCTGAAAACAAGAGCGCGAAGAAGTCTGTGATCGTTACAAAAAAAATCAAAAAGTGAATACAACCTAAGTGTTAGAAAACGCTATTTCACTCTTTAATCAAATATCATCGGATGTGCGGATATCGACAGTTAATGCAATGCGTGTGTTAAACGTACATGAACGCACGCCTAAGGTAAAACAGGAACAGAACTGTGTTAGAATCTGGTCATAATCGTGGCTAAAACTGCTGCTCGTGATTTATGGAACGACCGCCTGTCGATTGAAATAAACAGAAACAAACACAATGTCAACGCCACCGTCGCGACGGAAAAGTGGTTCGCGCGGGAACTTTAAAGTGGCATAGGTGAACACTCAACGACACCATATTTTGTTGTCTATCCATAAACGTTCAATTACAACAGAATAAAAATACTAGAAAAGGAGAATAAAAATACATTTTAGGGTCTAACAATTCCGTTAGTCTATGGATTGAATCCCAGATATGACCACATATTTTAGGATTACCTGTAAAGGTGATGTGATTAGCAATGGGGCCTCTCATTACTGGAGGTTCAACCTTGTCCATCACAACTTCTACCTGCACGCCAACGTCAAGTATTTGCACCGACAGCGTGATCCCCCGCTTTCTATCTTCTGAACGATCAAATGGATGTGCTAGGCAAAGAGATGCCCGGGTAGGCATCCACGCCGGAGCGGAAACACATAGCGGTCCCAGATACAAAGCCAAAAACAACCATGTGAAAGTGTGAGCTAATGACCTTTCATTCCAAACCTAGGAATTTTTTCTTCATACTTACTGACTTCACTGTGTCTACAGTAACTAATCTTCCATGAATCTCGACAACAAACCGATCAGAACCCGCGCAGGAATGTATCTGTTATCAAACTGCCGTTTTGTGCATTTCGTCTTACGAAAATTTCCATGACACAAGCCACTGTTTTGTTAAGAAATATGATTTAAATCAAGGTCAGTCATAATAATAATCATCCCACCGAACCTCGTCTGCTCAAAATTTCAATTGATAGAAATAAATGCGAGACAGGCCTGCAGGAGTTCGACGGGTTCAACTGAAACGTTCAGGTTGTCTTTGCGAAACTTTCAAATCTACCTCTAAGATTTGGGGGATTACCCAGCATTAAATTAAGTGATAACGATACACTTATTGCAAATAGTAAAACAATTAAATAACACCGTTGAATGACATATTAGCGTTTCTTAAAAGCTCGCGCTTATTGCAAAGCCCACTGTTGTCGCACCTTTCAGTAATTTGGTCTTAAAGCACCATCTTTACGTAATACTTAGACTGCAAACTCACCAGTGATGGCCTTATGATGATCACCATAAGATGAACTTCGGTGAATCTTACTAATTCCATACACGATCCTAAATCAAGGGATATTGTCCAGAATCACATACACGCTCAGTTCGTGCTATGATGACCCAGGTGGTCACTCAGAGACACGATAATGTAATAATCAGGTAAACTGCGTCCAAATTGTTTTGGTATTAAATGCAAACTTGCTGATTTGCCGACTTAGTGCTGGACTTAGCCCTGGCATCACGTGCTGGTGGGACCGCCGATACAACAATTAAAATAAGTTTCAGCACGTTGAAATAGGCGTGCGCTAATGAGAAACGCTTGCTTGCTGAAGATCTGCTACAGTACAGGCATGAAGGACATTCGCAAAATGCATTTATCTGAGAAAGTGTCCGTGCTACTCCCACTTCTGAGTGAATCTTCTTTCACCTGACCTGTCCTTTTATTCCACGAAATCGTTTTGTTGCTGTTGTTGTTTTTTTTTAAGTAATAACCCCGAAAGCCTAGGTAAACCTTTTACAAAGAAAGGACAGTACAATACTGAACGTATACATATTGAATTAGACAGACTGGCCACAAGCCAACTAGATAAAGTACCCCTGTTAGTCTGCCTGCACTTTCTTCATGTTGAAATGAACGGTCTCCGTTTCACGCACCTCGGGCCACACACATTTTTAGTAACAACGTGTAAGTTTACAGGTAACTGCATTGACGTCTCCGTAATGTGATACAAAAATAGGGCTTCAAAGTAAGCCATTGTTGTTTCGCAGACTGACGCCTCTTGTAATCATAACAATCAGCACAAACCTACCTTTATCCGATAGATAACCTTCGGTAAATTTGAGCAACGGTTTCGCTTCATAATGTCAATTAGTGAGCCAATGTAATAAGACCTGCTATTTCTTTAGACAATTAATCCTAAAAAGAGACTGACGTGAAACTGAAGTTGATTTTATCGTATTGTCAACCATCGCACGTCCGACGTTCAAATACGATGAACAGACATTCATTGTGGTCTCTAATGATTTTGCGACATTTATTTTCTCTAAAGAAAACAGTGCGATTTCTGTCCGATTGTCCGGTTCTGGTCAACGCTGCAGTGTTTTTAATCATAGCAATTTCAAACGACAGTCTCGGTCTGCCGACAACGGTTGCAGATCACCGATTTCAGCGTTGGCTATGCATTGTGTTTTTTCGATTGACTGGTGTAAAACTAATAGAACCAAAACGTAAGTGGTAGCCTTGAAATTTGAATCTTTGGCGACTATAGTGAAGGAAGTAGTGCTGTAGAACAACATTTTTTCCAAAATCATAAAAAATCAATTTTGCAATTATTCTATAAATGTTTAAAATTAATTTTGAAAACGTATTTAATAAGTTGTTCTTCAAACAAATCTCAACCATGTGAACAAGACACCCCAGTCTACAATGGCTACCGAATGCGTTGGCTGTCTGCGTTGTATTTTTATAAGTCGTAGTGACTTCACGGTTCATGTCGCGATTAAATAACCAGAACTGATCTGCTGAACTCGTCATTGTGCATCAAATAGAGATGCTGAAGCTGTTCTACTATTGATAGCGTTATATTGCACCTTGAGTTGAAGAAACATTGTGATTTAGAAGTTTTAACTTAAAAAAAATTACGGAGCACGCGTAGTTGTAATCAAAACCTTAACCATAGCACCCGCAGTCTTGTTTTTCAAACTACAACAGAATAGATATGAGACATAATATTTCCAACATTATATCATATAAAGTATAAGTTACCATGGTATGCTAGGTTAGGTTGATATTTAGGTTAATATTTTACACCGTGCATGTTCACAATTGTTGAATATCACGACAATTGCACCCTAATAGAACATTGCTAAAAGTAAAATAAATGGACAAAAGAGACGTTTTACATGCTAAAACACATGGAAATACTAAATCTCGAGATGACCCAAACTGTGAAAAAACGACAAGGCCAACCATGTTTTTTGAAATATGTCGCTGGTAAATCTATTATTTCTTTCAGATCTCATGGTGTAGGGATAACATAAGCATGATTCGGTATTTCAAAATATTGTAAGTCACTCCACTTGTTTATTATTTTGATCTTTAGAAAAACTATGTACATCCTATATAAAGAAAGACATAACGTGTATATGCATGTGTGTGTTTTGGAGAGAGAGAGAGAGAGAGAGAGAGAGAGAGAGAGAGAGAAGGGGGGCGGGCAAAAAAAAAAAAAACATGTCATATACTCACAAATATCGCATTTTTCCTGACGTATTTCTGAATTTGCAGACGTAAATCTACTGTGCCAGGATTGGCGGGTGACAGGTGAACATAACCGGGTCAAAGCGTCCGCTAGCAGCAGCCGCCTTTAAGATTAGAATACATCTTGTCAAAATACGTTAGCATACCACAACATCTTTTATATACATGTATGAAAATAGTTATGAATGGGGGTAGGGTTTCCCACCTAACAATTAAAGCAAAATGTGCCATTTGTCCATAAAGACAAGACATTAATGAGATAGGTTGGGTCGGGGCCTCATATTGTGTTAATTTTATGCCACCGAACTATGGTACATTTAATTAAGGCATAATATTAGATAAAAGCTGTATGAATGAGTTTAATCTATTCCAACCTTACATAAGTAGGCCTATTTGCATTAATTTGTTTAGTAATGTGATGTATCAATTAAATGCCGGAAATATTAATAAATTTGAGAAATTAAAAAAAAATCCAAATAGTGTAATTCAAATCCAGAAAAATGTGTGCAACTTGTATTTGTATTCAGTCCTCTTGTTATGTTGCAACTGGGGTTGGATAAGCGTATAAAGGCGAGCATCAAATCGGAAAATCTTACGAGAAGCGGTGTCTTTGGTGCAGCTAAGGAAAGAACTAGACCGTAAGAAATCAAATATTTTCAGTTATTTGTGTTTATTTGCTTTATTCATTTTAAAATGCTTATGTTCATTTTATCAGGTGAACACAGTTCCGAATAGATGAATTCGAACGGTGGTACGCTATTTCACTATGATAACACTGTTGAACGGGAACCACTTTTAGTTTGTCTGGGGGGCGTTTTCAGCTGTATAGCGCGAATCTATTCAGAGTGTAAAATACTCTTTCAAACTGGGCGTCAATTAATTTGGAGTAACATCATCTTATTCGGTTGAATATCTCCAAAATATGCAACTGCGTTATTACAAATTTTGTTGTAAACAATTATATGGTGAGAAATATTTTGCAGAGTACGAGCAATGTGTTATATGGATCTGAAGGCGCCACATGAGCAACAAATAGCTGGGCTTAACGCTATGGTTGAAAGAAATGTTTGTCAGTGCAGTAAAGAAAAACATTTTGAAAAGCAATCAATTTCATATGAAGTGCAATATATATATATATATATATATATATATATATATATATATATATATATATATATATATAACTTCAGTGCGAAATGACCTAAATCTTCGTAGCTTGTGTTGACAGTAATGTGAAGAAACTGACAACAACGAAGACCGTATCATTTTTGTTATTAATATTCCATACCCTCTCCCTTGGTGGTTAGCTCTTTTTACATGTCTTTATCAGTTTATCCTGCCAGTCAGATACACAATAACGCAGTGTTGAAAAGCATCATAAAAACCCACGGGGTCTTGGAGACCAATGAGGCCCTCATAATCAAGCAGCCTCCTTAAAAAATGCCTGTAGTGACAGTAACGACGATCGTTATATTACACAACCTTTTTGCAGTCGGATTCAGGGTTGTCGTAAGGAGGGCACCTCGCAAATAATAAACCAACAGTCGAGGTTATGCTTTACCATAATATGCAGACCTTGATTTTGTCTCATTTTTTCCTTATAGCCTACTCTTTTAGGGGTGAGAAGGCAAGAGTTAGAAGGGGGTACCCCATGCCCGCTGTGCTCTCCCCTGGATCTGCTACTGCTTGTAAAATAAGGTTGGAAAAAAATGACAGTAATAAAAGCAAATCCTCGCTGTATCGCCTCAAAATGGTATTTTTTATTTTCGCTTTTCAAATAAATAAATAAATAAATAAATAAATAAATAAAAGCAATGGTATGGTGGTCGAGATCTTTTGAAAAAGTTTGTTGTCTTTGACAAAAATCATCCGGACTATTATCTGCATTATCGGATAAATCATTTTACTATAATTACATGAAGCATAAATCGATCGTTTCGATTTGGAAGTTATATTCTGTGATCAAGCGCAAAGATCACATCAGATTGGACCTAATGATTGGGTATATTATGCATATGTAATCAGAACCTGGGTCAGCAGATTGCTATGTGCGTCCTAGGTTATCGATGCCCCACGATGATTCAGCTTATAGCTGCTGGGCGGAGAGAAACCCGGCACTCACCTGATGCCGCGGTCATTCTGATAAGGCACATTTTACTTTCTATCAAAAGTCAATCAAGATTCTTGTATACCATTATGTAGCTTCGAAGATAGGTAAGACATTGTTCATGCAAAGCTGATTACATTTAATTGTCCCCGTTAGAGGTTGCATACAACATTTCGAGCTTTATCATTTAAAGTTCAGGTTTCATTCGGTTTCCATTATTTTTTTTTGTCCTCGATATAAAAGTTCCCCGTTCATCGGGTTGATAATTAAGATTGAAACGTGATATAAAATTTAAGTGCCAATGGTTATCGGTCACAAGTTAGAAACGTACGGTAAACTCGAATGCAAGCATTGTATTGTGCTGACTACCGACCCTGCCTTTGACCCGTCTCAACTTTCGATGTTTCGTGCTGTGGATCAACAAGTCGGTGACAAGTTTCTAAATTTGTCATCACCTACCTATTCAAAATATATCAGCAAAACTCTGAGATTAATGCAACCTCGTCGTTAATCCGATGCTCATTTTACGTTTGCAGGTCAATTTTGACAGCTCACCGAGACGTGATACACTGTGACGCCGGGCACTTGATACCGGTGTCCTTGCAAACAAACTTAACACGTGCAGACGGCCGGATGTTAGTAATACGCAGGTGCGACAAAACTAGGAAGTGAAAATGGCGTCTATACTACAGCGACAAAAGTCAAGTATTTTGGATCGACCTCTCAGTAAAGGAAAGGCAGAGGTATATAGCTAAAAGATTAGACCGAATCATTAAGCACGTCTTATTCTTATAACAGGACAGTTCAATTGTAATATTGCATTTCATTTCAGGTCAATTTGAGCACGTTTGCCCTGCTGTTTTCTGAGATGGTTCAGTACTGCCAGAGCCGTGTTTATACAGTACCAGAATTACAAAATAAGTGAGTATGGGTGTGTGCGCTAAAATGGGTATCATAAGGTGACATATATGGGTGTGATCAACATTAATTTACTCTAAGTGGAAAGGAAATAAATCCGTGTCTTTCTAAATGTAAAATAAATACCATTATATTATATTATATTATATTATTGGCTTATTCATATTATTGTTGGCTTTGTCTACAAATTTAAAAGAAATTTTGTAAACTTGAAACTCGATGAAATAGTGTAGTCTTGGCAATTTGCATGTCCTTAGATCAATAGAAGGTACCCTTCAGAAATAAAGCAAACCCACAGTGAAGCTTGTTACTGTAAATTTGTATATCAACGAGAGACACTTTAAAAATGATGAATGTGACTGCTAGAATCAGGGCATTTCTACTAGAACTTACTGTATATGCCTTCAGTCATTCCTCTGTCAAAACTTGTTTACCACACCGTGGTCTTCATAACACAAGAATTTGTAGCAACATGAGTAGAAATATGATTCCTGAATTATACTTCTGTAGTAATATGATCCTTTGTATCAGACTTTATATTAAAACATTTTTCAGCAATACCCTGCCTTTGCCTTGGTATTAAGATTTGCTGTCTTCTACATAACTATGTATATACAAGATGTTTATCACTGTTTATTAGAATAACAAGTTTGTTTTATTTTTTTTTCTTAAAATCTAGAGCAGCAAGAAATGTTGCCAAAGGGGAAAAATTCCATATTTTGTTGACATTGCCTTGCTTCATGTTTTATCACAGAATACTAAGATTTTAGGAATATTGGACATAAAGATTTCTTTCAGGCAGTGATGTATTTCCTGCTGTTTCAAATAATGAAATATTAACCACAGTCATAGTTAAACATACAAAATAGGAACCATACCATATAACATAAAACTAATGTTTACATCCCGTTTTTTGATAACTTTTGCCACAATGATTTACTCTCTACAGGAATGTGCCACATCTGACTTCAGCAAGAGTAGGTAGGCTAGGAGTGGGGGTTAGAATAGGAAAGAAGTGATTTTTTTTTTTTTTTTGTAACCTGTGAAGCATAGCTTTTTATACTGTTAAGACTAACTTTTATCAGTTTCCTATTTAGATGCATCAAGCAGGATTTTTTACAGACCTACTCGATGAAATTAAGGTGACCAGGTTTGAGTAATTACTTAAAATTTATGAAATGTGAAAATATTAGGTTTTCTTCCAAAAAAAAAAAAAAAAAAAAGTTCTGCATAATAATTAAACACTTTCCAAGGATACATGAAGTTGGTTAAGTAGAACTTTGATGGCAAATATAGGTCTATTTCCTTGAGAAAAAAATAATATATCTGTTTTGTTTAAATATCAGAATATCCTGGCTAGATATTGATATATTAGGCATATAAGGTAAAGGGCATACAGTTCAAATATTGAGTTTCACTGCTCTATGTCAGATGCTGTTTTCCTCTTTTATAATAAATAATAAAAGTATCTTCTGGTTAAAGAGCATCTTAAATTATGTTTTAACTTACCATCTCAATGGAAGCTTTTTACACTGGTCTTAGTCCCAGGACCTGTAATAGATATTTGAATGTGTGCACTGCAGTTATATCTCTTCTTAGATTGCAATGTGTCTGGGCCTAGTTTTATTTCAAAGTTAAACAGTGTTTTAATAATATCATGCAGTAGTTTGAATACTGTCTCCTGTTTGTTGATACACCAACACATGGGTGTTGGTAGGGAGTAAGTGGGGAGTGATATTAGCTAGGATTAGTAATAAACCCTTTGATAAGTGATTATTGTTTATCTTTGGGTGGTAAGTTACACTGATTGGATAATTCTGTTACAGAATATCCCTAATTTCCTCGCTGGCACGTATGTAATTAGAACAAACTTCGTACAGTTGATTAATTTCCTAGGTGCAGTTAATGAAGAGGAGTAGGAGTCTTGCAGGTTCAATACAAGTTCCAATCTTGACAATATATGATTAAAATGTCACCTTGATAAGAAAACAAAATATAATTAAGATAAGAATAATACTAACTTGGTTCATCTGCTCAACACAGGGTCGCAGTATTACTTTGAGACTGACAAAAACAGTTAATTATCCGTCTAATGTACAGAATGAATGAGCTCTGAAATCCTTAGCAAATTTGCAAATTGATAAACTTTTGTTTCTAGACTCTAGGTTGAAGTAATTTACTTACAGTCTTATCTTCCTCAGTAGCAACTTGCTGATTTTGTTGTTGGAAAACTTTACTTTCAGCAGTACACTTTGTATAACAGTTGTCTTGTTTCTTCAACCTTTTTTATTTCAAAATGTTTTCATAAGTCCATAAAAAGTCCCAGAATTAACAGAGCATATCACCGTGAGATTGGACACAAAGGGACGCTAATATTTTTTGCTAACCAAAGTGTATGAAAACAGAAATAAGTACTTTTGAGGTAGACCTGCTTTCTCCATTTATTGTCTCTTGAACATAAAGAACTGCTTTAACTGTTCACCCATAAGAAAGGCCTGAATAAGAATAAAGATGTTTGAGTATCTACTTTTTAGATCCATTCAATCTCTTTGAAAAGTCTCTTTTATAATCTGCCAAAACTGCAAAGCCATGATATTTAATCCAGTTCTGTATTGCATTTCACCGTTGCAAGATTGATTGTGAAATGGAGAGCATACTACTTGAGGTGACTTCAAGTATCTAACCCCACACGGCAGTTGGGCAGCGAGTGCATAGATGTTATTACTGAATTTAGACAGGGTTTAAGCAAACTGACACCAGGTTTCAGTTTGCATACACAATACCTGATTCAGCTGAGAACTTTAAATGACAAATAGTATAATTCCACCATACAGTTAAAGCAGATTAATGACATAAGATGCAATATCTGTGACTTTTTTTGCTGTTACAAACATCGGCTGTCAAAAACTCCTTAAAATCTCTTGTTGCTTTTGTATTACATTGCCTTGGACAAATGCAATATTTTTTATGCATAATGAACATGTAAGGAGTTTAGGATGTGAGATGTAAAAAAAGGCAACCTTTTATACTTTGGTTTATTGTCATGTGTAAAGTTTTGCATATTGATAATAACATTGTTACTAGTTGTAATTGAAACTTACAGGTCCATCTAGTGCCTTAACCCTGTTTTTGATCTTTTATATAGTCTCTTACTTTGTAATTTTTTTTTCAGGCTGACAGAGATGGGCCACCATGTAGGTGTGAGAATGCTGGATATTTTGTTTCTAAGAGAGCGTACTTTCAAGAGGGAAGTTAAGCTATTGAACATGTTGCTGTTTATCAAGACCAATCTATGGAAGGTAAGTTCACAAGAAAGATTATTCAGCATGCAGCAGAAAAATTGATACTGTGGTAATCATTTGTCCCAGCCTGCTCCCAGGGTTTCTGTAAATGAGTACGTGACCTAAGTGCTTAGAGAACATGTTAGTTGCATTATACAAGTATTGGTTATTCATGTCATTGGGTTACACCACTTCTTTCCAACACTTGATATCATGTCAATACAAATGTTTTCGTGACTCTAGTAATTAATTCTAAACCGTTCCTCGGTTCTCTTTCCCATCATTACATTTGCACCTGCAACAAAACTAGATGTATTGCACTTTTGGATTTCTATACTGCGTTATAGGTCAAGCATTTTTCGAGGGATGCTGACCCCCAGACACTTATCTACAACTGTACTGCATAAGTATTTGTATGCAGATATTCGAGGCTGTCTGCATGAAAATAAGGAAAGCAAGCAACATGATAAAGATCACATATTCCCAAACAAATCAAAAATGACATCCTAGGTCAAAAACCTTGATAAAGACCTCTCCTCAAACTTACCTGATATTGAAAAACTGTAGATGATCTTGGTGGTGTTTTTTAATCTTATTGGAGGGGAAAAATGAATGCCTTTTCTTTTCTAACCAAGCATTTATCCAGTCTCACTGGCACAGTTATTAAATTCTAGCTGACTGGAACAAGTCAAAAGGTTATCAGGTTGACAAACAACCAATGACTACCTGTGCAAGATCAAAGGAAACCCAGCAGGCAATTTACCACAAACTATATTCTAGGTGTCACTTTGGCAAAAATGTCTTCTTAATAATTTCTTAGGTTATGATGGTTGTGTGATATCAAAAGATAATTTTAGAGTGGCCTTGGTAATAGGAATGTGGAATATAACTTTTCTTAAGAAGATAATTAGATTGATTAACTTTTGAAGCATTAATTGCCAAGTGCAACTTTGCTATTAAGATTTACAAGGTGAAACAAAAGTATGAATTGAAGTGTCTCCCCCACAAAGTATGTAACCACTAATAAACTATCACTGAAATGCCTACTATACAAGATGTACTTGTTATCCTTTTCCAGTATTTGTTGTCATTTGAAAGTCAAACACATAAAATATAACATTGATAGAGTTATGCATTTAAAATTACTTATAATCTTATCTGTCCATTAAAAGTTTGTTTTTTTAAAAGAGTAATTTCCCTGCATTTTTCAGCAGATTACCAGTACTAAATGAACAATAATGTATTGACCTGCAAACTTCAATATATTGTGCTAAGTATGTTTTTAAAGGGATAATAACTCTTCATATGAAATCTATATTTCACAATAAAAACCTTGTGAATAACTCATAGAAATATAATATATTTTGTTTTACGACGAAAAAAGCAGTTATAGCTATTATTCTGTATTATTCTGATATCTGAGCTTGTCTTCAGATCACGTGAACTCCATTGAGGGCTATACTCTGTTATAATCTTTTAAGAGATTTTAACAAAAAACCAAACTTTTTAGAAAAAAACCATGGACTAACTTTGAATGTAAAAATGGATTCATTAACCATTGGTAAGTATGGGAAAATTGTTGTTTACTCCAGGAAAATTCATTTTTTGGCCAAAACGAGGAGTTATTATCCCTTTAAGTATTGTATAAATTAGGCATCTTAGACCACATTCAGATTCACACATTGTACAAGCTGGGTTGGTCCATCTCTGCGGGGTGTTATTGCTAAAGTGCAATAGGTGGAATCAACTTCATTGTCTGACAAGCCACCCCAAGCAGCTAGAGGGTAATTAACAGAATTGTGAGCTAATTAAATGATTGATAATATTAAATTGCTGATTAAATTGCATGTGGTATTCATGATTCTGAAAAGACACTGACGATTTAGAAATTAAAAAAATCAAAGTATTTTTGGTTCAAGGTTTTAAGCTGTCATTGAGTAAGTACATGTAGATTAAAGAAAGAGAGAGAGAAGAAAAGAGAAGGGGAGAAATTACTTGTAGGCTACAAATATGTTAAAAGACATTTCTATGCCTCACATCAGAGATTAGTGAAGGTTGAAGTTGGGTGAGGTATCATGATCCAGTGTCCTGCTGTGTATACCTTTGGCTGCACCAGAAAACCTCTGCAACCTGTCAGCAAATTTTTTGCTATACAGGTGTTAAGTGAGATGTGAGAGGAAATAGGCATGATGGGGGGGCTTGTATAAAACTTTGACAAGTCTCCTTGCCCCAGTCGTTGCCTTTGGTGGTTAAATGTTGTGTCTCTTCACACCTTGTAAACTAATTCTTTGGAACATTGCAAAGTGAGATGTTAGTATGTGAAAAAGATGCCTTTTGGTTTACTTTGATTTCATATGAGCTTTAGCAATTGCTAGATTATCAAGTTGATTAATAATTGAGATCTTCAATTAAGACATCTGAATATTAAGTGAGCACATTAAAAAAAATTATCAAAAGAGAAACCAATGCTTAAAACTTGCTTGATCTTTAGGATCACAGTATATGTATATATGGCACACAATACTGTGGTATCATAATGTTACCAATCACAAAGATTGGCCTTTAATTTCTCTCCTAAAATATGGCAGAGTACTCCATTGGAAGGTATTTCAGGGTACTTAAATCTATTTGACCAATATATTTGATAAATGCTTTACCCATGGGATAAGGTCAAGAGAACAAAAAGCTACATTACTCTCATAACTTCATTGCTAGGAAAAACCTGCTTACCATTGGAACAAGACTCAATCAAATGGACTAGGTTAATATCATGGCTTCTTGATAGAGATAAACTTATAATTTATAAAAGATTTTAATAGGGATATATCCTTACTTAACCCCGCCTTGTTATTCTCATTTTGTTTATATTACTATGATTTTTACATAAAAAATACTAAGTTCTAGTTCATCACCTTTTGCTGCTAATTATACCTGCCAGTAACACATATTTTTTCCGTTTGTCTATCTAATTTTGTTCCTTTTTCAGACACTATTTGGAAAAGAAGCTGACAAGTTGGAACATGCCAATGATGATGAAAGAACATGTATCCTACAAAATAAAGTTTCAAATCCATTTGCTTGTGAGTGTGTGTATTTTTAATGAGGAGATAAAAATAGCCATGAGCCAAATGTTCCTCTTGGGTTTATCCCCACACATTCCACAGAATATAGATTGCTGTGTTAAGTAACTAATTATCTTAACATGTTAGATTTTTGTCATCTTCTTTACAAAACATATGGGGATCGACCAAATTTATTTAGTGTGGCCCTTTAAATGCTAAACACCACCATGCACTTACCTTGAAACTTGTAGACAGACTCACTGATGCATTGTAGCTATGATATATCTCTGCCTGTAGTATGCATTGTGTTTGCCTTAGATGTGTTGATGTCTTGCTACATATACCTCTGTGCCTAATGACATTTAGGTGACAGCTAGATTTCTTTATAGCCCCAGATGTAATATCAGAGTCCAGATAGTATAGCATGTTTCAGTGACCACTTATTTATTATTTGTTTATTTGTAGCTCACATTTTTTTTCTGAATGAAATACAACACTGTGGCAACTTTCCAAAAACCACAAGTCCGTCAGGTGCACAATTTGTGTACTAGGCTGACCTGTGGAGTGTTGTGTCCTAACATACCGAGGTCTGGGGTGGAATACGTTCAGACAAATTGATCTGGGTTTACACGTACACATTCCTATAAAGAAGTTGTGTATGTAATGTTACCAATGGTACTTGATAATATTTACTTTATGCTAGAATGGATGGATGCTAATCCATACTAATTGTGTGGTTCCTGAATTGTATCGAGAAATTCTGAGCTACAGGTGAGACATATATTGGCCAGACAGTTTCTATGCTTCCTTTGGCCTGCAGAGTGCACATTAGTACCAATCTTTAGGAATTAAATATAAATAACCAAATATTTTGTATAAGTCATTGCTAAGGTTCATATATCTCCATGAAGTTATTTTCCTTAAGTGGTATTCAGATTATATAATAGAAAAGGAGCCATTGCTAAACAAATTTATTTCAGTTCCAAAAGATAAAAGTAAGTACAGTCGTTTTCTCTTTTGCACACACATTCACACAATATTACTAATGACCAAAACATCAGTATTTGTAATTTTTGTAACCAGTCTAAAAGAAAGGATATTTACTCTAGCACTGGCTGCTATAAATGAAAGATGTCATCATCTACCGAACACCCATTAAAATGACACATTACTAGGATTGGTTAATTACCTGATGGTTTAACATTCCCGACTTCTATAGAATTGGAAGTTATGATTTTTTAATAGCTATGAATTTAGCACTTGCTTTTTTTACATACCTATTCATGTGGATTTTGTCCTTTGTTTTAAGAAAATCAATAGTTATTTGTTCTTGATATTTGCCTAAGACTTACAAACAAGCTGCTGGTATGAAATGCCTTCCTCAAAAATCTTACTAAGAGCTCTAATTACATCTTGTTATAGAACTTTATCAAAGGTGATATTTTTAAGATGCTGCACACCCTCCTCTAGGCATTTTTTAGCAAACATTTAGCACTTACCATCTAGTTTTGAAGGAACCCTTGCTTAAACACCAATGGCCAAGTGCCCATGGCCCAAACCACACTGGTCTGACCTTTATATTCCAACTTTATTAATGACCCTTCTCCATCCGTGCATAATCATAGCATTAACACACCTCTGTAGTATGTGGAACTTGATAGGGAATTGAAAGAGCGTGGTTTAGCCAGTTGAAATTTGAATGTGTTCATAATTATAATATTTGTGAATTAAAAAGAGGTTTTGTGAAAAGAGAATGAAATATGGCAATAAATGGTGGTGTAACTGGTGAAGTAGGATTAGTAAAATTAGTTACAAGGACAGTGCTTCAACAATTGTCTCTTTCATATCGTGATTGGTTTACCCTTCACTCAACCAAAGATGAGTTTATAGCCAACATGCCTTATTTGATTTTCTTTTTAGCGTAATTGAAAACAAACTGTGATTTATTTCCCCTTGTTCAAGTTTTGAAGAGCTCTTCTTTCAAAGATGATGGTCTTCACAGTGTTTTCACATCCTTTATAGGATGGTGCATCTTGTTGGCATTTCGGGTTGTCCAATGTAAAATACCAGGGTTGCTGTAGTATCTGTGGTTGGACAAAGACAGAACTCAAATATTAATGTGTACAGCCACATAAACTTTAACCAGTGGCTTGCACGTTTTATGATTTTTAAAGTAAGAGATTAAAAAAGAAGTGGTGTGTTAGGATAGCAAATGTAATGCTTAGTTTCAAGCATATTATTAGGGTAGGGTAGATAATAACTTTTTTGGAAATCTCTCAGGGAATAGGTGATTTTAGAGGCAAAATGGGTCAAAAAGTTCATTTCTGATGAGAAATTTGAGCTAGGAGCATTCTTTAGGTCGGTAATTGTACTATTTTTGAAAATGCATACAAAGCATATGCACTGCATATACAGTAACTGTAGTAATTATGTATGCATATAATTGTATTGAAAAGTGTTGAGTGAAGCACAAATTTTTGATAAGTGAGTGTTTTTTATGGCACAAAATGATGCTAAACACACATGTGCAACTATTTTTTTCTCACAACAGCCATTTAGGTTGGTAAAATGACAATTTTCAAAATGGCGGACAAAATGCCCTAACAAGAGTTTCAACATCGACAATTAAAGGAACCTATGTTTTTATTATGCCTTTTCTTATGTTTTTAAGGTTGTAAAATATTTATTCTTATGCTAACACTGCCATTGTTACATTTTAGTTACCTTGTTGGTTGATAGTTTACTGTCAAGCTTGAAAGAAGAGCCAGATCTCAGTCAGTCAAATCGAGGAGTGATAAGATATCTCAAGTTCTGCTGGGTGGGAATTATGAGGAAGGATCAGAGTTATCCTGACCTCAAGCAACCAATGGGGAAATGTCTTTAAATTATTAAAAAGAAATGGATGGAATATTTTTGTTCTGCACATAAGAAGTCGGGGAAACAATCACTATCATGCACTGAGACCAGCAAAGAAGCTGCCTCAGAAATATCCAATGTCTGGATGTCCAACAATATCTTTCCTCTCTTTGAGAACATTTACAACAGAATAACTGCATTGTGCTTATATACGATGAACCTTAAACACTATTTGTCACATTTTGATTGAAATCTTTCACTTTTGTGTATCATGACTTTTAACACTTGCACGTCACAGACAGTTAATGCTTCATAAGTTCCCCAAATATATCATAATCCAACATACTTCTGTTGGGATTGTACTTCTCAGAGATTGGCAAAATACTTTTTGGAGATTCAGGCATTGGAGATTTCCTTGGCAACTGCTTTGCTAGCCTCAGCTTATGATAGGGATGTTTTCCGGCTTCATACATGTATGTAAAATAAAAGTGTATATTCCACCCTTTTGTAATAATTTAGAAACAATTTTACTTTATGGTAAGGTTAATTGATTCTTCTAATTTCCATCCAACAGATGTTGTGAAATCTTATCACTCTTCATTCTGATTGATTAAAATGACTGAAGTTGTTCATTTTCCCCATTATCAAAGATTCTGGCTCTTCACTCTAGCTTGACGGTTAACTGTCAGCTGACATGGTAACTGAACTCACTGTAAAATGTATCAATCTGAGTATTAACATCATAAATGGATTCTACAACCCCAAAAACATAAGAAAAGACATATGACACACTATAATACCTTTAATTGTTGTTAATGAAGCTTTTGGTAGGTTGTTTTGGCTGCCATTTTGAAAATAGTCATTTTACTGGCCTTAATAATTGTTTTAGAAAAAAATGATTGTCAGATTTGTGTTCAGCATCAAATTTCGCCTCAGAAAACATCTGTTATGGAATTTTTTTGAGATTTACCCTACCCTAATATTATTTGGTAAACATGAAAAAAAATTGTATTGCAGTGAAAAATCATCATTTACCCAATTAAATAATTTCCTTCCTTCTCTTTCAGGTAGTTTAAACTGTGCATCTTTTATGGCTGGAATCATTGAAGCTGTCTTAAATGGGTGCAACTTTGTAAGTGCTACTTGAACCAACTCATCTTTGTAAGATTCTGATCCCCTCCCCCCACCAACACAAAATATATATAGATAGAGAGAGAGAGAGAAATAAGGAAAAAACAGTAGATATGTCAGTCATGGCAATTCTTTTTATTCAGAAAGAACAAGCTGGTCCTTAATTGGTCATCAAATGACAACTAGTTATCTGTTGGTTATCAAGTACCCAACAGCAGGTCAAAGCTCAGCTTGTATTATTTTTAGTATAATTAGAATCAATTGAAACTTATCAGCATTATTACACCAAGTGTATGACAAAAGCAGGAAAAGGACAGAAAAGTGAATTTTTGCTGAAACAAGAAAATGAATAAAAACCAAGCTTTTTATTTGTTGTTTAAATGGCAATCTTTAAGTTCATTTCTTATTATTTTTTAAATTTGTGTATTCCATTTTCTTTCAGCCAGCTAAAGTGACCACCCACTGGCATAAGGGAACGACATTTATGATTAAGTTTGATGAATCTGTTATAGCCAGGGACAAAACTGTAGATGGCCGATAACACTGGTACCATATAAATAAAACTCTTATGGAAACCTGCCATGGGACTTGGTTGAATATGGTAAAGAATCCATTTTACCGATTTTGGTAAAACAGCATGCTCTCTTATGAAAAGCATTGGTCGGATATGGTAACTATATCAGTGAAAAATAGTAACAGATCATAACATTCAGACTTCTCACTGCCATACATTTGTACAAGTGTCAGCATTGAAATAAACTGTATGGAAGTCACATTATGTTGAGGACATGTATCCTGGCACCACTGACATAGCACATCAACGTTAAAATAACCAATGGCCCAAGGATGGTCAAATGCAGGACAATATTCAATATTTTCTGTGCAAAATATTGTTTCCATCAATTTTTTAACAGATTGGCAGATGTAAACTATCTTGATCTAGATGATCATCAAGAAAGTGGGTGCATTTCTATTAAATTATATATAATATTAAAGGTATTCCAGCAAACATTCTTGAGGAGTACACATGCAATATGACAATATAATTTATTTCAATGAAAATAAAAATGTTTTCAAAACAATATTCTTTCATAATTTATTTTTACATAAGTAAAATGTTGACAAAAGTGTCAAAAAAAAAAAAAGTATCAAGATAATATTTAGAACTTGAAACCTAATATTACTGGTTCAAATCTGCATGAACAGTAGTAGTCTGCTTGCATTTAAGTAGGCCAATTTAAAATGCACTTGCATTCAACAGAAAAGCTTCAACGAAATTAAAGGGGTCTCAATAATTTGTTCTAATATGTGCTCTCAAGTTGCACCCTTCCTGGGTGGTGCACAATGCATCGTCTTACATTCATTCATGGAAAAATACACATTCACTCAGCCTCCATTCAACAGACCTCACCTCATTGCATTTAAAATCATAAGAGGATTCCCATATCTGCTTTCACACCTACTTTTTTTACTAATGCACCCTTTTAGACATCACATTAATGGCTATTGAACAGCATCTGTTTTCACTCAAACATGGTAAAAGAATGTCTAATTGACAAACTACACAAATATTTGTTCATTCAAGTTATTGTTAAAAATGAAAGGGCATGATAGCTTTAAAAATAATCTTAAAATGAGTAGCAATAGAGTAGTTAAAAAAGTAAACATGTCTAAGTATTTTGCTTAAAAAAATCTTCCTGCACTGTCAAGAAACCGATTTCTCAATCTATAAAAACAAACTGATTATGGATTTATTCAGCCTTGTCATAATTTGAAGTGTGCCATACAGCACCAAGTCAATTTTTTTTATCACAAACAACAGTATTCCTACTGCAACCATGGAAAGATATTCCTATCGAATACTTTGCCTCATTAGGGTATTTGTTCCCTTTTTAACACTGCTTTTTTCAGCAGTCTTCTTTTTCTTTGCATCCACATCAAAGCACTTCCACAGGCGAAGAGTTTCGTCTGCTGCAGCTGATACAACTGTGCTTCCGTCAGGTGACATGGATAGATGAAGAACCCGTGCTGTGTGCCCTAAAACATGAAAGAGAAAAGGGGGGTTCATTCATTTAATTCAGTAAATTGCCTCCAGCTATTGGTTTATTGTAAATTGAGACAATCTTGGTTTACCTCAATGAGCCTTGTATTTGAGAACCAGACGTACAAGATTTAATCCAAAGAGTAATGGTTGAAAGAAATCAAAGGCCGAGTGCTGTTTTTTTTTATTTCACTGTGAAGAATAGACAAAACTGAATAACACACTTACGTGTGACACAAAAACTAGAATTATTCTCATCTTGTGTTAATACACCAAGACATAACATGGGTTTGTTATTTGATGTTATCAAGGTTACAAAATAATTGACAAAATAATGATCTAATGGCTTGAAACCATCATGTACCAAACGTAGCCAAGGTCGGCAAAAACCTACCTGTTAGCTCAGATACTTTTGTCATACTTGGATATTTCCAAATAATAAGTTGATTTTGAGCAAACCCATGTCCAGATACAAGCTCCTTGTATTCCTTGGACCAGAGGATAGAGCACACCTAGAGAACAAAAAATATTTTGTTACAAGTTCAATATATATGTCAAAGGTATACAATACATGATCACAATTCAGACCTCAAAAACAATAAAACCCCTTGAATAAGGGTACGTGGTCAACATTCCCTTCTTAAATACACAGAAAGACATGACAGTCTTAGTGACTGGCCAGTCAATTAGATTTAAAAATTTTAATTAGAAATGTTGTAAAACATCGATTCTGAGCTCAGGGACAGGTTAAGCAACAATTGGCGAGCAGGATAAATTTGTTTCCCCCAGATACCTTCAAATAACCTCTTTTCAAAGCAAGCTGATTGTGTTTTACTGACATGGTTGGTCTTCCATTATAAATTGCTGCAGTTGAGATAACTGTTCATCTCTCATTCTACTGCAGTATTACCATTTAAAAAATTTCAACTGAAGAATTTTAGCAATCCTGGTTTAATTGTTTCATACCTGTGATTTTGTATCTACACTGCTTAGACAAGCCCCCGTGTTGACATTCCAGAAGCGTATGTGTCTGTCAGCAGTTCCACCTCCACTGGCCAGCACACTAGGTTGCCATGGGCACCATGCAACAGCCTAGCAGATTTTATAATAATTTCAGTTTTAAAATAATTGTAATACAGCCATGCATATTTTTTCATCTTTTTAAAATAAAATGCTCATCTTGAACTTATTTAATTAAAACTATGAAAAATTTACTCATGGCGAAACTTGCAATAATAAAAAATAAATAAAATAAATAAAAATAAAATAAAAAAATTAATTTTTTTTTAAAATCATGAACTAAAAATTATGTTCACTCACCTTTACTGCAGCTTGGTGCTGAGAGAATGTCAGGACCGGTGAAGGCTCAGACTGTCCCATATCTGCCTGCCATATGTTCAACAAGTTATCATTCCCTCCACTTGCCAGGAACCGCCCATCAGGAGACCACTTGAGCCCACACACCTCCTGGGTGTGTCCTAGGAGAGTGGCAATATGGTGATGGGGGACACGGACATCATGATGATGAATAGCACCACTGCGAGAACCACTTCAATGGATAAAAAGAATGAGAAACTGAATTAGGCTTTGGCTGAAACTGAAAACTGTATTACTGTAAAACATATTCAAACCTAAAGTGTTTTACATATAATAAAATCTGGTTTTCATATTAAAATTTGTTTTTCACTTGCTAGATTTTAAATATATAAGACGTTCTTTTTCATTTACCAAGTTGGATGCAAATTTTATCATCAAAAGAAATTTGCCATGTATCCTAAATATCAATTTACTGCATACCTTGACAAAATGTATGAATTCCATGATAATGCTCCTACTCTGGCAGCATGACCTGTCATGTTTCTCACACGTTTCATGTTCTGTACATCCCAAAGCTTGAAGTAGTTAAAGTGTTATTTTTTTATTACTCAATACTTTAAACTTAATCACTCAAAGTGTTTTTATTATGCAAAACTTAAAAACTTTACTACTCAAATGATCAGTTCTCAACAACTTAAAAGCTCTTTCTTTAACTTCAAAGCCAATTTTAATAATGAATAACAGAAGCACTCAACACCAAATAATTAACACAAATTTTTTTTTTTTTTACTTAGGATAAATATTTTTGAACTTTGAACACAGGTGTTGATCTAAAAATGACAAGACCTTGGACATATCTCACCTGAACTTCGTTAGAACTATTACCAACTGCCAGGTAGTTCCCTTCCTTGATCCAGGACACAGAAGACACATAGTCCTCTGGGTTCTCCAGTTCCAGCAACTGCTCTATCTCCCCTGAGCCTGCATTCCATAAGTAGACGTGACCACCCAGGGCAACAGCCAGGTGATTGTTCACAGACCAATCTAACAGATTTAGATCTGAAAAAATAAATAACAATAATTAATTAGTTTTTATGGGGTCTCCACATAATGGTAATCTACAAAATATCATGTTATGGGCACTTACATAGCTATATTTGAAAAACAACTGTTAAATGACTATGGTTCTGATATTACCAGATTTTCCTTTTTACAAAGAGAGGAGAAAAAATTTAACATGCTCTACTAACAATAGTCATCCAAAATCTCTGGGGCATCCAGTATTCTCTCTGGCACTTGTGGGATATGCCTTGTGGGCTTTTTGCAAGATCCTGGAGTTTTGTTCTGGCTACTGTACAAAACCTTTAGATTGTTCTGGTATCCTGCAATAAAACAGAGCAATTAGAATTTGAAAGACTCATTCTTCTATCTATGTCAAAAAAAAAAAAAAAAATGACTGCATCAAACTACTTTGAGCCTTAATTCGTAAGAGAACAAAACTGCATTACTAGTATTCAGATGATTCTTTACACATCAGTTACTCAAGTTGGGCTATTTTCATTGCACGAGCAATAGGCCTGTTTACTATGTCACACCCAATGTAAGAGGCTTTATGGAAGCTTAGCATCCAGACAATGTGCTTGTAACCCAAGAGACAAAGCCTGCAATATGATTGGGGATTAAAAATGAAAAATTAACATAGGGTATATAAAAAGCTAATTTACTGTTATATTTCTAAAAGAAAACTTCAAAAGAGCCATCTCATGAAATGTAAAAATTACTATCAAAATGCACAACCATAACCATCACTTTCAAAGGGGATGTTCATAATAAATGTATTTAAAACTGGAAGGGACTTTATACTCACCCTCAGGGGCTTGAGGTGCTTTATTTTTGTAGGCAATTATTTTAGCATTTGCTGCATCACCATTTAGATTTTCATTCATGGCCCTCTGGTACTCTCTTTTGGATGGACTTAACATCTCATCCTCCACTGATTTTTCTGTCATTAGTTTGTAATGGCCTACATCAAACTGTGTAGCACCTCTATTTGGTATGAACCGATCACCTCCACTTGGTGTTTTGGGTGTTTTGCTGCCTCTGCTGGGTGTCTTATTTTTACCTTAGAGAAATAAAAATGTGTAACAGTTTATTAGTCTTAAAACAACAAATTTATTTGATGATCCAAAGTTGGAGTTGCCAACATTTAGAATTTCAAATAAGTGACAAACTGTTTCAAAGTACAAAAGACTGAAAATGCTGAAGAGGGTTGAAATATGGGATCCATACATATCTTGGGTTTCACTGGAAATAAAAGACTCATAAACTTATGTCAGAAAATAAGATCGAGTTTCCCTGCATTATCTTGGGCATTCAGCAACTGAACCTTGATAAAAGCCTGACAAAATTTAATTAAGACTGTAAATATTTTCTGTCATGGTAAACAATATGAAATTAACACTTCGTGGTGGCATGTATGTCCTGATCATACCTGGTGTTTTAGTAAGCCCTGGAGTCTTATTGGTCCCCGATGGGGTTTTGCTGCCCATGAGCAAACTGTTACTCAGAGATTTGTTCAGTGGCTTCATGGGCGTCTTGCAGATGCTCCCATTCATAGATACATTGCTGATTGAGCAGTTCATTGACGCACCCAGAGCTTCACTCTGTTTTCTCTGCCATCTCATTGGTGGTCCCTTTGTGATAGGAGCATCCATTTTCAGCAAGTTGTTCATATCACTTTCAAACTTGAAATGAGACATCTGTAAGACAGCAAATACTGATACAGTGCGTTTCTTGTTATATGCCCAGGCAAGTGCAAGAACAACAGCCATTTTTAAATACCCTCAATAAGCAAATATAGGAGACACGGGCCATATCGTGTATACATAAACAAAAAGCTTTGTAACAGGTGAAAAAATCTTACCTTTCACATACAGTGTTCAATAATTTGTAATGCTTTTCTTTACTTGCAAGATTCTATCCAAGCTCAGGCAAGACAACGTTCGATATTATCTCGTTTTATCATCGGCAAATTAATATAGTTCTCTCTTGGTTTTCAAGTTTACCGCTTTTGATTGGATAGGCGGTGATCTACTCGAACGCTGATTGGATAATTTCGAAAAACAAACCTGTTCTCGTGCATTCTCGCGTTATCCAATATGGAAACCTCCATGTCGCCAAAAATCTGTCCAAAAAATATTTTAAATGTTGTGTTGTTTTCATTCTTTTTTGTCAATATTTTTAATGAAATTTTATGTGGACCAGCAACAATAGACCCATTAAAAGTTAAAAAGAAACCAGGGTATAGACCGTCTACCGGAGGTTTACAGCCTGGAGAAATAGTTTATGAAGATGTAACACCAACCACGGATGAACCAGAAAAAGACTTCTACATGTTTTCAGTAACTGACATAAAAGGAAAAACCGTTTCACTAGAAGAATACAGAGGCATGGTACGTGATACAAAAAACTGTCAAAATCAGTTACAATCTGGGGGTGCAGCTAGAATTTTTTTCAAGACAAAAAACTGCAGCCCTTATCAATTTGTAGACAAATTACAAATAAAAAATAAGTCAGAACTACTTTCGTGTTAAATACTCTTAATCACAATATTGATGCATACAACAAAATGACTGCCCCAATTTTAGTGCATTTAATTAGCCTTCTAGTAAATTTAGTACCTCAGCACCTGAACCACCTTATATGGACAAAAGCCAAGAATTTCGAAATGTGGGTACTTTTGTATTACGGGGGGGGGGGGGATTACTCCATGCACTTATTAGAGGCAAGATTAACGGTCCTCCTAAAATGGGCAATGCAACACTGAATTGAGTCATATTGTTAATGAAATTCTACTGGTATCCAGGGACTCTAAGTGAAAGGCAACCTACCTATTCAACATAATTTGAAGTTGAAGTGTTGTTACCTTATCTCCTTTTTTGTTATTGATATTAATATATTTTTAAAATTTCCGTTTCTTTTGCTTATATTAGGTTACCTTGGTAGTAAATGTGGCAAGTGAATGTGGATATACTGACAGTCATTACAAAGCACTTGTAAAGCTTCAAAATACACTAGCACCCAGTGGGAAGTTTACAGTATTAGCATTCCCTTGCAATCAGTTTGGGGCTCAGGAACCTAAGGTAGGTAGAGAATATATGCAGTCTCAATTAACAATAGCATCTATATTTGAATACATCATTGCTGAGAGTGAATATTGAACATGGCTATGTGAAGTTATATATATATCTTGATTTATATTGTGTATGTCTTCAATATCATAATTGCACATTTCATTGAAGAAAATGATAGTGTTATTGTAGAAGATATAATGAATTATGATGCATCTACAGTAATTATATCTCTGCATGTAACATCAAATATCCAGATCAGATGAATCCATTTTTGTATACAGACACTACTATTAATATTATTATTTTTTTAATTTTAGGATGAACCATCAATAGAAAAATTTGCAAAAGAAAAATATGGCGTGAATTTCCCTATGTTTTCAAAAATAAATGTTGTTGAAAAGGACATTCCTGAGGCTTGGAAATTTTTAGAGGGTATGTGCCAGCAAAAAACAGAAGGCATTGATGCAAGCTGTTTTTCATTGTATTATTGTACCACCAGCGTTAGCGCTGGCGGTACACATGGTTTTAGTCCCGTCCGGATCGTTCCGCCGGACAGCTACCGTTACCGCTTCTCCTCCTAGACGGTAAGGGCCCCCGTACCCATCTCTTGGATTTAGGTCACCTATAATCTCAACTCGTTCCACGTAAAATTTGGGCTTTGTCGGTTTTGGGGTCTAGGTGTGGCACTCATTGCAATGCACCCTTGTCTAAAAATGGCAAAATTAAATGCTAATTATCTACCCTACGGAAGGAATTATGGGAAAAATTTCTACAGACGGCTTTCCAAAAGTCATATGTGTAGATTTCAAATATGCCCTTGGATTTGACCTTTGACCTTTATTTCAAGGTCAAACGAGCCAAAATTTTCAAAAAAATTAATTTTTTTACGAAAAAAAAATTATTTGCATTGTTATTCAGACACCACACAGACTTAACCAATAATATTATTGGAAAGTGTTACCCTTCAGGTCATCTTTCATCTGCGTGAATTTGGGGTCAATCGGTGCATTTTCACGGGAGTAGCGGCCATAAGATACCGAAACTGAAAACTGTCTCTAATTCGGGAACCGTTAATGCTAGAGACCCATTCTTTTTTGCATTTTGTAGAGCATGTAAAGCCCAACACTGGAAGTGGTCTCGGTTTTTTTTGTATTCCATACGGTTTTCGAGTTACGCTGTATCAAAAAGTACATATTGGTGGTAAAAGCAAAATGTGCAGTACGGTAATGGATAATAAATTTTGAACTCCGGAAAAATAAAACATAAGGCTTGGCAAAGCAGACAACTTGTGGTCAAAAATGACATTATTTCATCAAATTTGAACATCTGGAACTTCAGAGCACCTCCCATTTCAAGAATTTTGACCAAAATGACCTTTTCTTTATTTTAATTAATTTTTTCTGTAGGAAATTTATGGCACATTATGGTAACTCCAAAATTATAACATTTAGTCCCTTATATCTCCAAAACTGGCAGAGATAGGTCCATAGTTACTATTGAACTTGAATAGGAAGTCATATACTGGCAATCTAAATGTGACCTTAAAATTGACCTTTGACCTACTTTTCACCATGAACTGAACTTTGCAAATTTTGCTTCCCTTTTATCTCCAAAACTGGCAGAGATAGGTCCATAGTTACTATTGAACTTGAATAGGAAGTCATATACTGGCAATCTAAATGTGACCTTAAAATTGACCTTTGACCTACTTTTCACCATGAACTGAACTTTGCAAATTTTGCTTCCCTTTTATCTCCAAAACTGGCAGAGATAGGTCCATAGTTACTATTGAACTTGAATAGGAAGTCATATACTGGCAATCTAAATGTGACCTTAAAATTGACCTTTGACCTACTTTTCACCATGAACTGAACTTTGCAAATTTTGCTTCCCTTTTATCTCCAAAACTGGCAGAGATAGGTCCATAGTTACTATTGAAGTTGAATAGGAAGTCATATACTGGCAATTTACTGTGACCTTGAAATTGACTTTTGACCTACCTTACGATGAACTTAACTTTGATTGTACCATTTTTAGGCATATATATTTTTTGCACATTTTGAAAATTCTTGTTGATTGCATTTTTACAGCTTGTCAAGCAGAAGACTGGTGGCTGTGACCCTTATTTTGTGTATGTGGGGGTCTATACGAATGCGCTTGCTCCAGCTGGTGGTACAATATTCGGAGGCGGTATCGCCTCTCTGATCCTCTAGTTTCTATAAATTTATATGACATATTTTCCCTCTTCTAATTATTAAATAGTGTTTTATCTTTCAAATGAAAAAATAACTATCTGGCTGATTAAATGGGCAAAACACTTTTTATCAGTTATTTTCCCCCCACAAAGTGTATTTCATATGACTGATAAGAGAATAATTTTTATTATTATTCAATTAAGTTTAAATATTATGGCAATATTTTTCAGATTTTTCAAGACTGGTTCCAAATTGGAACTTCTGGAAGTATCTAATAAATCCCAGTGGTCATGTTATAGCCACATGGGGTCCCTGGATACCAGTGGAGGATGTGATTGAACAGATAACAGAGGCTGTACATGCAGCAGCTGATGACTTGGTTGTATCTGACACAATACACGAGGAACTGTGATGGAGAACTGCTTTAACCACACCTCTGATCCAAATGTTGTAATTTTTTATTCCTTGGGCCTTGTTATATCTACTTGCAGATCTCGCAGATGCTGTAGTATCAATGCATATGTTACATTTAATATTTCTGAAATTATGTGGGTGTACTAGATCAATTTTATTCAGTCAAGATATGTTGATAATCAGTGCCAGGGTGCAGTTCCTTTGAAGGTCAAATATACTACATACTGCATGTCTTCCTATGCAGTTTTTTTTTTTTTTAGATCCATTGCTTTTTCAGATAACATTTTCTGAAAATATGGAATGTCGTTTGAATTGTGGAATCCAATATGTGATAAACAATACAATTGTTCTGTTAAACTTAATTTTCATCAGTTTAAAAATGCCGGTAATTATTTCATGCTAAGAGTTCAAGTAGTACCGTTTAATAAATGTTTGCTCATCTCGAACAACAAGAACTAGCATAAAAAAGCACAAGGACAGTTTTTATTTTTCTTTTTTATTGATACTTTTGTACTTTTGGTCATATAAAAACTGAATGCTTAAATCTCTGAGTCTTTTAGTTATTTCCAATTGTATTCATCAGTCGGTAATCCAAGGTCACCCACCATGATGGTTTAGGGCACCTCTTCATGGAGACTTCGAAGAAAATAGATAACAGTATGTCCCCAAAGATAAAGCAGCTTAAGGAAAGACAACATGCCACTTAGGCAATCTAACAGCATTTATCAGAGCATAAGTCAATGATTAACTAAAGATATTTACCTTTGATAAAATTTGCTTCTGATCAACATGTAAATCAAATGTAGTTCAGTATATCTGACTAACATACAATCTTGAATATATATGTTCCCTAACATTTAAGGACCAGAAAACCTTGCTACAAACCACAGTTCAAGCATCTGGAGTACAGGGACCTCTCGGTTTTACCCATACTCCTTCATTAATAACTTGGTTCAATGCAGCAGTGGATTCCATGGTCACTTAGATGTTAGTCGATTTACTTGAAGGACCTGAAGTGTTTTAAGTGTTGAGTGATATTTGATCTCCATTTGTTTAATTTAGAATCCCATCCCAAAAAGATGCTCCAAGTAAATCATTTTGCTTTGTGTTCACGTTTGAGTCTTTTCTAATACATTACTGTCACTGTCATGGACCAGGTTGTCATTGTCAGCTAGTCATTTTGTCAGAAAGAAAACTCAGTTGTCACTGCCAAGATTTAGTAGGGTTGGCAGCTGACAAGGCCTGTCATTTTCATGGTCCAGAGTGTCACTGTCAGTTGGAATTAACAGCAGAAGATTTCAGTTGTCACCGTCAAGTATTAGACTGGCACTCTCATTTTGGCACACCTTCAGGAAAAATCTGTGCCTCTCATTGTCAAGTGGGGCTAGAAGCAGCCAGCATGGTTTGTCATTGTCATGACCAACATTGTCAATGTCAACTGGGTTTTCTTTCAGAAGATGAATCTTGCTGCCATTGTCAAGTGGAGCTGTTAGAAGCTAGCATGGTGTGTCACTGTCATGATCCAGATTGTCACAGTCAACCAGGTTTTCCTTCAGAAGATGTGTCTTGCTGTCATTGTCAAGTGGGGGTGGTATTGGCCAGTGTTGTGTGTCATTGTCATGACCCAGATTGTCACTGTCAACTAGGTTTTCCCTCAGAAAATGAACCTTTTTGTCACTGTCAATTGGAGCTGGTAGTGCTCTGCATATTGTGTCACTGTCATGGCTCTGTGTGTCATTGTCAGCTAGACTTTCCGTCTTCAGAAGAATGTTGCTGTCAATGTCAGATGGGATTAGAATCGACAGGAGAGGCCTGTCACAATCAAGAACCAGACTGTCAGTGTCAGCTAGACTTCTTGGTGGAAGATGTACTTAGTTGTCATTGTCATGAAGTGGGAATGGTGTTAGGAGGCACTGTTTGACACTGTCAAGTTGGATCTTTCTGCTGTCATGTTGCATATGTTGCTATAGAGTTTTGTCAGTGACAATCTACTGTCTTTTCTCTACAGTGTGAAATCAGGGCTTTACACTTTCATGGACTAACTTCTGAGGTGGGATCATGATATCATTTACAAGATGTGGGGACGTTCAGTAGTTCGGAGTTACTCTGACATTGGCATGACATGTGTTTTTTATTAGTGTTGCCAAAATTTGGTAAATTTCTGCAGTGGCAGAGAGAACTTTCATCAATAGAAACACCTGCTTCTGATCACAAACATTTTTGAGACTTATACTTGTATCAGGTCATGTTTGTTTGTCATTGTCAGGTGGTGGTGGATCTGTTTATGTCATTTGGTCACTGTCAAGTAGTACAAAGACTGCAGGTATTTTGACTTGGTGAAGAGTCTTTGAGGTCATGAGTTGTTGTCTGTCATGTGAAGTTAGATGGTTCTTGTGTGTCAGACATGTGATGTGACATTTTCTTGGATACAGTTAATAACTGACATCAAATGGCATCAGTCCCATTGTTTTTTAATTGATCGCAATGGGATGTATTTACACCTGCTCACTTATTTTCTACTTGTTTATTGTCATCCTGGTTCTCCTGTTCCATCTGCTGCTCATCAGACATCACTTCGATTTGGTTTGAGTCCTCTTCTTCTAATGGACCCTTCCTGATAGTTTTGTTGTCCCTGTGCTTCTTTGATATGGGACCAGTTGTCGTCATGGAGGTAAACAGCAATTCTTCTTGTGCCAATTCGTTGGTTTCAAACTTGAAAAAAAAGTTTTGCAAACTTCACTTCAGAGCATCCTAGTAAACAGTACTTTTGTAATACAAGTACTTTATTCTGGATGAGTTACTGTTACATATCTGTTTTCCTTTAAACTTTCGACCAAATATGATTATTTTCGGCTTTGCTCAGCATATTTGTTTGAAATGTGTTGATAGAAGTTGAATACATGCCTACAGTTCGCTGCCTGGAAAGGTCTAACAAAAGACCACTTAAACTTTGGAACTTTAGTTCTTTATGGCCTCATTCTGGGCGGTTGTAACAAATATAATAACTAAAAAAGCACTCAGAGCGCAGACCACCGCCATGGAAGTTTAGTTCCCATTCTTGATTAATGAATCAATTCACGGATCACCAACAGAATCGAACTGATTTAAATTTCATTTCTGAGCTATCTTGGAAATTTTCTCAAAATCCGCTCATAACTTTTTTCAGTTGGGTTGTTAACAAAAAAAAAAAAAAAAAAAAGAAAAAGAAAAAAAATTATTCCATAACAGAAGTAATAATAATTTCTTTGAGGAGGTCGACACTGTTTGCAATTTTTATGAAATTCTAGAATTGAGCAGACAGTGCAATCATTAGCGGTTGAGGAAATATTTCATCAACGGGAAGTGCACCCAGGCGGCTGTCCTCTCAACTTAAAACAAAACAGGTTCTAATGAAGCCGATCTGAACTTGGCATTTGTTTGAAATTAAAACGGGTTTAATGAAATTAACAAAATGTACTTCAAACATTTTTGAAAATAAATTATCATTTGATATTTCGCAAAACATTTACTTTACCTCATCTCCTGACCCCAGATCATCGACATTATGCTTTTCCTCTTCTTGGGTGGGGCAAACGCCACAAGGCTCGTCATAGTAAGTGGATAGAATGGCTGCTTCCGTATACGGATATGCCAACCAGCTTTTAGGAAATGGTATGAAAAATGCTAGGCGGCCGCATCTAAAAGAATAATATTGCACTTCTCGTTAGTATTTTTTATTCAGAAATTTATTACGACGAGAAGAAAATGTTTTTCACAGACCGCTGTTAACATAAGATTCGAATGTCTGTCTATCCTTCATTAGTGTTTTTGTATGTTCTTTTATTTCGTACAAATATCACTGTGTACCTGTCATAAACGAAAATATCATCTTTCCCTCCTTCTAGTGTATACCAGATGTCATTTTTGTGCGTCGATCTGTATACCGGAAAGCGAACTCTTCGTTGAAGTGTGCCGTGCATCAGTTGAGCGTGCCATTTTTTGGAGTTAATTGCCAAAAAAGAAATTTCGTCTAAGCCATGTCTAAGGAACTTTTGTCGCAGGTATTCCAAACTGAAATGTAATGTTGCTAATGATAAAATGGTATCTGGCTGAGCAGAAAAAGTACATTAATCAATGTTTTCTTGGAAAAGGGTTTATGGAGAAATGTATGCCTTGTTTGAGGCAGCTGTCTCTGGAAGATTTATTACATGCTTGTGTCTGGAACGATATGTTTCGTCTGAAATTTGGTTATTATTTCAGATAAATGCCCTCAATACGGCCTCAATATTACGATGATTGTCGTTGTTGATTTGGCGCAAACATTCCTACTTACTACCGCCCCTGCCTGAGACAAAGTTTTCAACTGGCCTGAAGAAGTGAGACGACGGTAACGTTTCCTCGGTGATTTTCCATCGGACTCTCCCCGTCCACGAACCACGATGGTGGTGGTGCACATTTCACAGCGGCTCCGGCATTTCCCGCTAGGCACAGGATGGTCGCTATTAGCAGACCTGTCCCAGCCGCCGCGGCCCTGTAAATGTTTCTGATATTTTGTTTTGTTGCGCTTGTTTTATCAGATGTTTTATGACGCACAGCATTTAAACATTTGTTAGAATTTACATTTATTAAAACTAAGATCTAATAAACGGATATTAGATCTTAGATTAAAACCAATGCTATAAACTGAAAAAGTCAATGTTATTCTCAATCAAACTATATATTTGAAGATGTTATTTTAACCCCGAAAAGCACACGGACTGCCACATCGTAATATTTTTTAAAGCTAGATGGGCGATTTGATTTCAAAGCCGTGCTCGAAAAGTCTTTACAGAGAACATATCACAAGTTTTATAAATTATATCTGGCTTTGGACTCACCTGCCGATTTTTACTTGAACACCCAGAATATGTAGATGTTTTTGTGATGCTCAATAAAGACCTTGCTTCACTGTTCCTTGTATATGTGTAATATCAAACTGCGTATGAAGCTCGACCCTTGATCTACTCAGCTTATATATGCTTGTGTGACCTGGTTTGTTTACTCCGATAATTGCCTGACTTTGATACTGAGTAAATCAGCAGTTCGAGGGCACACCACTGAGTTCTTACGTGCATGACCCTGAAGTACTGAAGTAACTTTGAGGAAAATTATATAAAACGACCAAAGATCATTTACTCCACTGACTATGGGAAAAGCCTTTTAACTTGTACATTTCTAAAAAAAAGTGTAAAGAGCAGTCATCGGAGTCATTCACAGAAAAGATTTTCACGTGTGAAAAGTCTATGTACAATGTACGGTATGCACATTGACATCCCACACAGATAAATATGATTCCAAGATACCGAAACTAGGAGCATCTTTGGACAATACGTTTACTGATGAAATTATGATTTACGCATACCTAAACTTATTTTGTGCTTAATTATACTACACGTAGGGCCTAATCAAAATTCAAAGCGAAAATATTTTGTAAAATGGGCTAAATGGCTAGCTTACTCTGGAGGGGTGGAACCTGGAGCGAAAGTCAAAGTAGTTTGTAGCATAGGTTTGACCAAGGAGTTGTTGGTTAAACTTAACGCTGGCGTTTTAAAAAATATTATTCATTTATTTTCCGCAAACGCTTTTCCAAATTGAATAATAATGTTTTCATTACATTTTTCATTTCTTTTTATTCTCATATGTCCGAAATGTAATCTACTAGTAGTAGCTGTCTATAAAAAAAAGCACAATGCCGCCCTGCACTCAGATTTAAAAAAACTCCAATTTCATCGTGCCCTCTACCAGAGTTTTGTCTTCTCAAATCGGCCGATTGTGCTTCGAAAGGCTCAACAAATCGGTGCATCAACAAGTTTAGCACGTACTTTGTAATTTTTCATAGGCACATTTAAGAAAAGAAAGCCAAGACATATATGTACTCGATTCAAATATTACTTTAATTGTACTGTGTGTAAAGGAGACAAAATGCCCCGTTGTTAACGTTTGGATGTTGCCCAATTGAAAATGTAATCGTAATCTGAATATAGAGGTTACCGGGTACGTGTAGTTACTGTAATGGGAAGAAAACCATCTTAGGGTTATTTCAAAGTGCCGAATTGCGAAGTTGAGTTGGATATTAATTTTTTGTTTTGAATACCAAGTGTCCATTTCACAGTTCACAAAAACTAATGGCAGAACTTTTCAGACTTAAATTTGTAAGAGGCAGTGGTGCATACCAGGTAACTCTGAAAACAATTTAATTTGAAGTTCAGTGTGTTTATACATGTTTTTAATTTTTTATCGTGTTTTTGTATTACAACTTTCCAAATTATAACATTAATAAAGGTCTTACTATATTAATAGAGAAGACAAAACTCTGGTAGAGGAATATAGGCCTACGTTATGACAAACGAGCCCTCACATACACTGTAGTCATAGGGGTGAAGGAGAAAGAAAGTAGATATTCCCTTCTTCTGAATTAATGAATGATGGAGGCTGATTGAAATACCGAAAGAAAGACTAGAATTTGTGAGGAAACGCAAATAATATCAAGTGCCATAGAGTGCTATAACTATGTGATGTAGACTAGTATGTGATGCCTGCTTATGCTTTCGGATTGGGCTCCTCTTGGACTCCCATGACACCTGTCATTGAAAGAAATCATCATGGCTGCACGGCCAGGTTGGCAGCAGTCAGGACAGGTAAACTATTTTTCTTATGCTAAGTTGTAGGTTTTAAGTTCATATTTGAGTTTTAATATCACGTTTGTTTACCATTTGTTTCAAGTAATTTTCTTATGATGTAATCAACATGTAGTCTACATGTTGAATTTTTATTTTAAAATTTTATCCCCCCCACCGAGCTGGTACAATATAACAGAAGTAGAAAAAGTGAAATGCTATGTTTAGGCACACGTCCCACGACGTCTCTCCTTATAAGTTAACAAGGTCGATCACTATAACTGGAACTGGTCAACCACTGAAAAACCTGTAACCCGTCTTGGCATTTCTCTGTCATGAGACCGTATTGTTACTTTTGACTTCTCATCACTCTGAAAGGTTGAGGAGATAAGAAATCTGAAGAGAGGCTGTGTGCACATATCAGGGTTAGCTCAGTTCAGATGCATCTTTGACAGACAATAAGTAGAGAGATTAATGTAACTTGTTTTTACTGCTTATGTCACACTGGCGATTCAGTCTTGTCAGATCTTTTTTTTTATATAGATGGACAGCTCTGCTGTTATTGACATGGATTACCTGGATTCAGGGGATGGATCAGGCCATGACACAAACGAATCAGGTGAATATACCCATTACTTAGTCTAAAGACACCAGGTTTGTATATTATTTTAATATGACAATACCTCATACATGTACTCTCAATAAAACCATATTTGTTCAAATATTTGTGTTATATTATATGTACAGTATGAATGTATTGTTTTATCTATATAGAGACTTTGTATAGACATGAAAGCTTAAAATCTAGAAAAATAATATCTAAAATCTAGTATAACTCATTTCTTAAAGCTTAAATGGTGTTATTTCATTTTTAGACATTGAACATGACTCACCAGATTCTAAGGATGGAAAGAGTGGTTTGTATACATCCATGCAGAAGAATGTTGCAAGCTTTGTAAGTATTAAAAAAATGAACTAAATGAATTATTTTTGATATTACATTTAAATGTTCTGGGTTTGCTAAGAGCATTAAATACTTAACAATTGCATTATGTGAACAATCTGCAAAAGGGACCTTAGATAGAATTTTTGTGTTGCCTTAATAGCTTTTTTCCACAAAGCCAAAAATGCAGGAAATGTATACAGTAAATCTCTCAGCTAGAACAAAATAAAGAAAAAAAAATTAAGTCCATGGTTGCTCTATCAGATGACTAGCACATAATATTAATAGTTTTCGGTTTACTATTCAAGATGTTTGAAAGAGGCAGAGAACAGGCCAAGAGGGCCTACAGTCTGTATGCAAACATTGATTTCCTTAGACCATATTTTGATGTGGAGCCACACATTGTAAGAAGCAGGTGAGTTTTCTAACTCTAAATTGAACAGGTGTAATTGTGAATTTGTTTTCAATAATTATCAACTTTGTGGTGATGGTGGACTAGAATCTATGGTAACTTTTCTTCATAGCCCTTTATTTGGATGTAAATTTTACTGTCCTTATGAAATGACTCTGTTTAATTTTTTTATGTTATACTGAAATAATTCTCACTCTTTCAGGCTCCTCAATTCCATGCTTCCTCGTAAACCTACAGACGAAAGACAGGTAGGTCAATTATGTATCTGTAGTGACTGTTGTCTCTTCACAGATGAATAAGATATTGACAGTTTTGTTTTAAATTCAGTTTTGTAGAATGAAATGGTAAAATTGAGAATCTTATAGATGCATATGAAGTCAATTTTTTGACACAAAAGTCTACCAAATGCCAGCATATAGTTTCAAGTAGTATAGCTAAGAAAATTACCAAAAGGCAATATTTAATTTTACCCAAAAAATGATATTTGAACGGATTTTTATGCTAGCATTCTATGCTGTATATCAATGGGGCAGAAAAGTAGGTCATGAAAGTAAGTTAAATTTCTGACCAAAAATTTGAAGAAAGGAGCAGTCTAAAGCTCTTTTATGGCTGATCGAGAGATTTATTCACTTTATCCTTTGGCATGTCAAATATATTTGAGTCGTATAAGAAACTAGTAGAAGTGGTTTATATGTGTTACTGGGAATCCACACTCCACCGATGCTCAGTTCATATGTACCTTTAAAATATCCATGTACACACGTGAAAGTTCTGAAATTACTTGTTAGCATGCTGTTCTCTCTTTACACAGAGTGTTCCAAGGGAATTGTATGGGCCCACAATGCTAGTGTTCACAATGATCGCCCTGTTATTGTTTCAAATGAAGACTGCCAATCATGCTGTGGTAAGTTGTAATGGATTATATTGTAAAAAGCAATGTCCTATGTAACTATCTTTTTATGATTATTTTGATATTTTTTAAGTTATGGATGTATATATTGCTGTCATAAGCAAAAAAATTATATGCTTTGATAATGAACTGAATTGCATGATTAATTTGTCATTATTCTGTCTGTAATACTATAAAATTTCATCATTTGGGCTGCCAGTGAAGTTTTTGTCTATAAGAGTTATGAGAATGTTGCATCATCCTCAAGAGGATTTCTGCTGGTCACTGATTAAATGGATCTTTGTAAAATGAAAAACTTATCTAATAAAATGTTTCAAAATTTCCAGGAAGAGGGCACACTGATGGGTACAGCATTTGGAGTGTGTTTTGGTTATTGGCTTGGTGTGTCATCATTTATAATGGTCCTGTCATATATGTGCAATACAAGGATAGTCATGATGCAAATTCTATCATTACTGGTAAGGAGGTCTTATTAAAAATATATTGTTTCTTGGAATTTGTCTATCCCTTTAGGCAATAATGCTCATTAAGTTAAAAGAGAGATATGAAACAATATTTGACAATAATGCAAAATTCATAGGAATTAAAAAATATTAATATTTTTCAGGGTTATTCCTTATTTGGACACTGTTTAGTCCTCTTTCTTGGCACTGTCATCCACACATCCCATGATCACATGCTGTTCTATCTGTTATGGGGTACATTAGGAGGACTTTCAACTCTAAAAATGGTATGTAGTACATAATTAATCATCATGTAAAACTGCATGCACTAGTACAAGAAGTATCCTAGATTTTCTATTCTTATAAGATTTCTTTGATACTTAACACATGATGTTTTTCAGACAACCTGGTGAATTAATATGAATTGTTAATTGCTTGCAGATTGCAGTTTTAGCATCTAGAACACGTGGCAGCTCACAGAAAATGGTCATGTGTGGGATAGTGGCAGCAATCCACATGTTGTTCCTGATATATCTACATTTTGCATATCACCAAATGGTTGAGGGTAAGAGTCATAAAGGAGTGGAAATTTGGATATGCTTTATCATTAGTTTGACACTGAGTATGGCATTTGAGATTACACACTTATGTTTTCTGCTTATTACACACTTATGTTGAGGTTGCCATTCTTGGGAATAAAAATCTAATTGCTGTTATGATACAACATTAAGAAAGTCAACATTTTTTGGTTTAGCATTCAACTTTTTAAATTTATTTATTTATTTTTATTTATTTTTATTTTTTTGGTGGGGGATGGGGGGTGTACTGAGACAGTTTTATATCCTTGATCTGTTTTTCCATACAGAAATATCATTCCTAGAGGGAGTAGGACCTCACCATGATTTTCTTAAAAAGGAGCCTATACACATAATTTCTTCTACAGTGAAACAGGCAGCTGAGATGAAAGGTAAGTATTTGCTCAAGCACCCTATATATTTAGTGAAATTTCACTGTTTGTGTGTTAGCATTAGAAGTTTTAGAGTAGGTGTGAACAAATTCTTTTTACAGATTATTACTATCTAAAATGTTTGCATGTCTGATCATTATTCATTAACCAGAACAAGATTGTTTCAGATATTAAAATTTAAATTAATTAAACATGGTCTGTTTCATTTGCTTTCTCTAGCGGTGGGTGATAATCTAAGTACTAAGGAATCTCTAGAAACAGCTGTGACAAAATCTTTGCAAAATGTGATAAGAAGTGTTGCCCCAAAGAAGTTGGTAGAAAATGTAACAGAAATAACAATGAAGCAAGCCCCAGCTCTTCTTGGTGCAATAAAGAAGTCAGTTGGAGAAGCTACATAGATGTATGTGCCTTTTGTAACAATTGTTATAAAATATGTTCATTTATCTTACTTTGGTATACAGTGCAGATCTATGGTGATGGGGCTTTTTCATAGCTCAGCATTCTTGGGATTTCCTTTGTAGTATAATTTCTTTCAATCTTTTGATGAGCAGACTCACCTTGTCTGTACATATAGCCATCACCTGTGTCTGTCATCAATGTCATCATAGTCGCCATGCTTTTTCAAAACAGATAACACTAAAAATGGAAAACCATTTTATCTTTTCTGTTCAAATTTACAGAACAAATAAATATTCATAAAATACAGCTTTATTTAAAAAGCAGCTTGATCAGGCCATGTTTTCAAAGTTATGCTTATTTCTGCACATATGCAATACAGGTAACACACTTAGGAAAACCGTTCCACCTATTGTTTTCAAACTTGCAGTACTGATGTATAAGACTGAAATACAGGACAAGTTCAAAAATTGGCATTTTCAAGATGTGACTTTGAACTTCTACATGCCTGAAGACCTATGCTAGGCACATTTTCTGAATATCCATGATACTTATATGTATATTATGAAATATCGGTGGTGATAATGCTGTTAAGAATTATGTAAAGTTGCAAAAAAACCTCTTGGGCATTGTTGCCATAATGACAATTAAAGGAAAACCATGTTACTTGTGATTTTCAAACTAAAAGAAAAGATTCTTAGGGCTGAAATAGAGCTTGAATTGGAAAACCAACTGGATTAGTTTTTTTTTTTTTTTTTTGTGAAATTTTCAATTTTCACATATTGGCATGTATAAGGTGGGACTTACAACTCCCACAGGCTTGAAGCCACAAGGTAGTCACATTTGCTGAATTTCCATGTTACGTATTGAAGATTATCAAAAATTGGTGGTGATTATGCTACTGTTCATTGTGTAGCATTGCAACAAAATTGACAAAAAAAAACAAACTATTCCTTGGATTGCCATCTTACACTTTGAAAGGAAAAACTGCATTACCTTTACTTTTACTTCCATGATTCTTAGGATTGACATACAGCTCATATTGGAAAACTAGCTTAATTAGATGATTTTTCTTGAACTTCTGCTTTTTTTTTTCAATTTTTGATATTTCCATTTTTTTATCCTGGCATTTTCGATGTGTGAATTTGAACTTTCATGGGCCTGAAGCCATATGCTAGTTACATATTCATAATAACAGTGTTACCTGTTGTGCATTAAAATTTGGTGTTAATTTTGCTATTAAAGGGATAATAACTCTTCGTATGAGATCTATATTTCACAATAAAAACATTGTAAACAACTAATAGAAATAAAATATATTCTGTTTTACCAAAAAAAAAAACAGCAGTTATAGCTATTATTCTGATATCTGAGCTTGTCATTGGACCACGTGACCTCCATAGATGGCTATACTCTGTTAAAATCTTTTAAGAGATTATAAAAAAAAACAAACTTTTAAGGAAAAAAAAAAAAAACAGAGACAAAAAAACTTTTAAGAAAAAAAAAATGGACTAACTTTGAATGTATAAATGGTTTCATTAACCATTGGTAAGTATGGGAAAATTGTTTACTCCATGAAAATTCATTTTTTGGCCAAAACGAATAGTTATTATCCCTTTAAGCATCATGTAATATTGTATCAAAATTGACCCAATAAATATTTTGTGCATCATTATTTCCTGCTTTTTGGTTGCAGATTTACAGCTCATCTCTATAATTTCTCTTTGCACAATCATATCATTTTGCTACAATTTCAAACTGTTTTTGATTTCATTCTTCTTTTCTGCACTTGTGTTTTCTTCAGTAGCTGGCATTTGACAGTTGATAGCCTTTCGCTAAGTTATGATGTATTTTACTTGTGTGTTTTCTTTAAGGTTAGCTTAACTGTATTCATGTCTTTTTTTTTTTTTTCTTTAATGGTGTAAAGTTGTGGCAAGCAATTTGTCTAAATTTTAATTATTTGTGATATTTTGTTAGTATAATTGTATTTTCAAATCTTAAATTGTAAACATAGTTCATTGCAGTATGATTAGGAAACCAGTCATTGTTGACTAATTGTACTCAAAACTCCTCTACTTTTTTTGCATAAAAGCTACTGTAACTTTTTATAAACTGACCATTTTTCTATCAATTCCTTCAGGCCACTAGAAAGTGAACTGGTATCAACTGAGGCATCTACCAGTACTATAACCAGACATAACCTTCGTTGCAAAATCATGGAATTCAGATATTTTTAATTCAACCGTGATGCCTGCCTCTGGAGCCCTGTTGGAATGAGCATTTGGTGCCACGATAAATGCAATGTTAAGACATGATATAAAAAAAACATTGATGGATGTGACTGTAATATATCATGAAAACAGTACCTTCACAATTTTCTATCACATTTTATCACAATTAAAATGCCTTTTTGTACATGTGTCATGTAGATGTACCATTTCTCTTCTGTAAATAGAGATGTGTAGAATGGAACATTAGGGAGGAAAATGATTTTAAATTCTTGTATTTAGTTTTGTTCAAAGGTGTATATTTTGACATTAATTTGAGGAAACATTTCCTTGACTGTAAATAAAGGGAATCCAGGGATTTTTGTAAAACACAAAGGTTGCAGTTTTGTAATTAAGGGGAAATGATAGAATCTACTTCAGTATTTCTCTGAAAGAAACATGCCTGAAAACTTAACCTAACAACATACATGCATACCCAAACTTCTTTACACATGTAATAAAGCTCTTTTGCATTTTTATACATATGTAAGGATTTCAAGGTATTATCAGTTGTATAGCACTGTAAAACTTTGCTATTGATGACATTTTTCATAATTTTACTGACATCCAGCCAATTAAAGGTGTTAAAAGGGTCAACTTAGTTGCATATTTTTAAGAAGTAAAATGTGTCATTGTGCACACTTAAATTATTGTGGTAATTTTATTTAATTTTGTTGAGAAAAGAATGGGTATTAGGAACATGTATTGCTTTTTTTGGTTGTACGTACCATAGAATAAAGCTTAAACTAAATAGTATTTTTTTTTTTTGTCTTGTTTTGTTTTGTTTTTATTACTGATCCACAGAAACCTCACTGAATCTGTAGTATGGGTCTGACCGTCTTCACAAAGAAATATATTTCTCATTCCTACAACCACGCAGGTCGGAGGTTTTGGATTGTGTTAGTTGTTCCAAATTGGGTGGAAGATAGTGGAAGATCCGTTTATATTGGGCTGGAGAAAGTAAACAGTCTTTGTAACGCCCTCTATGATTGGACACTGATATTTTGCCTTTACTTTCCTAAAGTTTAATAGTGATATGAAAGCAAATTATTCATCAACAAGTATTCGTGCATCGCTTTTGCAACTCATATCAAACTTCTTTAGTAGACACTTTTTTTTCAGGAAGGAAGTTGAGTAATTTAAAGAATTGTTCTTTTCAAGAGAGCGGTTGTGGTTCCCAACCAATCACAACACGTGAAATAAAGAGGGGAAACCCACCCATCCGGCCATTTTGAATCGATCCTCCAAAAGAAAACAGAGGCGACAAGTGGCTGCGCTGACAGGTAAGTCTTTTACAAAGTTGATTTTTTACTCTGATTGTCTTTCGTACCACATGGCGGTATTTTTTGATACATTATAGATTTAACTGAAATGAAAGAACGTTATATGTAATTGAAAAATGCAGGGTATTTTTTAATAGGGTGACAGGTGAGTTTTCTGGACCTGCCTCATCTTGTGACCCCTCCCCAAGGTAGATGACCGGTAAGCCTTGGCGACGTGATTCACGGGCGTTAACTGTTCATCTTTGAATTAGCAGTTCAAAGTATAATCCAGAGTTATGGTTGCGCATGTTCTCATAAGTCTCACACAGTCTGTTATGTTCCAATGCATAACCATTTTTCAAAAAGTCAGTGTGATAACATTTTAAAGACGCGATTGTAACAGATGGAACAATGGTTGAGACTGTCATCCTTTTTAAATACTAAGAAATAGAGCAATCGTGTTAAATAGCAGTCTTAGAATAAAAGAAAACTAATGTTAAGAATAGAATTGTGTAATGCGAATAAAGAAAAAAATTAGTATGGTTGTAAGACGGTGAGACACATGGGTCGTGTGAAATTTCCTAAAAGTAATGCTGTCCGAAGGCAGAGATGGTTTGGCTTGATATTTGCAAACATCTGGCTAAGTGCTTGGCTAGAAAGTGTGGCTCTATAGAAAATGTACCCGATATCTTACTAGTGAGTTACAGAGCATTTTTTGTTACTCTGGTTTTGTAAGATATTTAATGCAATGTCATTACATTTCCTGGTTATCCAAATTTGTTGTGGTACTGAATGATGTGGAGTTCTTACAAATTTATAAATATACTATTTCAGTACCACAGTTATGTCCAGTGGCCTAAGCTGAGTAAATGGTAACATACTTTCCTTGCAGTTGCATTTCACATAAAGTGTACATTTCAAGTAGAAGTGTACATTTTGAGCAGGGAATATCAGTTTCTATTTTCATTACATAGGAAGGTGCCTAAGAGCATAAGCTGTTATAAATAAGGCACAGGCTGTCCTGTATAAATATGAAGATTTAATACAAAGAAAGACCAGGATACTGTCCTTTTAAGTAACATGTTAACAGGTGGCTTATATCGAAAGAATAAAGGCAAAACCAATAAAAGATTGAAGTATTTTCATAACGGTTTCTTTTATCTTGACATGTACACTGTAGCACCGTTTGTGGAATTTCAGTGTACCCATCGTCTCTTGGTCAGTTTTGTAAAATTGCTATTGATCTCCCAAGAGAATGGGTTCCTTGCCAGTGATTAAATACAAGCCATCGATCACCTGTGGGTAATGTTACCAATGTGCTTATAGCTTGGTCAATACTTACCCAGGGTACATATTGATTTTCAAAGGAAGAACTGCCAAGGTACTTGATTTCATCAATTTAGTTTGTTTGCTGTTTCCCCAGAGAAAATTTGTTGTTACTGGGATAACACATTTTGAATTTGTACAGATTTAGATTTAGAAATTTCATTTTTGAAAATTGTCTTAAAATAGTGAATAATTCCTCATTTACACAAAGGTTTAAATAGGAAAAATTTTGTTATTTGGATTCAGTAAACCATTTAGTCAGAAACTTTGCTTACCATATATCTATCCATTTAATGGTGTCTGGCATTATGCAAATCAAGTTAAAATAGGAAGTTAAGTGAAAATTATTAAGAAATTAAGATAGACCTTAAGCTTGAATGCAGTCATGCTTCACTAAGGTATGAACTTCAAGTGATGTGAAAGTAAATGGGAATAAGGAATTAAGATGTGCTTAGTTAAGTTTGAGAATGGCAGGAAAATTTGATAATTAACCAGGCACCAGTGGTCCGCTAGTAGATTTTGATCCATATGAAAATGTAACATCCATGTCCTGATTTCCATGTAGCAATACTTCACTTGCCTATTTATTGCCTTAATTAAAGGATTTTATTACATTGAATTACAAAAATTATCGATAGATTTTCCCCAGAAGATTCACTAAATGAATGAAGTTGATGTATCTTCTCTTTGGCAATGAGCAGAGTCATTAAATTTATTGAACCAATTGATCCAGCTAAGAAAGGAGAGAGGAAGGCATGCACAGAGTTGATTTCTTTAAGATGGTGCGGTTCTTAACTAAAAACAATATCATATTGTTTGTTGCCATGGTCAGTAGAATTCATAGTCCCTCTTTGACAAGTTTGTGCTGACTTATTAGACCTATGAAATGCTTATTACATTATCCTTTTAAAGAATAACTTTGAAGTATTATAGTAGTTATTCAAGTATGCATTGGCATTCTGCAAAAAGCGGTATATTTTTGTAAAGATTTTTAAATGTATTTTCACACACACACAAACACACACAAACACACACACACACACACACACACTGTTTATATGACATGTATAGCTTCCATTTCACCTATTGTTAATTATCACTCTTTAAAATCTCTTGAAAAATTATCTGCTGGTTGTTTTTGGGTGAAGGCTATATATCTTAATAAACTTCTCATGACTTGTATCTTAATTATCTGCCTCTCTGGGACGACTGTTGAATGACCCAAGGTGTCGGTTGCAATGATGTATGTACATGATAATGACAGAAGTAGAATTGTTGTGGCATTCCTGCCTAGCATGATGCACTACATTAGGCTAGCTTTTTGGCAGTGTAATGGGCGATTCATGCAAGTTGTAAAAGGACCATTTGTGAAATAAATGTCACACCAATTACCAAACTTACTATTTAGATTACTTGAAATTTGACTTTTTGGTGGAAAAAAATTGACCTAGGCAACTGATGGTTTTGGGTAGTGTTAAATTTTAGCTGTTTACTAGTCCTCTCAGATGTTCAAGTTGGGAAGCTGACAATATCAAAACCCCTAGCTTCCTTATTAAAGTCTTATATTTTCACACACATTTCTTGTGAAGGCAAGCTCAAATTAAAGGGAGCTTTCCTACTTAGTAATCAGTGCTAGCTTTTCAAAGTGAGTACCATCGCTAGCATGTACTTGACTTGCCATAAGTATAGGCTTAACACTAAAGTGGCCACTAGGCTTATCTTTGATTTTGTCAGTCGAGTTCCAGTCACAAGTTTAATCATTTATTACCTTGTCTAATTCAAACTTCCTATTCCTATCAAGCCTATGTGTTACTACATCATATGACACTTGTTGAGTTCACTATAAACTGCACAATTATGGCATGTTGTATAATGAAAGGACAAGCTTGAAATTTTGACATACAAATTATGCATTAAAAATTATGCCTATTAAGATGAATATCAAAAGAATCACCCTGATAATACCAAATGGAAATATGCTTTGCTGAGGAAATAGTACCTTTATAGAGAAATAAAATCTAAAAAAATTACAAATGTGTTAAAATGGTATAATCTTAGCACTGATCAGAATATGACCTCAATCCTGTCCTTTACCAGTGCATAGGAAAACTGTCATTAAAGTGGAACTTCTCTCGGAGTCTGCCACACTGCGCCAATAGGTCTATAGAGAACAGAGCGCTGTCTACAAGAGGGCCATATTTTTCTTACCCAGTACTTGGAGACTGGGACAGCAGGCACTGATAAGTGGGAGTGCATGATAGAACTCCATCAGCTTTCTAAAGGGGTCATCATGAGATTCTTCATCTTGCACTTACCTTTGTTCAAAATGTAAGAAAGTGCATTTTTTAGTTATGTTGCTTGTAAAATGGACCAAACCCATCTGGACAGTGATTTTTCATATGTGAAACATTTGTTGTCTAGATTATCATAAAAGAACAAAGTAGGTGATACAGTTTTGTTGTTCTCTATGCATTGAGATGAAATTTATTCTGTACATTAAGTGTTGGAAATGTATTATCATTATTCATTGTAATTTTTTTTCTAACTCGAGATAACTTCAGCTACTGTCTATCAGATCTTAGTTTTATTTTAGTGTCACTAGGCTTGAGAGAATTGTTTTAGATACTTTAAAAAAAATCCAAGATGGTTATCACCTATCTGATATGTAACATTATGTTATCTGGCCTGATCAGTATGGCCTGCTGTTACTATTTGTGTTTACAGATGTGGGCTATGCTGAATATGAAATGAGTAAAACTTGTAGTGAGGAGTTTTTATTCATTTCAAGATAGCTTGGTGTCTTCACCAGTTTCCTCTGTCAGAGTGCATGTCAAGTCCTCATCACCTATAATTATGGCTTTCAGTTTGATGACTCTTCTTCACACTGGGAGTTGTCAGGTCATTTATTGAGATGGTCATTTATCCTAATTATATATACCGTGGTCAGAGTTTACGTCATGGAAACAAAATTGTACTTGTATTTACAAAGTTTTACATTACTGGGTTAATTTGAAGTTACATTTTATTTAATAATGTGACGGTCACCTCCATTTGTTTGCAGATAAAGCATCTGGTAAAAACTAAATTGAATGTCATTAATCATGAAAATGATAATTTCTGTCTACATGAAATTTTGATAACCAGCTTGTTTGTTTTCATAAAACTGCTAAGTATATATCTGACATTGCTTTATTTAAATCCATAGTTTCATTGCCTGTACAAGTGAAGGTATTGGTCTGGACTACAAAGGATACCATTTAGGTGTGTGAGAAGTGTGATTCACCCAGGAGTCACACCCTACTATTTAGGGGATTATGGACTGTAGGTAAACCCTTCATATGCATGTTGTGTTTATCAATATTACTCCTACCTGCAGTATTTCCTTACCAGCAATGTCAGCAAAGAATAGAGGCATTCAGGCAGAAAGAATGTTATTGTTCTGTGGAATTTGATTGGGTTGAAAGCGGACGAGCTTATTAAGGTTACAGAGAAGTGAAAAGTTGCTTTTCTTATTGTACCAGTTGATAAATTAGTGTGGATTTCGTAGTACTGGATTCATCAGGTAGCTTTGTCAACCATTTGTATGCACAGGGTAAGTTGTGTTCGGCCAAACATTATGTGATTATTTGTTTTAATGTCAAACATTTAACCATACTTCTGTTGGTTTTTAAGTTGAGCCATTTTGTACAAAAATCAATATTATTATTTGCATTCAGTTCCTTTGTTTGCAAATATTGTTGTCTGCATAACAGTTGTTAAGTACACAATTTATTAAAAAATATAAAGTACATAATTGTATACTTTTTCTGTGTTATGGTCATTGCTGTGTACATTCCTTAACGGAATTTATAATAATATTTCTTACTTGAAACTTTCAGTGAAAATTGATAATGATTATTTTTAAAACATCTTGGAAAGTGATTAAAGATTTTGGTCGAAAAGAATGTTTTGATTTTCACTAAGAGCTAATTCTTTAAAAAAGAAAAAAATTGGAATATTAAGTATTTTGAAATTTGTGGTTTATTACTGTAGTCAGATACATGTATGTAGGTTTTTTTTTTTTTTTTTTTTTTTTTGCATATAATGGGCTAATTATTTCACCTTGTGTTACAAAAGACCCTACTGTTTTAGGATAGGCAAAAAAAAAAGGTAGGAATCCTGCATATAATGGATAATTGTGAGAAGACCTTTATGTGTGACACAGTGTCTGGATATTTATGTTGTACTGGAATAAGGACACTCATGATCTGTCATTCATTTGAGCATCTGTTGTATGCAGTTGATGGTCCAATTATGAAAATAATTTATGCACATTGGGTAGACGAGAATATGGGCTGGTAAGAGTGCACATGCACATTTGTGTGCAATTTTCAAGTAAGGTGTGAGTAAAGGTATTTTTCTATCATTGCCCATTAGTCTAAGGCTAATTTTTACATTGACCTTTGGTACATTTTACCTTATTTTTATGCATGCCTCAGTAAATGTCACATTAAGCAGGATTTGTATGCATGTTATCATGTCTATCTAACTGCAAAAATGTGGTCTGTATATATATATATATATATATATATATATATATATATATATATATATTTTTTTTTTTTTTTTTGTCCTTGGTACTGGACTTTAATTTTCATTTATTTTGTCTTTAATGAAGTGTATATTGTTGTCTAGTGTTATTTGTCTTTGTTTCTGTGTTGGTGGATGCATGAAGCAGTTGTTTACAGACACCTCCCCTCATTCCTGTCCTCAGCTATCTTCACCTTTTGATTCCTGGATGATAAAAATACCTTCTACTGGATTGCAGAATGTACACTGAACTCACCCAAGCTTGAATTTTGTTTTATCCAAGTAGCTGCAAAAAAGTAGCCAAATCAAAGCTTTAAACCAAAACAATGAAAGATTGGGAATTTAGAATGCTTTTCTTTTTCTATAACCAATATATCTGTTCCCAAGTTATGTTTTTAAGTTTGAGTTTATGAATACCTGTAGGTAATGTTGAAAGGTGGGGTCAGGTTGTTGTTCTCCGGGTACTGTGCATTCCTTTGCAATGACGGATGACAGTCACAGATAGTGCCTGGGGGGTCAGAGAGAAGTTTGCCAAGTATACATGGTCTCATCTATTTCACATGTTTGGGATTTTTTGGGCCTAGTTTGTTGGTTTTTGACAGCATATATCTTATTCAATAGATTTTCATTGGTGACAGTCTTAGGTCTGTGCTCTAAGTGAAAATATTTGATGCTTGGGATAGAAAACTTGAAAATAAAGTACTCACAGTGTCCTTTGCTTAAGTTGTTCGGCTCGTGGATCAATTGAGATATTGAAGGTGTTTTATTTCTTTGTGAACATTAACAGTGGGAACATTGTAAAATACTTTAAGAATGTATAGCCTTTATACTATGAAATGGTACAGGGGGATTTAAATTCCAAAGATGCAGGTATAAATATTTTGGGAATTAAATAAAAATGCTGTTCCTAATTGTGAAAAATGATTTAAAATTTTTTTGTTTGATTTTTTTTTTTTTTTTTTTTTTTTCTATAAAGCAGATCAGGAGGGATGGGGATATTTAGTGAAGCACGTAGTTCCAGGTCACTGATTCTATTGTGTATGCTTCATTTTTGTAAAACGATCTGGATATGTATACTCAGGAATTCATGATTTACATGATCACCTGCTTAGATGTTGAATATATAGCTCCACAATAAGTGCAGATCAAGATGCACTGTAATAATCATTTTTTTTATTATTTCAGATTTCATTATAAGTACTGGTAGTATTCTATACCACTAACTTTGACCATGTCGGTCAATGAAGAAATCCAAGCCAGCACAGACAGCTTCTGGGAGATAGGGCAGTATAAGAGGACAGTAAAGAGAATTGAGGATGGTCACAAATTGTGCTCAGACTTAATGGCCTTGATCAAAGAAAGGAGTGAAATTGAGGATGAATACTCCAAAAAACTGAGGCACTGGACCAAAAAGTGGAATAAATTGTTGGACAGTGGTAAGTGTGCTTTTGGCAGCAGTTTGGTGTAAGTAGCTGAGTTTGTTTGCAAATTGAACTAATGGCCAGGATCAGGTGCTCATTGCCTTAACTGCAGTAAGTAGACTTGTTTGCCTTGACCACGCATTTAACTCACCTGTGCTGCTGCACGTTTAACATGTAAAAGGCTACAGGCAATGCATCACTAGCCATCTTGTCTGTATGTTCATATGACAGTGACCAGATTTATAAGTAAAATCTTGTTTGGAGATATGAATAGTACTTGGGGATATACTTTCACCTTTAGCATTTTATGTCAGACATAGTGGATGCCTTCTGGACAGGTCACTGTCAGCAACCTACTAGTAGGTCTATTGTTATCTGAAGTTTACAAAATTGCCAGCTATACAAAGTTCCATTATTTATTGCATAATGAAGGGGGAATAGTATACTTGTCTGTGTGCAAATTAATAGCACAGAGGGAGTAGCATGATATGTCCCTCCTTTTTATGGCTTGCTGAATTTGGCAGGTGTTATTACCATTATGGTTGACAGTTGAGATCCTATTTCATACTCCAGCATTTTGTAACAGTATTGATGGACCTGGATAGTTTTTAACCCAATACCCGAAAACAGCAATATTTTTTTAACTGGACATGTGGAGAAGAAGATATACTTACTAGTGGTGTGTGTCTGCATGGGTTGTTATGCATGCTCACTTGTTAAAGAGAAAAGGAGAAGTTCCACAGATATGCTTACATACATTTAACATGACAAATAGGCTGTGTTCTTAAATGAGCCTACATAAGGGTACAGGCATGCAACAAGATAAAGGGCATGCTCTTTGGCCACTAGTGATATATTGTTTCCTATTGTACAAGGAACCTCGATCACTTAATTTTCAATAGTCATGTTCAATTGTTGCACAGAAGGAACTTTCTGCCACGATGAAGAAAATATTTTTCTTTTTAAACTCATCGTAGCTATAAACAAATGCATGATCATCTGCATTTACACCTTCTTCAAGTCTAGCCTGTACAACATTAATTACAATACAATCATTATCATTCATTTATCTTTTTGAGGAACAATGCGTAAATCTTAATGTAGTTGGAAGTTAAGAGTGCTGCAATTACATCATGTCCTGAAAGTAGTGTATAACTATTTAGTAAGTTATACATTTTATTGGACAAACATGTATAGGGGCATAAGTTTATTAAGGGAATGCTGTCCTACAGTGGTAAGTGGACTTGTATTATTAATTAGTTAATGACACTACCTGAAATCAAGCATCATTTTTGCCCACATGGTAAAATAACAAGCGAAAAAATTATCTGTATTTGGAAGTCACTGAACTTATATTCTGTTTGAGGACATGCATAATTTATAGTATGGTTTATAATCTTTGCTGCATATTTCAGGTCCAGAGTATGGCACTACACAAGCAGCCTGGCGGAGTGCTCTCACAGAGGCCGACAGAGTGGCAGATTTACACACAAACGTCAGAGACAAACTGGTCAATGATGTTAACCCAAAAATCAAAAATTGGCAGAAAGAACATTTCCATAAAACTTTGACAGGGATGAAGGAAGTTAAAGAAATGGAGGAACATTTCAGAAAAGTAAGCATGAGGATTTTAGATAAGAAAGTAAACATGATATCAAAATATTTGCATTTAGGGTTAGGTTGCAAAAGGAAGCAGGCTAAGTGACTACCAGTTTCCTGATATTGATTTGTGAGTGTGGTGATGAGGGTACTACAGATTGCAGACTATGAATACAAATGTCCTTTTGTAAAATGTACTGTGAGTGTTACTGATAAAATTGCTCTCCTTTCATAGATAGATTTTCTTGTTGAAATCAATGGATGTTTATGGTTACAAAATCAGATAAAGTTCAGTTTCTTGTGAGACTACTAAAGATAAAATTTTCAGCTTGATATTGATCAGTTACTTGATTGTTGAAACATTTTTGTTTTAGGCTCAAAAACCATGGGCTAAGAGGCTAGATAAAGTTGTGAAGGCCAAGAAAGATTTCCATACAGCCTGCAGGAATGAAAAGTCCACCAGTATACAGGCTAACAATGCTTTAGCAGACTCTTCCATGTCTGAAGATCAGGTAATCTTTGGCAGCTCTTATCTCCAAACAAGTGAGCCAAAAACAAAAATAGGATTCATTGTTGAGATGACTTTTGCTTTGTAAAAACATAAATGTTAAAAAGACAGATCATATAAAATGTAAAGCTTTTACAACATTTCAAAATGTATATACAGTGTTACGTAAATAAGCATTTAGGGTTTTATGTTTTGATTGTAGTGTATACTATTATACTACATCTGTTTTATTTTGTGGGTTTGTTGTTTATAGATTATAACTATATCATGCCAACTTAAATAGAATGGTGGCTTTAGTGCAGTAGGATGCATCACGGTCTTTTTCATATCAAGAGGGATAAATAATTCCCCCTCCTAAAACTAAGTGTATATGTACTGGTTATGCCTTAAGCCCATGTTCTGCTATGATCCTTTCAAAGAATAACAGTTATTATAAGACACTCTCATCTTAAAGCACATTGTATTTGTTGCCTTTATATGTCCTTATCATGCTTTGTCACTTTAGAAGTGTGGAGAACATTAAATATAAGTATTTGATAGGGTATTAGCAGAATACCACTTATAAGTATTTAACATCATTTGCATTTAATCCAATATCTTATTTTTGTAAGTAGGGTTTTACTACATGTAGATTGCTCAGACCAAAATTAATTTTTTTTCGAGATTGTCTTTTTTTTTCTTTTGGCCTAAGGAATAGCCAACCAAAACAGACCATGTGTTTTTCCCAAATCTCAAAGGTGGTCATGTGAAGATGACACAACAAACAACAACATGTTCATAGCTGCTGAACAGAATCCAGCCATGCTGCAAAGTTTGCCCTAGCTGTAAGGCAGGGCAACAGAAAAATTATCCATCTTTGTCCTCATAGAGATTAACAGTACAATATATTTGGTACCATTCCTTTATTATTGTAGCCTGTCAGGTAAAAAGTCCATTCTATTTAGGCCAAGGTCTGTAACTGCCTTCCTTAGGGAGTGTTAACATTCTGGTTAACCTGGATTAAAGTAATACAATATATTTAGTCTTACTCATGGGGGTTTAACCACATAAGCCAAAACAAAATTAAAAACTGACAACTAGTTATATGTGTCATGCAATACCTGCATTTGTAGGCTATGATATTGCCATTACTGGCTTAAGCCAGTAGTAAGATGATAATACCAAATATATATTTTGGTAAATTTTAATGCTAATATTTGAGGTGAAACAATCTATCCACCATTGTTTGCTCTCCCTCCCTTCAGATGTAGTTAAAGTGTTGTTCACCCTTTCTGGTGATAACTTTTTTATCTGCCCATACAGCAAAATCAGCATTTGAATAACAGCATTTTAAATATATATTGTTTCTGCAATGTTGATTTTATGTATATAACCAGCTTGATTGCATGATTCTGACAAAAGTTCACTTTCTCTTTCTCTTCTTCCCAGAGCAAAGCTAACCAGACGGTATGCACTGTTGTGTGTGGGTCTCTTTTTTAGATTGATGTGTTGTAGTTTTATTTCATTTTGCTCAGTTACAAAACAAAGTTGCAGCTATTATTTTCATGCATTTTGTATGATGTGCTGAGCTATTACTAGTAATCAATATTTGATTCTTTAAAGCACTTCACAAACAAAAACTATACGAATGTGTCACACTGTTTATTTTATGTAGACCCCAGCCTTTGTTAGCTTTGTTATGGTGTGTTATTTATTGCATTTTATAGTGTCAATATATTTGCTAGTTTCAATAATTTATGTGGAAAAGCACTCTGTTCAACAAAAAAGGTTTTTTAAATAGATATCTTGGGGTAAAGTGATAAATCAAAAAATCACAAACATGTCACGAAATAAACCAAATATTATCTTTAAAAATGATCAAAGGCCATAGGAGAAAGATTTTAAGATAACAATTTTTTTTCATGTAGAAAAAGAAGATACAGGTGAAAGCAGAACAGTACAGGGAGCAAGTGGAAACAACAACACAAAAATATGAAGCAGCTCTCAATGATATCAATTCCTACAATGCAAAATACATAGAAGACATGACAGAGGTATAGATGAATACTTTGATATTGTATGACTTTGAATCAGAAAATTATATTCTAAGTGGGGGCATGAAATGTTTCGACAAGAAATTAAGCACAAAAAAAGGAGTGGAAGTAATTGAATTTTAATTTTTTTCTTTCAAGTAAAAGTCAAGTTTGAGATTCATTTGATTTGAAAAAAAAATCATGCAACTTCCTCTTCGGTAATGGTTAATGTATCAAAGGTTCAATATATTTGCCTGCCAGCATTGGAGCGAGGTGAGCTGTAAGTTAATGATGTCCCAGCTAAAATTGATTACAGTGTCCCTAAAGTGACTGGGCTCCAGGCAAACTTGCAGTTCCATTAATTTTTATGTTCCCTTGGCAATGCTGACGAACTTTGATGATTCTTTGTATAATGATTTTAATATTCAGCACCAGAGTGGGAGGAAATTGCCCTTTGGTTGCCATTTTCACATGTAAAAAGTTTCTTGAAAGTATGTACTATTATATTTCAATCTTTTGTTTAATATTTGTGAGAATATTTTTAAATTGAAACTTTATTAATTTAGTGAATTACAGACTTATGAATATTTTTTACAGGTGTTTGATAAATGCCAGGAGATGGAGGCAGAAAGGTTAAAGTTCTTCAAGGAAGCCCTTCTTGATACTCACAAATGTCTAGATATCTCTGTAGACCCAGAGTGAGTATTTATGAAGTACAGTAGACCCTTTTTATCTGGTAATGTGTGAATTTTGCTTAAAGAATCCTGAAGTATTCAAAGGAGAGTGTCAGAAAATAGCATTTAGGGATTAATTGGTTTGAAAAAACTAAGTGTTTTTTTGTGGAACAAGTGGGTAATTTGCCGTTTCTCATTTTAAAGTACAGTACTTTATTAAGAAAAGAATGAAAAGTGCAAATTATATAAACTTATGTATGCTCTTTTGCCAGCAGTTTGTCCTTTTTTTTTACCTTTATTCATTTTTTAAATTTTGATTTGTTTGTCAGGTTTTCCCAGCTCTATGTGGATTTCAAAAATACGATTGACAGTGCTGATTACAACAAAGATTTAAAATTCTGGTCCAACAACCATGGAGTGGATATGGCAATGAACTGGCCAAGCTTTGAAGTAAGCTGTTCTGCTTTGTAGATTTAATAATAGGGTTTAAGTATATTGAATAATCACAGTGTTAACCTTGGATTTGAAAAGGAACAATTATTTTAGACAGAAGTCATTTTGTGTAATATTAATTAGATGAATTCGAGCTGTGATTGGTACAACAAGTGTATCCATGAGTTTCCTAGCAAGTCTTAATTCATTGGTTAGTTACCAAATTATTCTTGTGAGGCTGAAAAAGCACTTGCGTGACTGTGGTATTGTAATCCTGCACCCACTGCACCCTTTCATAGGAGTACAATCCTGAAATCCACACCATTACCACCAAACAAAAGAAGGGGAGTAACAGCCTGGAAGTTGGAGATGGAGGAATTTATCTGCGTAGCATCAGTTTGGATAAATACAATGAGGAGTTCAAGACTGGAGATGACATTGCAGTTGGAAATGATGTACATTAAACAAAATATTAATCCAACTCATTCAAATCTTTGGTTTTTTAGTAGCATGACAAGGGCAGTTTGACTGGAGACGGGTTAAAACTTGGAAATGGGTGCAGCGATAACAGCGTAGAGCGTATATAATGATTAACTGATATTTCTGAGTTGGTCAGGGCAACATTACTCAAGAGTGCATATTTATGAAATGTACTTATCTTCCAGAGAGAAGGCATGCATAATATTGGTGTTTGTTTTTGTCTTTTTTGTTTTATTTCTTTGTTTAACCAGGCTGGACAAAAAAACCCTGTTGATATTAATGCTTTTTTGCATTTAAGCAGTATAACATACAGACTGCCGAAGTCCGCACTCTTTTTTAATGGAATTGTTGTGTTGCATCTGAAGTTAAGGTTGCATGGGGTTTGCATGTATATGCCAAATATATTTTCCACATCTTGTTGAGGGAAAAGGTTTCCAATAGAAACATTTTAAATAACAGTTTTACTTACTAAAGAAGTTCTCAAATATCCTTGCACAACATGCATTACAGAGAAACCAAACTTGACCTTGAAAGTAAGGATTTGTGAGTTTAATTTTGTAAGAATGACCCCTTTGTCTTTCCTTTTCTAATTTTTAAAAGGAAATAACACTCTAAGTCTGGTATCTTTTAAAACATGATGCTTGGAAGCTGTTTGAGAACTTCCTAGTGCGTTTTTGAAAAATGACTCACTACGATTATAGTATGCCTTTCTATACATTTGTTAGACTAGCAAAATTTCATGTCTGTCATTGTTAATACATTTTATGTTTGTTTCATGTCTGCAGTGCATTGGTTTGGTTAGAGAATTTTATGATATGTAGATCAAACTGGCAGAATTACTGTGATTGCTAAGGATTAATTAATTTAGTACAACAAATCTATTTCTAATTTTAATAGATGAATTTTCATAAATTGGCTACTAATTGTTGTTTATATGAAAACAAAGGTGAGCCTTCAGCCAGTTTTGCATGGTGTATGGAAGCCATTAGCCTTGGATGCATCAGAGATGGTCAGTTTCAGCCTTTAAATACTAATTTGTCCATTTCAGGAGTACTCACCAGAGCTCCAAAGTATCAGCAGCAAGAAGAGTAAGTCAATCAAAGAGACCTCAGGCGACGGTGGTATTGTTGTCACCAAGATTAGTCACCAGAAAACTGACAGTTTTGCTTCCAACAACTCTGATCATGTACAACAGCAGCGGAATGACTACAACAAGGGAGGCGACAACATTAAAGATGAGCCCATGGAACAAGCAATCACTCCACCGGTTACAAGGTACTTTAGGATACCTTTTCTGTTCCTGTACAGTATACTTAGAATATATGCTGTTAGGATGATTTATTCCTTTGGGTTCTGGTAGGGATGTACAGCATTAAAATTTCATTTTTTTACAATAACATTGTTTTTTTTATCTGTATTTAAAAAAGACTTATTGACCATTTCAGTTTTATATCATATGGTTAGATGTTCATGTAGATTCACTTTGCACCAATCAAGTGGCTTGCAGGGGTGTTCACATTGGCAAAATTAACCATTTGGCATGCACACTACCTGCCCACAGATCATAAAACTTACATATCTAATTGGACACATAATCAACACAAATAACATGGAAATAAGGTGGTGGCTTCTTTAGTTTGCTTTTTATGGGTAGCAGCAGTTATATATTGTGTGTTAGTCTTTGTTTTATGAATTACAGGCAAAAATCTTATGATGAAACGTTAAACCCTTTTGCTGATGACTCTGAAGATGAGGGCAGTCAGTCAGACACCAAAGGAGATGATGCTAGCATAGCTAGTTCAAAACCAGAAGTTTCTAGTCCTGGTCCTCCAAAACCGCCGCGCCAACGCGGTCAATCTGAAAAGTATAAAGCTTTTACTGGCCACTTAGCATGGTTTTGAATTGTTGGCAGTTCAGCTATTCATCACCTGGTGTGATTGTTATGACAAAAACTGAATAAATGATTTGTTAACCCTCCCATTCCACCCCAGTCTAACCCATCTGCATGTCCAATCCCACTGATGCTTTTATGAGCCCTAGATATGTAGCTGTCAGCAGGTTGGCTACATCTGTTTAGGGTAAATATACATACATTCAAAGGGGAGAAATCCCTCTTGAAATGGATCTGTAAGGGTATAGCTTGGAAGGGTAAGCTAATGGCATTGATTCTATCCCAAATTCAATCCCTCCCTGCTCCTCATCTTTATCCTTCTTCCTTCATAATTTTTGTTGAAACACAAACTTGTGTCTGTATGATGTGCCCCTATTTATAACAGTTTTTGTCATGACAAATTCCATTTGAAATTTTATTAATGCATGTTTCAGTTTCTTGTAGCTGCAGCAGCAGATAACCTGGAATTTTTGTTGCATAATACAGGGCTAGCTGTGAATGTCTGTCCAAATAGCATACACCACATTTCACTGTTGCTTTATCAACAGATAAATACAACAACATGCATTCATACTTGTGTATGGCTTTGTATTTGTAGGAGATAGCTATTCATACATAAATTGAAGGGTTTGGGGGTAGACATTGTGCATCACACATGCGAACCTCCTGGTCCAAACTGTCTGTCATCATTCAATTTTCATTCTGAGCATAGCTGAAATATGACTTTTATAACAGTATTATTACTGTTAAGATATCATATTGTTTTTGAGAAGCATATAATTTTCCTCTGTCATGCACCTGCTCAATTAATGCAATATTGCTTACAAGCCTTTCCTTCAATCCTTTCCATCATTGCTGCTAAAATACTTGATTGAATTCTTGGGTTTATATTTATTTGGAAATCATTTTGTTCATGTGTACCCCAAAATTTATTATGATTATTCATCCATTTCTCCATTTCTGCTTCATGAACCCCTCCTTGTTTTATGACTGCATTTTACTGATAAGCTGAAATGAATGAACAGAAGAAGCCCTATGTGTGCATATGTGTAGGCTTGGGGATTCATTACTGTTACTGGAACCTGCTGATATTTGGCAGGTTTGTCAGATTCTTAGGTTTGGGTTTGATTTTTTTTTTTTTTTTTGAGGTTATTTTACATGATATTTGCATGCTGTTATATTACACCCAACCCTACCGAATGCTGCACTTTAGTTACTGCTTGCATATTTTTATTTGGGGACAAGTGGACATTTATTTGATCTGACTTTTGTAAAATATGAAAAATGCTAAATGGTAATTGTACTATATGACATAAAGTTCTGCTAACTTAACAAAATTTTAACAATTATTTTCTGACAAAATAAGGTCATGAAATGAATAATATCAGTTACAAAAGTAGATCAATATACTTCATTGGTTGCTTGGGGATTTTATTTACATGTAATTTTTATTTCATTATCATGATCTTTGTTTTCAATTGCATTAATGATTGGTATTTGAATTCAAGTGACACACAATTTCAATTTCGTTTTCATGAAAGTGCAAAGAGCTGCCTCCAATTTTTATCTAGCTCATTCAGTTAAATTAAAACTATATACACTGCATTAGTATTACAAGATTTCATATTGATTCTAGACATGATTTCTATTCCCCTTTCAGCAATGGTGACAACCCTTTTGGCAGTGATGATAATGATGGCTGGGAAGGAGTAGATACTGCCTTGGATGATGATGGAAGGCCAGGAGTCCCAGTTAGAGCGTTGTATGACTATGATGGAGCAGAAGAAGATGAACTCACTTTTAAAGCAGGTAATGTATGTTTAATATGCACTGTAAGCCAAACAGTTTGTAATTAGTGGTTATAGTGGTTATAAATTTTATGTAGCTGTAGAAATAAGCGTATGTTGTAGGTTTTACAAGGTAATATCTCTCAGTGAAGCAGCTTACTATGGGAAATTTTACTGGCTAGCCTTGTGCCTTAAGGATTCATTTAGGATAGAAGTGCTTCACTACATAAAAATAATTTACTACAATTAATCAGTAGAATACGTGTACTTTTTTAACAGAGGTTCTCTGTGTTTTGTTTTCTTCAGGTGAGGAGTTTGAGAAACTGGAGGACGAAGATGAACAAGGATGGTGCAAAGGACGACTTCGTGAGCGAGTTGGTCTCTACCCAGCTAACTATGTGGAAGTCATCAGCTAAAGTACCTACGGCATACATCAATACTTACTGTATGGATAGCTTCAGTGCTGCCAACCCCATGCAGTATCGCGTTAAAATACCACTGTTTTATTTAACACCAGAGACCTAATAGTTCATATCAGAGGACAATGGATGTGTAGTACATCTTCCACAGAACTCTGGATCATTGTAACAGTATACAAATCCCACACCACACCATTAGAGTGCAATATAGCAGTGGTCAGTATTGATTATAGCACAGGTGGTTTAGTTGATCAGAATCATACATATGCAAACTTGAAATATGTGTACTACATAACAAGGGGTTTAGATTATGTACAAAGTTCATCTTATAATATTAATTGTCTGTGTGTGTATATATATATTTGGTCTGTGTGACCCATGGGATTAGAGTATGAATGAAGTATATTATGAGATTATATAATATTGTACATATATTGGAAGTTATGGATATTTTTATGTTACAATTAACTTGGGGCCGTTTTGTTATTTAATCCATCATAGAAATATTAAAATTGATAACATGAAGATGATACTGGATGTCATGTAGTTTGGAATGGAGGTAAAGAAAGCAATCATAAATTTAGAAAGTGCTTGAAAGTTAAGTCAATTCATTTTTCTTCCTTATTCTATATGCATCTCTGCAGAGTTGTGCATTTATTTGGAGTATTTGTTTGAACAATGTGAAGTTAGCCCACCCATTGGCATTTTGTTTTGTTGAAAAGAGGCAGATAAAGTTAAACCTGACCAGTTGTATGTCAGTAAACTGGAATGAAGGTCTCAAAATATGTTTTTGGATAGCTACATGGTTTGTCCCATGTCCATCTTTTGCAAAACCTTATATTGCTCAATACATTTTTTTCAGCTGGTTTCAGTTTTGGCAAAGTTGATATGATACACATTCCATGTGTGTGGATCTGAATGAGGTAGAATTATTAGAGACTGTTATGTATATTAATAGATGTGAACTGGTACCAACCTCATTTTAAAAAAAGTAGTCAGTAATTGTTATTTTATATGAGTTAACATGTATACTCTTATGTAAAAAGATTTGAAGTATTGATGGTGGGCATTCAGGTAGTAATATTGATTGATATCATTCCTGTATAATGATATTAGTAACTGCCCATGCAGCCAAACTCGTACTGTGTTGATATTTTTGATTATGTTGAACAGCCCTTTATAAACTTTGCAATAGGCACTATAACAAGCAAATTATGCTAGCTTTATTGAATTTCCCATTGCACCACATAGAACTGCCAAACTTGATTAAATTTTTTGACAAAATGTAATTACTTGTTGAATATGGTAATTAGATCATGGAGTGTGTGACTGGAGTTAAGGGCCATATATTGTTTCATTATGAACATTTTCAATAATCAAACAAAATAAGTTTCCCCATTTCTTTCTTGGCAAAAAAGCAATATCCTTTCCATTTCTTTTGTTAAGTATCTCTGTTTCTTTTAAGGAAGGGAATGTTCTGTTTTCTAATTAGTGTAATCACATGTTGCAGTAATACAGAAGTTGATTCCTTGTATTTGGTGTCCCAGGCAGTGTTTAACAGCAGGGAGAAAAAGGAAAAACAAATGAATAGTTGCCAGTTAGTTAAGATCTTTTTCTTTTTTTGTTATTTTATGAAATATTTAATAGAAATTAGTTGATTCATTACCTAAATGTCATATTTACTAATGAAAATCTCATTTTATATGAATAATATAAGTTAGATAACATATTTAGTCTATCATGCATAAGTCTTACCGAGGAACAAATAGAGTAGTGTCTTACAAGCCCAGTCTAATGAGCTAACCCTGCACTTTAATGGAGACCACAATAAAGGACAGAAACTAATTGGTTAACTTATAATTCATTCTTCATCATTTGGTTTAACCAGATTATGCATTTTATGCCAAACATACTCCATGGTGGTGGGAAGGGGGACCTGTTACTGCTTTTCATTGTGTAAATGATATTTTTCTGTGGTAGGTGTTAATGAGGGGTAAATGTTTATTTTTCCCCAATTTCGCGAAAAATCTTTATCAGCAGCTTTACCCGTCAACATTTTTTTTTATTTTGCCTACTTGCAATAAGGGAATATATTGATTTAATTACTCGGTGGAAATACTAGCCCTTTGACATTTGTGAGAGGTGTGCAGTGTAAATTTAATGCAAAAAGTTACCTGTGGTAGAATTTCCTGTGGTAAACTATCTGCGATTAACCAACTTTCGATCCTCCTTTGCTGACACCCATCTATCTCTGTAACAATTTGGTGAAAATTAAAAAGTTCATAGCCCATGCTTAAGTAAATTTATTTTTCAAATTCTGCCATCTGTTTGATCTCAATTTTCTCTGTTTTGTGCAATTAAAAATTTTCAAGACATGACAGGTGGTATGGTTCATGAGAAGCTATTAATATTTTTTTTTTCTTTTTTTTTTGCAACATTAATCCATGACAATTTTCTGTTAAAATATGGTCAGAATATTTCTTGCTATCAGATAATTTCAGCAAGAGGTGGCTTATGTATTTGTTTTAGTCTACACTTTGTCACTTTAACCATGGATGTCCTCCTGCTCATTTGTCATTACAGTAATGCAGACATGGAAAAGCATACTCAAGCACAAAACAAATGTGTCCTTTTTTAAGAATTGTATTCCCACATTTATATATATTCTGTACAAATGGATATATTACAAGTTTTTACATTTAAAATCTAGACCCACTATGCTGCACATAAAACCTTTAAGTCCCCTTGAACATCCAAAGAGGAGGAATTAATACGTGAATTAATTTAATATACCCACTGCTCAAACAAAATGCACATTGAAGTATGTGAAAAAATAGACCACTTGGCATTCCTCAACTTCAGTTTCTCTTCCCAAAAGGAATAAAAAATGGCTAAAGATATCCAGAAAAATTAAACTACAAGAGTTCTGTATTCAAAACTGATTGGGCCTTGCAGAAAAATACATTCCCACACTGTAACTGCACTGGTTTGATCATGAAAAAAAATGACTGTTACTTACAGATGTTCAGAGACATAACCATTTATCTGTTTTTCTCTTTCAAGAATAAATGGGTGTATTCAGCTGCTTACAAATAAGACAAAGAACCAACCATCAGTTTTAGTTAAATTAAAATTTCAAGATTTTCATTGGAATTTCAGTTCTAACCTACCTGCAAATTACACACTTGGAGTACACTTTACTTGGAATAGTAATTATGTTACTAAAGTACAAAAGTAAAACTCTTATTTCATGTCTAAACTCTTGAATGAAAAACTTTAAGCATACACTGCAAGACACTGACAGAACTTAAAATGAAACTTGACAGAAAGCCTAGCAGATTGGGAAATGGCATCAGCACTGTCTTCATGTTGAAAGTATCTAACTGCAATGTTCCAGTTCTTAACTGAAAATTGTGCCTTTACTGCAAACCAATATCCGTATGCAATTCCCACAATCTCTAGCTTGGCTGCTGCAATATATTTGAAAGCCTGAAATATAAATAAATCAGTTATGAAGATGGTTAAAAGTAAATGAACAATTCTAATAAAAAATTTCCCTGAGAGAAAAATATGTTAGTCTTAGACTGGGTTCCCACTTGTTTAGATCGATCCATCTGGATCGACCTAACTCCCTGGGGGTTCACGCTAAAATTGCTGGCAGCTTCCGGGAGCCAAGCGCGCACAAAAGTTAATTACCCCCTTACAGCTTTTAGTAGGCGGGACAGACATTTAAGCCGATTAAGCTGACAGCAATCTACTGAGACTCCCCAGGGGGATAGATCGATCTAAATATGTAGGAATGGTCTCTTACTTTTTAATCCATTCACTCTTGACAAACTAAATTACTAGTAATAGTCTATGTTCTTCTGTCAATTTGAAAGTAAAAACAAACCATAAGCATATTATTACACAAAATTGAAATTACTATGTGTCCCATTATTACAAACTTTTTGAAATGTTTCTTACATTCTCTACCGGAAGAGAGGGCGCATCAAACAATCACAAAGGCTTCATCCAATATCTTTTTAAGAAAGGCATTTTAATTTTACTCCAGTAAAAAGAGGGTTTGCAGTTAGATATATCTGGGTTACCAAGGAGGTATATGTAATCCTTCAATTCACCACCTGCCCATTGCACTTAGTGCTTAAAAAATAACAAAATTGGTATGATTGCAAAAGCTTACCTCTTCTTTCTGGTTCAAGCCTAAAAGTCTTTATCGTATATATTTTCCCTACAGCAACTTACCATTCCATGGATTCATCCAGACCTTCTCCCTTGATTGCCGATGTTTTAAAAATCTGATATTTTCTATTTTTGATTGTTGATAACCCAAGGGCATTAGCTACTTCAGACACAGTCATGGCTCCCTCAATGTCCTGTTTGTTAGCCAGTACCACTAAGATGGATTTCTTTAATTCCTCTTCCTAAACCAGAAACATTTATTTTGTGAGGTGTAATTTTCATCTTGTACTTCTACATAGTAATTCAACAATGGTATATTGCTACATAATGTAGTCTCCTTAACAGTCAGATATAAGACCATTATGAATTTATTTATCAAATTATTAATATTATTGTAAACATGTTTCAAAAAGGCATTTTCCCATACCTCCAACATGGAACACAATTCTTGTTTGGAGATGCCTATCCTGTCCCTATCCATGCTGTCCACAACATAGATAATAGCATCCGTATTGGAATAATAACATCTCCAGTATGGCCTTAAACAAAGACACAACACTATGCTGTTACCAGGAACTTGTACCCATTGGCAAATCAAATGAAATTAGGCCACAAAAAAGTGATTTTATTCTATAGATAATGCATTTTGTTTTTGGTGCCTTTTGGCTCTATTATGGTACATCTTTCACAAAATATACCACTATGTTTTTTGGTTAAACATGGCCTGCACTAACCAAAAGAAACATACATCTCTGAGACTCTCACAGAAAAAAAAAAAAAAATATATATATATATATATAAGTCATGCGAATCTGGGTTAGCCAAGATAAGGAGAAAGCTCTCAACACAAAATGAGTGCAATTGAACAAGGACAGCATCAAAAAATTTAATGCTTAAGCTTTGAGATTGATATATGGTCCAAATAAGCATAACCTTATTTTTGTTCAAGTTATTCAAAATGTTGAAGTTAATACCTGATACTTGTTTGTCCACCAAGATCCCATACTTGAAACTTGAGATTTTTGTATGTTACTGTTTCTACATTGAAGCCAATAGCTGGAAGTAAGAAGATAATAATCATAAATAATGAATGCATACCCAGTCTTAACTAAAGATATGAGAATGCTAACAGCAATTAAGATATATTTTTTATGTTGTTTTTTCTTCTTCCGAGGTGCAGTAAATTGGTGTCTCTTACTTGGTATGGTGGTAACCACTTCTCCTACTTGTAATCTGTATAAAATGGTCGTCTTGCCTGCACCATCTAAACCAAGAATCAAAATACGTCTCTCTTTCTGTCCAAAGAGGCCAGAAAACATCCTTGCAAAAATTCCACCTGGAATTTAAAAAAACAATCAATATACATTAAACCCTTTTTGGTGATATTCATTTTTGGTCAAATATATGGAAAATGCAATATAATCCCCTTTGCTCTTATACAAGACCCCCTTTAATAAACATCCAACATTCAAGGAACATCTTTGACCCATACAATTTTGACAGGTACGAATAGTTCTATAGTGGCTACTGCTACTTGTTATGTTGCTACAAAATAACTGGATGGCATGTTAGGCTATTTAATATTTCTACAAAAGATAAATCCTTTTATTACTTACTTATCCAATTTACCCCAACCCCCTCCCACTTTTTATGTAGGAACCAATAATACTGTACAAACGTTGATCAACCGGTAAATGAACCAACCTACGTATTTTTAACATGCACTCCCTATTAAAATAGCCATATAAATTTCAAGATGAGAAAGAAAAACGATACCAACTTGTTAACAATGTAGACAATATGATATTTAATTCAATACGCATTCTAAAGTTAAAGAAGGCGAAAAATGAATGAAACTTATCCCAACTTTCACAAATAATTGGCAAAATACAAGCGGTCTCCATTCGACAACAATTTGCCACCATTGTTTGATCTATTCAATATAATACCTAATTATACAGCTGATAAATGTTCACAATTTTTTTTCAATTATGCACAAATTGACAGAAAACATTTAAAAACAAAAACGCCGACACTTACCCATCTTACAGCACTGGCACTGGAGACGTGTACTGCACCTGTGGGCATGCGCGAAAAATATAGAGCTAAACAGACTTTCTGATATTGCTTTTGACATGATTTATCAAAATAAATGTGAAAGATTTTCAAATTCATCTAGAGATTTGTCAAATATCAAATATATGATAATTATTATATTTAATTCAACCTCAGTTAGACTATGTCCTTAGTCTTGCTTATACATAATTTTTGCGCAACTTTAAGGTAAACATGAACTGGAGACTTCATACGGGCACTTCAAGATGTCGCGGCGTGCCGAGGGGATGCTCTTTGTTGGGCGCTTGAGTAGAAGCACCCGTACAAGAGATTTAGAAGAAATATTTGAACCTTATGGGCGTATGCTACGTTGTGAGATCAAGTATGGTAAGTTGGTTTGTGGCTTTACAGAAATATGGCACAGAAACTGCAGAATAATGAATGGACTTTTGAAATAAAAAATGGCGTGTTGAAAAATGTATTTAAGTTGCAGCGGCCAATTTGAAGGCAGGTGTGTTTGTGAGGCAGACTTTGTTTGGAGTTTCACATCTGCGTTAAGTGACTGATCGATGGTTATTAATAATCGAAATAAATTACTTTATGTTAAGCCATAAATACATACTTCATGAATCTCGGAAAATCTCGTGAACCAAAACCCTCAAAAACTATCGGAGAAAGATATATTTTAAAGAAAATATATTTTACTATAAAGTGGATTAGAACTGAATCAGTATCTTGTCATCTTTTATATTATAATTTTAACCTTTAATTTTCAGGAGCTGAAATGGGTAAGCACAGTGACAGTGAACATTTACAATGAAGAGCAGTGAACCATGGTTGCAACTTGCAAGATACTTAAACTTATGAATAGGAAAAGTGTTTGCATAAAAGCCAATGAGTACTCAAGTTAAGCAAAGCACATGTGTGAAAGATACAAATAAGAATATAATAAAAAATTACTCATTGTGAAATAAAGATTAAAATCCAGGCAGATTTTTTAATTTGCATAGGGAAGATTGCCAGTAATATTGTACTTGGATGTGATTGTGATTAGAGGTTCACCTTATTTTGAAGTTGAAACATGCAACTAATTAACTTCAAGTTTGAGATTGTTCATAATCTATAACTTTATCCATTTTTTTACATTACCCATTATTGTGGTAACTAAAGCAGAATGAACTGAAAGCATATTGGATGTTTGTCTGCAACTTGCTTTTAACTGAGACTTATCAGCTGTTTTTGATTAATGTTTGAATTAATTGAACATGTACTTTGTTAATTTGTGTCAAACATGGAAAATTCATTTATTATTTGCAGCCTATGCCTTCGTGGATTATGAGGATCGTAGGGATGCAGAGGTAAGCTATAAAATGGCCTGGTAAATTTGTTCTTCATGTTATTACAGGTTACGTAACAATTTTTTTAATGGATAAGGCACTTGTCATGAAACGATCCTGTCTGTTATCTATTTGAAAACTAGAGATGGTGATGAATTTCTTATTTTCCAGCTTAGAAATTGAATTAAACATTACAAAATTTAAACATTGTCTTAAAAAAAAGATTTTTATCAAAATTCTCTTCTTTCTCCACATAATTATGTGAAATGCAAAAAAAAAGTTGGATTTGATAAGGAAATTGAAACAGAGACAAAATGTGTAATAGATTTGCTAAATGAACACTTTATTGAAATCCCCCTTACTAGCTTCCGACCAGTCCCTGGCCACAACATCTAAGTTTCCATGGTTACCAATGACCAAAAGCCAATTGCCTAATGGAGCCTTAGCCAGGCCAGGGTCACAGGAGCCCTCTTGCCATGCCAAAGCCATGCCATAGCCAAACCATACGTCAATAAGTCACCCTTGCCTGTTGTTGTTCCAAAACCTGACCATGACCATGTGTTCCATGAGACCACATGACCATGACCTAGCCAAAGAATGACAAGGCTCTCGGCGCCATGTCCACGTGTTGTTCTACCAACCACCCATCCATGCCACCACCATAGACCAGCAGTGGGGTTTAGTATGTCATTGCTAATGTACCGTCATAATCTTTGTTGTCTGTACATGTGATTGAAGATGTGGTGTTTTAAAGCACTAGCTGGCAAACATTTTTAAAGCCTAAAACATCCGAGGTCAACTGGTGGTTGTATTAGACTTAATTCCAAAATTTGTGGCTAATGTTTGATTTGTATGGAGGGGCTTTTAGAATTTACCAAATGCATCTATTTTCTTTTTCATTCACATTCTTATTTATTAACATTGCCACTGAAATTTAGTCCTACCTTTTGAAGCATTTGGTAGCTGTTTTGTAGAAAGCCATTTTGTTGGACCCATTTACCGTGCTGGATTTGACAAAGTTGAAAGGGTGCCTTTTAATGATAAAAGGGTTGAATAAGTGGGTTCGTAGAATTACATGAGTGGGTTGTGACTGTGGAATAGCACTTTTGCATGCAATCTCTAGTATCCAGTGTTTAATCTGCACATGCACGATACTTCATGAATGACATGTTGAGCAAGAGGGTAAGTTGAAAGCTGCTAAATCTAAACGAGCCTACAAAATAGCCTTGTTGAGAGAGGAAGGTGGTGAGGAACACAACATGGGGATTGGTTACAGCACAACAACACATGATAAATGCATTCACCACCATTTACTTTCAGCCCAAACATCAAACTGTCAATGTGTGGTGTTAAAGCAGTATTTTATAGTGATGGTGATTTTTCAGGACGCTGTCAAATATGAAAATGGCCGCGAAGTGTGTGGTTCATCCATCATTGTAGAGTGGGCCAAGGGAAACCCTAGGAGACCCCTGGTTGGTTTCAACCTACGTACATTTTATAAGATTTCATAGTTCAAATTATTATATGCCCTTCTATGAAAGGATTAGTTGTTTTGTGTAAGAGCTAGACTTGAAATTTGAAAGATGATGTTGTTGATAGCCATTTTTACTCATAACCTATTTTCAAATGTATGAAATTGATTTCTCTTTTTGAATTTCTGTTTTATTATATATATGATTACAGACTAAGGTGAATGTTTTAATTGGGTTTTTATAATTTGTATCCCTTGCTTCAGGGATATGATGAGTGTTACAAGTGTCATCGTCCAGGCCATTGGGCCAGAGACTGCTATGATGATAGAGGTGGTGGGGGTGGCGGCGGATATCGCAGGCCAAGAGGGCGCTATAGATCCCCATCTCCCCGAAGACGTAGAAGATCTAGATCAAGGTCCAGGTAAGCACGGCGCATTGATTTTGAATATTATCGATAAAGGTTTTCATACCACGTAGGGTTATATATTTTAGTGATTGTAGATTTTTTCATGCAACATGATTGGAAAATGCTGTTATCAGCATACTTCAATTCTTTTTTAAGGGACCGTAGGCGTAGATCCCGCAGCAGGTCCAAGAAGAGCCGTTCTCGCTCTCGCAGTAGATCTCCAAGGAGATCCAGATCTAGAAGCAGGTCTAGATCAAAATCACAAAATAAGAATGGCGGGTCGAAGTCACGTTCACGAAGTAAATCGCCAAGCAAATCAAGAAGTCCTTCGAAAGAAAAGTCCAAGTCTAAGAGTCCTTCCAGAAGTCGCTCCAGGTCGCGAAGCAGATCCGGCAGCAAGTAGGATAGGAAAAAAGGAACGGATCCACAAATTTTTGTTAACAAAAAAAGAATCTGCCCATTTGGTTGGGAAGACTTTTCAGAAGGCAATTTGGGCAAGTTGAGCAATTTGACTCTTTCAGACAGGGCGAGGTCTTGTTAAATTTCATTAATTTCAATTATGTAGTCACCTACTTCACTTAGATTAGTAGATATTTCCTCTTTGCATTTTATTCTTGTGTCATATTTTTATGTTTACTGAACCCCTTTCACCAAGTAGACTTATCACGCTGGTTACGATAACCATGCATACTTAGATACCTTGGCGGTTTTAATGCATGGCATCAAGATTTTTATATAATGGGTAAATTTTTTAAGCACAATAAATGAAGTGAATATACCTCGTCTTGTTTTTATGTGGCCTCGTTCTGTTTTCCGTATAAATGTCTTGTGTTGAAGGTGGTTGATTAAATTGTCAAAAATTTACTAGTGGAAACGTCTTTAAAGTGGTCTTCCGTGCACATATTCTTTCTCGCGTTTTTTGTCCCAATTCTTAATTCCCAACTCTGCAAACTGAGTAAAATGCATCTGGCTATCTTTTTCTTCAAAAAAGAAGTATGATCATTCCACACACTTTAATACTGTGCACGATACTTGTAATTAAAATAATGCTCACGGCATGTGACCTTATTTTGCTCGTTCAAGAGGAAATCGAGTGTTCCCAAGCTGCGTCTTGGAGAGAGTCTATCAACATAGCGTTAATTGTACCNATGTGTGGCTAATGTTTGATTTGGAGGGGCTTTTAGAATTTACCAAATGCATCTATTTTCTTTTTCATTCTCATTCTTATTTATTAACATTGCCACTGAAATTTAGTCCTACCGTTTGAAGCATTTGGTAGCTGTTTTGTAGAAAGCCATTTTGTTGGACCCATTTACCGTGCTGGATTTGACAAAGTTGAAAGGGTGCCTTTTAATGATAAAAAGGGTTGAATAAGTGGGTTTGTAGAATTACATGAGTGGGTTGTGACTGTGGAATAGCACTTTTGCATGCACTCTCTAGTATCCAGTGTTTAATCTGCACATGCACGATACTTCATGAATGACATGTTGAGCAAGAGGGTAAGTTGAAAGCTGCTAAATCTAAACGAGCCTACAAAATAGCCTTGTTGAGAGAGGAAGGTGGTGAGGAACACAACATGGGGATTGGTTACAGCACAACAACACATGATAAATGCATTCACCACCATTTACTTTCAGCCCAAATATCAAACTGTCAATGTGTGGTGTTAAAGCAGTATTTTATAGTGATAGTGATTTTTCAGGATGCTGTCAAATATGAAAATGGCCGCGAAGTGTGTGGTTCATCCATCATTGTAGAGTGGGCCAAGGGAAACCCTAGGAGACCCCTGGTTGGTTTCAACCTACTTACATTTTATAAGATTTCATAGTTCAAAGTATTATATGCCCTTCTATGTAAGGATTAGTTGTTTTGTGTAAGAGCTAGACTTAAAATTTGAAAAATGATGTTGTTGATAGCCATTTTTACTCATAACCTATTTTCAAATGTATGAAATTGATTTCTCTTTTTGAATTTCCGTTTTATTATATATATGATTACAGACTAAGGTGAATGTTTTAATTGGGTTTTTATAATTTGTATCCCTTGCTTCAGGGATATGATGAGTGTTACAAGTGTCATCGTCCAGGCCATTGGGCCAGAGACTGCTATGATGATAGAGGTGGTGGGGGTGGCGGCGGATATCGCAGGCCAAGAGGGCGCTATAGATCCCCATCTCCCCGAAGACGTAGAAGATCTAGATCAAGGTCCAGGTAAGCACGGCGCATTGATTTTGAATATTATCGATAAAGTTTTTCATACCATGAAGGGTTATATATTTTAGTGATTGTAGATTTTTTCATGCAACATGATTGGAAAATGCTGTTATCAGCGTACTTCAATTCTTTTTTAAGGGACCGTAGGCGTAGATCCCGCAGCAGGTCCAAGAAGAGCCGTTCTCGCTCTCGCAGTAGATCTCCAAGGAGATCCAGATCTAGAAGCAGGTCTAGATCAAAATCACAAAATAAGAATGGCGGGTCGAAGTCACGTTCACGAAGTAAATCGCCAAGCAAATCAAGAAGTCCTTCGAAAGAAAAGTCCAAGTCTAAGAGTCCTTCCAGAAGTCGCTCCAGGTCGCGAAGCAGATCCGGCAGCAAGTAGCATAGGAAAAAAGGAACGGATCGACAAATTTTTGTTAAAAAAAAAGAATCTGCCCATTTGGTTGGGAAGACTTTTCAGAAGGCTCCAAGTTGGGCAATTTGACTCTTTCAGACAGGGCGAGGTCTTGTTAAATTTCATTAATTTCAATTATGTAGTCACCTACTTCACTTAGATTAGTAGATATTTCCTCTTTGCATTTTATTCTTGTGTCATATTTTTATGTTTACTGAACCCCTTTCACCAAGTAGACTTATCACGCTGGTTACGATAACCATGCATACTTAGATACCTTGGCGGTTTTAATGCATGGCATCAAGATTTTTATATAATGGGTAAATTTTTTAAGCACAATAAATGAAGTGAATATACCTCATCTTGTTTTTATGTGGCCTCGTTCTGTTTTCCGTATAAATGTCTTGTGTTGAAGGTGGTTGATTAAGTTGTCAAAAATTTACAAGTGGAAACGTCTTTAAAGTGGTCTTCTGTGCACATATTCTTTCTCGCGTTTTGTCCCATTCTTAATTCCTAACTGCAAACTGAGTAAAATGCATCTGGTTATCTTTTTCTTCAAAAAAGAAGTATGATCATTCCACACACTTTAATACTGTGCACGATACTTGTAATTAAAATAATGCTCACGGCACGTGACCTTATTTTGCTCGTTCAAGAGGAAATCGAGTGTTCTCAAGCTGCGTCTTGGAGAGAGTCTATCAACAAAGCGTTAATTCAACATCCTTTTGAACAGCTGTATGCTTAAGGCTTTATTTGTTTATTTATTATTATTATTTTGCCTCCGAAGGAAAAAAGGCAATATACAAACTCTTAATGGGACACTTGAAAGAAAAGGAGCCTTGAGCCAAATTTGACTCCCATAAAACGCGATTGTTTTATGCCGTTAACTTCTATGCGAATGGAAAAAGTAGTTTTGTTAAAACTAGTCATAAACGTTGAAACGGACTTGTTTCCCTAATCCATTAAAGCGTTCAGTTTTTCAACTTGCCATAAGGCTGCTGGGTTTTTAAAAGAGCTCTTAGGTTAGAAGAACGTACATTAACTTTTAAAAAATTAACAATTCTTTTATTGGAAAGATGTTGCCGTAACGTATAAAAGAGGAATTCAGTACGAAACTAAGAACGAAATATTTAAGAACGTGGCAATTGAAAACAGTTACGGAAAATCGTGACCCGAAATTCTCCAAAATTCACCGCATTTTCGACAACGTTTAACGTTCTATTCATCTCATTAAGTCATTCAAAACGTATACTAATCAGTGGCGGATTTAGAGGGGGGTCCCCCCTTCGGTTTCTGAAAAAATATATCGCACCAATACTTCCCTCTTGAAATTAGAATTTTGACTAGCTGAATCGTAGTTGTAAATCGTACCAAAGAGCACCGTTTGCCCTCCAAAACACCAAAAATGTTTCGGGGTCCTTGAGCAGGCCTCGAACCCAACGCCAAGGGGGCGATGGCCGGCTTTGCATCTGAGGTCTGTCGTTCCGGACCCCCCCCCCCCCCCTTCAAATAATCCTGGATCCATCCCTGCTAATTTTAGATCATTTTAAAACTTGTGGTAATGACAGAAATCCAGTGTGACTTCCCACCTTTATTTTTCACCTTTGAAGTCCTTGATTTTGGTTTTTTAAATCTAGATGAAAATGGTGTTTTTAAATTTGAAACATACCTTAGTCAAACCATATAACTCCACAATCAATTATTATATTTCGATATTAAAATAATCCTTCCTGTAAATGACATTCCTTAAATACGTTTATAGCCGTTACATTTTCTGGAACCGGACATATAATAATAATAAGAAGAAGAAGAAGAAGAAGACAATAATGAGAAGACCTAAGCAACTTCTTAAACATAAGTTTACGACTAAATCTGCTAAAAACATTTGTTGCATAATTAATATATGAATTTATTTTATGGCTGTGACGCCGCGTTAGCACTTCAGTTTGCATATTTACTCATAGCAAATCAGCTAAGACATCGTTTTATATGTCAACAGGCTCATTTAAGTGACGCTACAGCGCATGATCAATACCGAGTGTTTGATTAAGAACATTTGGATAATACATTCCATTAACCACACACGCAAATACAGATCGATCAGACAGCTCGGGGGAAGTAATGTCTTGTTAGTCCTCTTCAGTGAGATGGACAGCTTTGTGCAGGTAAGATTTAATAAATCCCACTTTTTACCTGGTTGTTATGTGTTTAATTTCACAGAAAACAGTTAAATGCGAGGAATAAATGGAAGCATTTATTTGACGCCACAGTGCTGATTACGAAAACCTGTATACGGTAATGACGTGATAGTATAGCCAAGGTGTCAGAGACCATTTTTCACTCTGTGAAAGTTGTCCTTGTGAAAGGTGATTTGTATAGAAATTTGACATGATCCAGAACATGAATAAAATACTAAAGTACAATCACCATCTTTAAGTATAGCAGACAACTTACAAGGACCATACAGGTAAAATCAATCGATTACCCGAGGCTGTAGCTGTATAGAGAACGCTTGACCTTCCATTTATGAATGCAGCAGGTAAATAAAAATATATCCGATATTTTGATTGGCAACAATCGTCTCTATTCAAAGCTGTCAAATCGATATTTAAAAGCCGATGCCCTGGGTACATATATGCAACCTCATTAAACTAGCCCAGTGCTGTGAAATATATGTTGTTGAAAATATTTCATTAGATAGATAGATAGATAGATAGATAACTTGGTTTTAGTGTGTGTCATTGTGTGGATTACATATGAACACAATAAACCAGCTTGTGCTTGCCAATCAGAATGCTTTATTAGTGATGTAACTACAGGAGTGTGAATATTAAACACTTTTATATGGAACAGTGTTTGAAGAAGGGTTTTTTTTCTGACAAAAGTTAACAGGGAGTCTCACATTACAGGTACCTGTAGAGTAAAACCACTCTGATCATGTCTGGTAGCGCATCCGATGACATACTAGAGGCTGCAGCCAAACGACAGCAGAGAAAAGTTCCGCACACCTCTACTGGGAAAGATGACTTGATAAATGAAATGACAAAAGTCAGTTTGCGGGGCTCAAACGCGCAGGTGGTAAGGCAATATTCAGCTTCTCTTGTTCAGTACAATGTGGTAAAATATGGACAAAATGAAGACACAATGTCCGCACAGGTTCATCAGGTTTCAGAGATCTTATTTGAATATTCGATCGAAATAGGGAAATCCAGTTAGGTATTTGCAATATCTAAACTTGGTAAAGAACGCATGATTATTTATTGCCTATTTCATTTTCAGTCTGACATTCCCGACTTTGGCAGCCAGATGGAAAGACCACGTACATCAAGACGTGCTCGCTCGCGGACTGCAGATAATACAGCTAACGATTTCATAGACAACTCGCAACCTTTGGTGCCGTTTCTCTTGTGTAGGGTGTGTGTACTATAGTTACCGTTATACTAGTTACTGTTACACTTATTTCATTGTAACTGCTTGTTAAAGTGACATTTGCAACTTCTTCAAGTTCACCATATCATTTAATTGATATAAGAAAAACCTGATTAACCTTTTATTTTTCTGTTATTTTGTATTGGTCATACATGCGTTTTTTAATTTGATATTTATTAATTTGATAAATAAGTTTTTTATCTTTGAAATGTTAGTGCCAAAACCAGGATCTCCGCACAATGGTCGATTCTTCTTCTCCCGTTTCATTCATTAACAAGGACGCATTTCTCATGTGCGGGTAAGGCGAATCCCGTTCATAGTTACGAATAATACCGGGAAACAATATGTCAATACATCTATAAATGTATGAATTAATCGAAGCATAGCTAGATGAAATACGTGCATATTACACAAAAAAGTAAAGTGACATGTTCTAACACTTTCAGATATTCACTTGACCAAATGGAAAAAGTCGCGTTCATATCTTCAACAAATCCGTCCCTAAAAATAATAGGAAGAATGAAGAATATTCCAGTTACTGTTGGTGAAAAGGAACTGATGCTGGACGTATTTGTCACCGGTAGGTAAATTGATTTTGTTCTTGTTGTTACTTGTACAGTATATACAAAGAAGTATAGTGACAAGTGCATGTACTCCTCAACATAAAGATGAAAATGTTTTGTTATTCACGTGGGGGTGGATATCAACATCAACAAAAGGTTTATATGACTGGATTAACGGGGGCTCATAAACGTAAAACAGAATTGTTAAAATACGTTATTTAACGTTTTAAAAACAGTATGTGCATCATAGTTGGTCTTGTGAAACTATGTCATGGGTATAAAATAAACATTCAAATTTACTACTTCCTCATGCATGTTACTGCAGGTAGTCTTGGAACTGAATTATCTCGTTTCTATTTTCAGAGTCGGGTCCCGATTTATGCTTTGGTGTTGATATACTGACGACTTACAGAGTAAGTACATTTTTCATACTTTACTGGTATGTATTAACGAAAAGTTTCAAGAAATTCTAATATTTAGATGAGATATGAACCTCTAATGTTGTGTTGGGGTTTTTATAATCCAAAATAAATATGAACGATTGCTTACTATATTATAACATATTCACAGTACTTTGTTAACAATTTCACAGCGGCTAATTTGCGAACGAATGTCAATTTGCTTTGATTTTAGTGTTGTCCAGGCCTCATGGTAGAGAGTATTGCTAAAAATAATATGTCAGCGACGCATTTCACCAACCGCAGATAAAAATTTACAGAAAATCTCTCAATCTCTGCGTTTCTAATTATCCAGGGAGTATTAAACTTTGCCAAGCGGAACCTGACGATAAGCGGGCACCAGGTGGAGCTTTTGACGGAGCGTGATGTACCTCTCAGATACAGGACGGGGAAACCTGCCGCGTCCATGTAACAGCCGATGTAATAACAAAGCCAGATAAAAATTCTATTCCCGTTTATACAGTCACATAAGGAGTTGAATATTTCGTAGTTTTTAGACTTTCATCTATTGATAATGGCAAACTCTCAGGAAATTTTTATAGAACAGCCGAAGTAAGTTAAGGCATGTGGGATGTTTAAGCCAAAAGTATTCGAAAAGACCATTCTTCATACATGTTTAGAACTCTAAAAGTTTGTTAGATTGTCAACCCATATCTCTGCTTAATCAGTCCAATGACGATAATGTGCTTTTACCATATGATCGCTAGAACTTATATGATGAACCCAAATATAATCTTTTTTGGCTGTAAATTGTAACATACCGGTGTCATACAGTAGACTGCTTTTCTCGATAAATAAGCAAAATTAAGAAAAAGTATTTATGCTGTGTTACCGAATAGATATGGACTGAAAGATTGCCAGGGAAGAACTACAGTCGCGAAATACTTCTTCACTTTCGAACTTCCTACATCTTATAAATTCCTATGCCAACTAACTTGTGAATTAAATCAAAACGCTGCTATTAATAAAACTTAGTTAACTTTATTTTCATATTAAAAAGCATATATGTAGAAAGTATATCTATGTTGGCTTTTGAGATTTGTTTGCTTCTGTACAGTCACATTAGTGCGTCATTTAAGGCAATGTAGAAAAGTTTGAACAGCCGATCGTTAACACCAAAAGAGCGCGCTTCTGTTAGTTCACAGCAAATTCCAGTTGGTAGCATCCTAGTGCCTGTTCCTTGTGACTGAATTCTGCTTTAACTTTGAGTGTAGTTGCCGGGACGCTTATGGGCGGTTTTGGTAGGGCGACGCTAAGAGGGGGTACAACGTATGTGCCCTGGAAGAAATATATAAATTAATTATTTCCAAATAGATTTTGATAATTAACTCAAACTTGCACAGGCGTTTGCTATGGTGTTTAAGTAAATCTTGGACCCATTATGCAATGTATAATGAGTCCAAAAGTAAATCTAAATTACCACTGACGTTTATCAAATCATGTTTGACGATTATACATATGAAATGCAGTCTCAGATCAAGCACTGTACACATAGAAATAGTTTGTAAAATAAAAATACCCATTTAAATTAAAAGGACTTGACACAAAACAATATTCGAACGCATGAAACTTACTGCTTTCACCGGGCACTTGCACTGTAACCCGATCTTAACAAGCTGAGGCGGACACTGTTGGGAGGGTGGCATCATAGCGCATACATTGGCATATGAACAGCTGCCTACGTTGTCTTCACATGGAAGAGTGATCCAGAAGAACTCTTTGGCTTCCATGGTCACCTTAACTGAGATAGGTGAGACCAGATTTTCCTTAAAAATAACTGAAACATAAAAGACAATATGAGAAAATAACAAATGTCACTATATTTGTCCGCAAGATCGAGTCCTATTTTATCAAATTCAAAATGACTACATTTCTAGTGCAGGGCATTTTCTTACGCATTGCTTCTCTTTATGAAAATCTACCAAAGCTAGTGTTTTGAAAGACCGTTATTACTCTCAAATGCAGAGCTTCCCCCAACTTGAACAAACATAATTGGCACCAATGTTTCAGTGCTAACATGAAAAAAATTACAAGAAAAGCAAATCCCCCCACACTCTAAAACACTGATATATGTTGATGAGTACAATTATAAATACAACCAATAGTGGCGGTCATACCTGCTCCGCTGACTGTTATGTTCCCAGGTACTCGTACGGGCTGTGGCGAAAGTGTCAAGTTCTTTACGACAATAGGATCACTAGCCTGGCCACAGTTAGTCCACAGCTTTAGCTTCGCAAATTTAACGCTACTTTTTACAACCTAAATAAAATTGAATTCGCTATTAAATAAAAGCCTTAGATTTTATATTGTATCAATTTTGCAATGTTTTATGTTTGCGAACTTTAACTTGAACACTTTTTATCATCTCATCTGGTTCTGTTACAGAACTTTGAAAATGTTATAGACTTTTGAAAGAGAAATTAACTCGAGGCGTAGAGAAACTGAGGAACTCGAGTTCGCTTCGAGACACGTTTCAGTGTTATATAAACCAAGTAATTAAACAATAACAAATGGATAATACAGACCTTTACTTCTTTCTCTAAGCTTTCTATGATATCGTTTCCAAACTTCAAACTTGGCCATCCAGCCACACACAAAGAAAACAGCAGCAGAAATGATAGAACGATCGGCAGAGTTTTAAAATCCATTTTGGTTGGAGAGGTGTACTGAAAACAAAATACAATATTTATATGGTAAAATAATATGAAAAAAGTTTATCATAAGGGAAAACGCTTATCTTTCTTACGTAATAAAATCACGACAAACATGTCTTTAAATACAATAAACAAAGTGTACATAAGACCTCTGGGGGAGGGGTGTTAAACTTGGGAAGGTCTGGTACACATTCTAAAGATGATTTAAACATATAAACGGGCTTTTCATAGAGAAAATTGACTTTTCTTCAATTCTTCACTTTTGGCTTTTGATATTTTTTATCAGCATCTCAAACTTTGCATTTCAAAAAAGGTTCGGCTTTGAACATAAAAACTTCTCTTCAAGCAATTTTCTTTTCATAACTACTTGCGGTACTTTTCTTGGAAACTCGCGCGGAAAATGCTGTCAGAAATTGGTCACGAGAAAACCAATAACAGAGAAAATACTATGAATATTCAAAAGGAGATCATTAACAAACAAACAAACGCTGAATTGCAAACGAAAAAAGGTTCATTTGTAAACAAAAGGAAATCTTTTTCCAAAGCAAAACACACTTGCCATATACTTTACCTTTCTGGACGCAACTTTCTTTCAAGATAATTCCAAACTGCCCCCAACCCCACTCCTTAGCCCTACATTACACGATGCTTTAAATGATTTGCCCCGGGTGACTTACATAACATGGGCAATGCTAAACAATGAGCAACAAATGATTTATCGTGATCACTCAGCTAGAGAAAGCTTACGAGGTGTGTAGAATAATAAGAATATTCTCACCAAACTTTAATTCAGAACTATGCATACTGAACTTGATTCCTGTCTGACCGAAAGAGTCTTATTAAAAACGTAACCGCAATCCTACCTATATAAAAATATATATTGTAATATAAATATATAATATACCTAAATTAAAATATACGTTTAAGAATAGAGATGCACGCGCGAGGCAAGCTATCGGTTCGTAAATATGGTCCGCACGACGGATGAAATCTTGAATGTCCAAAGAGCATATGTGCAAGTATGATATCCATATGTAAATATATATTACACTTTTACTCATATTTATATAACCCGCATAAGTAGGCCTATAACGGAACGTATGGAAAAGCCTCGGCTTAGGCCTTACATTTATCTCAGGACAAAATCCCTATACATGTATACCTTAGATCATTCGCATTTCAACTGAGGACAGTAAGATGTAAGTTCACAACTCGATTCACTTTTCATATAAATAATGCCACGCATATAAAGAACAAATTTACGAATCTTATCATGCTATACCTGGCTCCTCGCTGTTTGTTGATATGGTGGCGCCTGTACCTGAGGTGATAGTCCGCTTTGTTACAAGGGACACTGCTGCGCAGCTTCTAGCTTCTATCTCTAGCAGACCAACGATCGACCAAAACTTGGGTTTTGTGTTTTGAACAATAAGTGGACCGCAGCTGATACTTTTAGCGTGATAAATCGCGTGACTCAAAACATCATGTGCTTGTTCGCTCCAGTGGATGTACCGCAGTTAGACTTAGTCAGAATGAGGCTGTCTAGTAAACAGTGTTAAGAAACATGAAACCACCTACTACAGATTCTAACATACGTTGCACTTGAGAACCACAATTAGATACAAAAAGGATTTAAATACTTTTAGTAAATAAAGAGTTTTACAAGACATGGTATTCGTTTGTAGGTTATAGGTCTATTCTAGGCAGCGTCTCAAAACAAGTAAAGATACGGTACCTGTACCCACCATGATAAGAAAGATATTCAAGAGGACTCTGCTGTACAATCACCTGAATCACCTAGACCTGGCTGGTATATGAATATCAAAAATCAGTAAATCGATGGACACATAGTCTATACTCACTGTTTCGGCGAATATGTTCCTTTGTTTTCCAGTGACCCAGCCTATAAACTATAAGGTCCACTTAGGTGTATTCACCGCATGGGCGCAGTTTTGTGTAAGCGTGTTTTGACCGAAGCTTGCATAAGGTTCACCTGCAGGCCACAGTTTAGCGTTACACTGCTGAATAGAGTGCATTAAACAGTTTGTATATTCACTCTACGGATTCATACGATCACTACAGCTGATTTATTTACATGATGTGGTTTATTTGAAAAGCAGTGTATTACGCAGTTGACCTACATGTACCGGTAAAAGCACACGGTGAGAGTTAGACCTTTACACAGCAGAGAATAATTTATCATGAAATTCGAAAAATAAAATCATACTGCAGCTTTCCCTCGCCTAAAGATCGACAACTGGCGTGAAGATACGGGAAGCAACTATAAACTCTCAAGTACTAAAGTAATGCGAAAATCAGCGATGCATTTTGATACATGAAGTTGAAAAATAGCAGGAAAATACCAGTGGTACATGTACCTTCTACCAGGGCTACAGATTGATTTTTCACTAGATATTAAAAGATACGTCTTTAGATAAATAGATGGTGATTTGGTTCTCTGGAAATGTGGAACATGTGCCTATAATATCTGCCACCCTGGTAGAGGGCACACCAGTGGTGTGTTTTCACGTTATTAAATGTTAAACATGCATCAAGAGAACATGATAAATACCCAACAATGCACAAGATTCTGAATTTTTTATTGATCGCATTTAAAACTTTTATTATTGATATTATTGAATAACGGTATTTCGACGTATAACGTTATGTCAAAATGTTAGATTGAAAATCAGACTATATTTTGATACAGGTGACAAAGATTGATGAATGAGTCAGTGATCTTTAAAATGCAATTTATATGTGAAGCAGTGTTGATATCAAAACTATAAAATTTTGATATCAAAACATCGTCATTGGACACAGTTTGCAACAGTCTACAAGTTGATAAATTAGCGTTTGATTTTCAGGCCATTTCCCATCAATGGCGACAATTAGCAGCTGACATCTGTATTCCGCAAAAAAGGTCTTAGAAGCTGAAATAATCCAAATGATGAATTGTTTGAGCGGATACCGCAATGCTACAATGTTTTTGATGGAAAAATTTGCTATATATCATGATTAAATAAAGCACGATCAGATTTTGTTCTACGATACTCATGGTAAAGTTGCATATCGCAAAAATACGCAATAAACGAATAAACTAATTGGTCATTAAGCTGCATTTAAACATTTTTTTACAGATCCGTGAATATGTAAAACCTATATGCCCGTGTTAACTTACTTTCCAAATGAATGTTGAATTTGTGTCATACTTTTAAAAACAATTTTGGGTTTCGCTTTCTCTATTGACTTTTATGGTGTAATTCTTGTTGTACAGTACATAGGTCCATATTAAAGTATCTTCTTTAGTTTTTCTTAATAAATATTTTTAACCTATAGTTTCCATCTTTTTACTTCTTGTAAGTAGTTCAGGGGACAAATAAATGAATGATATAATCTTCTGCCTCAATCTGAAGTTTAGTTTGCTTCAAAAGTATATAAGATCTTACCTGCTGCAATATTCTGCAATGGGCCTGCAAAAAGCAAAGTTGCCAAAGCATCTGCATATTCTGCCTTGGAAGACGCTTAGCCAAGTTGTGCCGGAAACACAGCTGAGGGGTTGCTCTAGGCATCTTATGACTCCGCCAGATCTGCACACGCATAATCTTCCTTCTGCGATGAAAATACTCCCAACAGGGACGCTTGACTGACCGATACTGCACTGGTTGCAGAACGCCAACGTACAGGCGAGGGTACCGGCGGTACAACCGCAACTGTTGCAACCATCGAAGAACCCCAAACCAAACCCTCGTGTTTGTGGACCAAGAGACCGGTTAGGCGTTTCAGTTAATAACCCACCGCTACCCCATGGGGCGACGAGTTGTTGGCCTGATGCTTGGTATAATATCGCAAGGACGTACATGTAGATCGACAGGTTGGATTTCATCTTCATTCTATCCTGGATAAACGAATTAATGGCAAAAAGCAAAGGACCGTTTCTAGTTCGCTTACAACCGCGAGTTATGCACTACCAAGAGATGACGAGAACCATTTATAACAGAAATAACGCGTGTACTCTTTATTTAAGAAAAGAGAGATCGAAATAGATAAAATTTAAATGCTTTTAAATTTACAGGTGTTGAATTGAAATATCCTTTTTGGACGTACATATTCATTTCTATCACGCAACACGTCCTTTTAAAAACAAATGAAAATATTGATAACAGAACAAATTATCACAATATATATTCCACTTGCCAATTACACAGTTGGAGAAGCACGTCCAGATAACCATAAGTAACATGATGATGAGACGCGCGCTCACCTTTGCTGTCAAGATAAGGCCCATGCGGTAACGGCTAGATCCGAACATGTAATAAATTGTCATTTTTTGAATATTTCTGCAATAAAACGCGTTTGTCAAGTTAAGATAATAGTCTTGGCAATATCGTACCTTTCCCAGGCAAACGCAAATATAATATTAATGCGACAATCTCATCAAAAGGTAATAAATTTACCATAATTCTAAACATAAGCTTAAGCCTATCCTGAACGGACTAAATGGATTACAAAGATAATGTTTAATAATACGATATTATTAAATCCTCTATATTTAGCTACACTTGAAAGAACCCAGAATTTATGAAAAAAAACCCTTGGTTTGTTTGGTATTTTGGAATTACTTTAATATTTGAAAGTTCTGTTGCTGTTTTGAAAGTTACTAAAGTGTTATTTGTTAGTTCTGTAGAAGTTTGTGTATAAGACTAAATATATTTTGATGTTTTTCACAATTGAGCACTTTGATATTGACCAGTTTTGCGTCGATTTATTCAATTCTTTATGCTCTGTTAAGAATATGTTTAGTACCCCTCTCTCTCTCTCTCTCTCTCTCTCTCAGCCGTCTCTCTCTCTCTCTTCTCTCATTCTCTCTCTCTTCTGGTAATACACTCTTGCCCAAAATGGTTGGTACACGGAAATTGTGGTAGGCATATCGCCCTGTTTCTTTCATTATTATTGATATTATCAAATAAATACTGTTTATATTGTTAAATATGTGAAGCTGGAGGATTGGTAAAGTCAAGGAGAAACAAACAATGCAAATGTGACAAATATAACAGAGGTAAGAAATACACACACACACACACACACACACACACACATATATATAAACCTTCATTGAATAGATATTTAAGCATTGGTAAAAGTAACAATTAAACACCCATTGTTACAGACGTCACATTTTAGCCTTTATGACATCACCTAGTAACAAATAAACAAAACCCCCTGAAGAAAGAAAGAAACCGGTCGGGGCAAAAAAAGCTGCTGTTCTTTTTTTCTT